TGTCTCCACTGGGCCCCTTTCCTAGCTAGCTCCCACGGCATTTTCTTGAAGGAATTAAACACAGGGCCCAAAGCAATGCAAGCCTCTGCTCTTTTCATTTTGAGCACTGGCAATTCGGGGAGATAACACAGTAAACGGGGTTGCAATAATATGCCATAATTACACCGTAAAGATTTAATTTTCCGGGTGTTTGCAGTACTTAGCCATGGAGCGCCATCTATTGGTCCATTTTTGAAAGGCAAAATACTTGCTTTGCTTTAAGAAAATGTGCAAACACATTAATTTGTGCATAGTGGCGAGTGGGTAAAACCTGTTCTTATCATGGGTTTATTCATCTCAGAATGGGTCATTTGGCTTTGCAGGCTGCTGGCTGCTTGCTTTGTGTGCCGAAATGTTCAGTCTCTGGCAGGGTCAGATAAAAAGTTCAGCTTGCAAGTGACAGGTCGAGAACTGATTTAGAATAGGTATGCGTGGTGCCAACCTGGCACCAGTACACACCAGAGAAGGCTACCTTCTTAACTCTAGTCCCCCATATGGGGATTAAATGAAGAAACAATCTCCATGGACTCTAAAGGATTCCCCCCCCCCCCCAAATTTTCAAATGGGGGATGGAATTTCAGGGAAGGAAGGGTATGGGGTCAGGAGAAATTTAATCTTCCCCCAAAGAAAAAAATAGGTACATGCTATGTAATTAATGTAAACTGTCATTTTATGCCCAGACTCTGGGCCACTGTTGCTGCCTACTTCTCCAGTGGGGAAATGTAGCTTCCCGTCTATGGGTTGCCATGGGCAAAAGGCCACATCCAACCTGAATGGAGATACAAATTATAACATGTGTAGACAGGTAGGTCCACACACCGCAATGTCACACTGACTCTGTAAATGCTTGTCGCTCAATTCATCAGACTGTCGCAGTCATTAGCGAGAGTCATCAGCGTAGGCTGCAAGAACAGTAAAACCGGGGTTAATGAGCAATCATCGCCTCTAAGCAGGCCATCTTTAACATCCTTGTGACGACAGGATCATCTAATGGGCTCTGACTGATTGGAACACTTTCTTCTGATGGGGACTAATAATTCATTTCACGAGGAACTCATAAAGAGAAAACCGCCCAGGTCATCGTCTAAAACTGCTAGAGAAGCTAAAGGGGAACGAGCATCATTTCATGTAATCACCAGCAGCAGCATGCACAATCTAAGAAACTCTTCGGTCAAGGCTGAGTCTGAATATTCACAGGATGCTGTTCATGCCTGCTGGATATTATCTGTTTGGCATCTACTTGCATTTAACTTCAAGCCCTGAATATTTGCTAGATGTTCTTTATAGTTCCATGTTGGCCGGCTATGATTTGTGCTTGGCACCCAGTTATATTTCATTTCGAGCGTTGATATTTGACAGTTGGCTTTGGGCACAAACTGGCACACGGCTACTGTAGGCACTTTTTCACAATATTCGATCACTGGCTTGCAATCATATGTGCAGCTTTTGATGTATGATTTGATTAGATGACCAGCAGAGCAGGGAGAGTGCCAGGTACTTAAATAGATAGATCCATGGCTCAGCCCATGTGACAGAAGAAAATGCGGGAACTTTTCTATGCTATGTTTTAGCACATTATGTGCTAAAGTGAGTGCATGTTTAAAAGATGCTATTTCCTAAAAGGCAAAGGTTTCCCCTTGACGTTACGACCAGTCATGCCTGACTCTAAGGGGCGGTGCTCATCTCTGTTTCCTAGCCAAGGGAGCCAGCATTTGTCCACAGACAGTCTCCATGGTCATGTGGCCGGCATGACTAAACACCGAAGTGCACGGAACACTATTTCCTAAGAACACCCCTGTTTATTAAAGGGGATGTGTTGGGAATGAAGGAAGCAGTTATTCTCGGTGTGCTTTCCAGAGCCAGGGTGGCACCGCCTCTTTGGATGGGAACTGCGAGGGCTGGAAAATGAGGGTTGTGGACACAGAGATGGTGCAGGAGGGAGGGATTATCTCAAGGCCACCGTTTCCAGGTGTTCCAGCAGACCTTGAGAACCCACGGGGTTTGGAAGTGCCAGGAGGGGACATGGGAGAGGAGCAAGAGGCGCCTGGTCCGATTCCAAGCCCCGTGACGTGGCATCAGGAGAGAAGGGCTAGCCGGCTAGAGGGCCTGCGTAGCTCTAGGGGGCCCACCCTTCTCCAGAGGGGCGCATCCAGAGAGGTGAAGCCCAGGTTACTGACAGGAGATTTCTTGGAAGTAGTTGGTCAGTTGGGTTCAGGAAACTGTTCTGTGCATGCTCAGATACTCTTCTTCTGTTGGCTATCAGTATGCTGGCTGTACATTGGAAATAAGGTGCTATTTGTTGTTTCAAAGGAAGGAGGAGGGGACCCAGCTCCAGACAGGATATATGGAGAGGGGAAAAGAAGGCATTTGATTTCAGAAAAAAAAGATCTCAGCAGAAAGGGGTTTTTTTTTGGGGGGGGGGGGGGAGGAAGTGATGTCCAGTTAGGCAAACAGCCAGTTAATCTAGAGGGATCTGATGCTGCAGAGATAATCCATGGACTTGTTTATGACTATGTCATACTGGGGCAGATGGTCTTCTAGAGATTTGGGGCTCCAAAGGAAACTTTTGAGGCTCCTGCCCTAGGGGCTGCCCCCTAAATCCGACCTCTATTCTTAACCTTGTCTATAGCAGGAAGTGGAACCATGAGCCTCTGAGTCCGTGTTCAGAAGAGCGGTGGGGCAGATGACCTGCCAAAGATTCGGGTCTTCAAATGAAAGGTCCAGGGCTCCAGCCCCTGTGTGACAGCTCCTATCATGGTTTCTGTGGCAATGCATAGCATTGACAGTTGAGCTTGTAAAACTTCATATGGATGAGTGCTGAAAGTGCAAAACCAGGGGTCCTCAAACTACAGCCCGTGGGCCTGATCTGGCCCACCATGCCCATTTATCCGGCCCGCCATAGAGGTTTTGGACTGGCCACATGCGAGCGCACGGGCACAGGTGTGGCAAGCCAGCGGCTTGCTTGTGGGGAGATTGTTTCAGACTCACTTGGAGAAAAGGATCTCCTTGCGAGCAAGCCGGTGCCTCGCCATGCGCACGCCCAGCGGAGGCTTGCTTGCAAGAAGATCCTTTTTTCCGAGCGAGTCCAAAACTATCCTTGCGAGCAAGCCGGTGCCTTGTCATGCACACGCCCAGCGGAGGCTTGCTTGCAAGATCCTTTTTTCCGAGCGAGTCCAAAGCTATATCCTTGCAAGCAAGCCGGTGCCTCGCCGTGCGGCAGCTTGCTCGCAAGGTCATTTTGGACTCGCTTGGAGAAAAGGCTCTCCCCGTGTGCCCACCCGCCTTGCTGCGTCACGCGTGCGCCCACACTCCCCCCCACCTGGCCTGGCCCGCGCCCCCCGCCCACACCGCTTTGGCAGCCCGCACCCATCGCCGGGCACCTTTCAACTGGCCCCGTTGAGAAAGTTTGAGGACCCTTGTGCAAAACAATACAGTATCTGTGGAATGCGGACATTAATTATGGTGAGTGAGAAGCTAGCAAGTAAGATTATTTCAGATCAACTAATCTGGAATAGTGGGAAGTTACACCTCTTCAGATTCTTTCAGTCAAACAAGGAAGAAGAATACAGGACAAGGACAAACCTATGCAGTCTTTCAGAGTTTCTATAGACATTATTTTATTTAATCCTTATGACATTGGGAAGTAGATCAGAACTAACTGACCCATACTGTAGAAGGGGTTTATCCTAGATCTGTCCTGGATCTATCTATGGTGTCCTAGAAAGTTCATGAGAGATCTGATGTGAGAACATTCCAATCCACAGCTCAGAGTTTTACCTACTACTGGAATGTACTACGTAGCTACTACAGGGCTGGAGAACCTTATTTTGGCCTGAGGAGCAAATGCCTGTACCAGAACAGTTTCTGGGGTCATATTCCAGAGGATCACAGCCAAAGGGAAGGAGTGAGGCTAAAATGAAACATTCATTTCTCCTTATTTTACCAACCAAAATTAATCTGTTGTTTGTTATTACATGCCACCAAGTAATCTCCAGTTCATCATCATCATCATCATCATCATCATCATCATCATCATCATTATTATTATAACATTTCTATGCCGCCCCTTGCCGAAACCTCGGGGCGGCTTACAACACGATAAAATACATTGAAATACAATAGCACATAATAAATTACCATTAAATACAAAAATACATTGATTTACAAATATAAGATTAAAATTATCAGTATAAATTAAGTAAATAAAAATATAGGAGGAGAAAGAGAAGGAAGAAGAAGTTGCCCTGGCCAGATCATATGTTTTAACAATTAAAATGATGTTTAAATAAAAAGGTCTTTACCTGGCACCGAAAAACCAGTAACGACGGTGCAACCCTGTGAATCCTTTGAAAGTGTCCTATCCTTGACAGCCCTGCTCAGCTCTTGTAAACTCAAGGCTGCAGCTTCCTTTATAGAATTGATCCGTCTCGTAGTTGGTCTTCCTCTTTGTCTGTCTTTGACTTTCCCCAGCATGACTTTCCCCAGTTTATTTATTCCTGCTTGGTGCTTGGAAGCCTCCAAATTACCATCCTTCATCAAAAGGATTGCAGGACAAGAAATGAAATAAATTACAATAAATTAACTCCATAAAATAATACTAAAATCAAATAATACAACCCACCATAAAACCTAAGGATTATAAGTCAAATACAGCCTGAAGAAAACCAAAAACAAAACCAAGGCTAGGCAGAATAAGAAGTTGGCTTTCAGTCTACAAAATTAGCCAAGTTCTCTCACACCAATCTACCACGAACTATCTTCATTTTAGCAGCCCAGTTTGGAGTGATAGGCAGGGCATCTGCTATTGTTAAGTGACTGGGAATCCAAAAATCCTGGATGATATACTGCAAAGCACTCAGAAACTTATCAAGAGATCCAGTTCCAATTTCTTCGCAGTCTTCGATTATGGCGCAGATCACAGTAGCCACATCCTCCTTGCCCAGGAAGGGACGTAGCTGGCACACCAGGTAAAGCTGAGCAAAAGAACTCCTGGACACCACGGCCATCCGACTGCATGAAGCTGCGCTGGATGCAAGAGCACTCCTAAAGTGCGCATTTGGTCCTTCAGATGCAGTGCAATCCCACCCAGTCCGCAATGCGCCCCCAGTCCTGAGTGGGACTATCAGCTGGCCAGCAGGCCCTCCATCTTCTCTGGACTACAACGTCATTTGTTCATTCGCATCCAGCCTCTTCACTGGCCAGGATATGCCACCATTCAGGAAAGATTATTGCTTCTTATTGCTCTTCTTGTTTAAGGATCTTTTAAAGCAGGTCTGGGAAACCTCAGAGCCCCCTGGGGTTTACTCATTCAGCCCACCAACTGCTTCTCCAGGCCCTGCTCACTCTTAAGTAGGGAAAGGCTCTTATCTCCAATTAGCTACTGATCAGAGATAAGAGTTTTTTCCAGTCAGGGAGAAGAAATAGGGCCTGAGGAGGAAGCTCCTGAATTATTTGGTCCTGTTTACTTCTAGGAATATCCTTGGCAAATCTAAGAATTGCAATTTGGTCTCACTCACATTGCATTAGGTCCCACTGACATACAGCATGTCCTTCTGTCCATCTCTCTCTCTCTCTCTCTCTCTCTCTCTCTCTCTCTCTCTCTCTCTCTCTCTCTCTCACACACACACACACACACACACACACACGACCATTCCCAGATTGGAATACAGTCCTTGGACTGGAAAAGGCCCCACTCCCGAACTATAACTTCCAAAGGATTTCCTGGAACACACATTTACATTTATCATTCTGCTTTCAGCATCACAAAACTGGGATAAACATTTAAACCAGGGAACATTTGGCTCGACCAAAGAACTCAAGCTGTGGCTGCACATCTGATTCTGGAAGAACTGCCATGAATGACATATTTCAAGCAACAGCCTTGCTGGCAACCTAGTATATTGTATGTGCCAAATAAAAGATACCATTTTAGAATGTCATCCATAATAAAAGAAAATAAGTCAAATCTAAGCCTTTCTGTGTACAGGGATTGCTTGTGTGCCCTGTATAAAAGAAATCATTAAAAGGAAACTTAAAAGGCAGTTTAACATCACAGATGGTTCACTATAGGAGACTCCAGCTCATTTCTTCTTTTGTATAAGAATTTATGAAAAAGAAACCTTTAAGATTTCTGTGTTTCATAGCACACATTGTGCTGTTCTGTTTATGGGGAGATCTAACAGTTTTCTGCCTGTCAAGTTCTCAAAACCAGGCATAGAATTGCACCATGGTTTTTTTTTTTAAGATCTTTTTGAAGATTCAAGGTGGATATCTGCTTTCTTTTCCACTTGGAACTTTAACACATTGACCTAAGTTGGCTTTAGCACATATAATAACTATCATTTTCTTTCTTTTGAGCTTCCTTTAGCTCTCATATTTTTATTTTATTTTTAAGAGAAAGACAGAGACAAGCAGACACAGAGATTTCCTGCTTACAACAGAAGGGATTTCAGCATTTTCAGCTTTTCTCAGCCTTACTCAACTGGTAACTTGCACCTGCCCAAATTCCTATTCATAGTGCCACTTTTAAAAATGCATTCTGCAGTAACTAATACCTTGCACTCTAAGTGGGAAAAGCAGGACAAGCACTGTTCATACAATCAAATAGCAGCAAACCGCAGCCAATGGGTGCAGTGACGGGCCGGCATCATGGTTGACCAAGGCTGGAGCCCAAGTCCCGTTCATTTCTACGGGTCTACTCTAGGTAGGGGCACCACCGCAGCCCAAGTCCCGTTCATTACTACGGACCTACTCGAAGTAAGAGCACCGCAGCACGCGCAGCTGTCTCCCGAATTCTTGCTCGCGCCGCTAGGCGTCGCAACGACCCGTCGCAACGCCACTCCGCTCCCCACTTCCTCCTCTGTACTGCGCACGCGCGCCGCTGGCCCGCCGCGGACCCCTGCAGCGCGCCAAGCCTTGCGCCTGCGCCCTGAGCTTCCCGTTCGTCGTCTCCCCGAGAAGCTTCGTGAAGGTTCCCGAAGTTTCCTCTCGGGCTTTTCCGGAGAGAGGCGGTCTGGCCGCGCGCATGCGCGGAGGAGCGCGCCGCCCCTTTCTTGTCATTCAGCTCTGCCCGCGGCGCCAGGCGTGCCTTTTCGCCGGTTCGTCTCGGCTGCTGGCTTCCGCTCCTCAGTGTGCGCGTCCTCGTTTCCTCCCGGCCCTCATGGCTCAGATCTGCTACAACCGCGGCTGCGGGCAGCGCTTCGACCCCGAGAACAACACGGCAGGTGAGGGGGAGGCCGCTGAGGGGAAGGGGGGCCGCGCGACGACGTGAAGGACGGGAAGGGGCCCCCGGCCCGAGGAGGGGCTGCTCTCAGCGGGACGGGGAGAACCGGGGCGAGCCTTTCCCCAATGATGCCTTGGACCCCCGCTCACATCAGCCTTGACTGGTGGGAGGTGTGTGCTTGATAGATTGGTATATGCAGTCATAAGCAGCGGGGAGGCTCTTCCTCCAACGGCGCTTTGGACTACAGTTCCCATCAGGTCCTTTCCCTAGTATGCTGCCTTCCAAATGCCTTGGACTATAGCTTCCATCAGCCCTAACTGTAGGGATGATCGGGGTTGTAGTCTGTGAGTTCAGAAGGGTAGTAGCAGGGTGGCCCTTTCCCCAGTCTGTTGCCTGCCTAATGCCTTGAACTACAGCTCCTATCAGTTTCAGCTCTACGGATGATGGGGGTTGTAGACCGTGGATAAAATGGGTAGCAGTAAGTCAGAACTACCCTGACATGATGTTCTGCCAGTGCCTTGGACTACAGCTCCTGTCAACCCCAGCCAGCATGGGAAGCACTCTGGAATGCTGGGAGTTGCAGTCCGTTACATCTAAAGGGTATTCATTTGGGGAGGGCTGAGGGGAAAAAAAGACCTTTGTGATCAAATGTAGTCATTGGAATGGTCTTCCCAACCTTGTTTTCCAAATGTTTTAAAGCTACAGCTCCCATCAGCCCCAGACAGAGGGAACCACATTGGGGAAGACTGTAGTCCTATATTAACCTTCATTATCAAATATAGGTAGCATGGTGTAGTGGTTCATTCACAAGACCAAGTTCTAGACCTTACTTCCGCATGAGCTGGGTGATCCTGGGCCAGTCTCACTCTCCTCCCCCCATTGGCTTCACAAATGCATGTGCATACACTTTCCCTCAACCTCATGGGCATGCTCAGCCTTTAGAAGAGAAGACTGAGAGGGGGCATGATCTCCCTCTGAAAGTCCCTCAAAGGCTGTCACAAAGAGGAAGGTCAAGATCTCTCCTTGCTGATGCCAGAGTGTAGGACACGGAATGATCAAGTCAAGTTGTGACAACCCAGATTCAGGCTGGACATCAGGAAAAGCTTCCTCACTGTCAGAGCAATACAGCAGTGGAACCAGCTGCCTGGAGAGGTGGGGGGCTCTCCCACGCTAGAGACATTCAAAAAGAAACTGGGCAGCCATCTGAGTGGGATGGTGTAACATGGTGTCCTGCAACAGCAGGGAGTTGGACTTGATGGCCTCATGGCCCCTTCCAACTCTACTGTTCTATGATTCTATGATTCTTTGGGATTATTGTAAGGATAAAGTGAGGATGAGAAGAACCTGCTGTGCCAGCTTCTGAAGGATGGGGATAAAAATGCAAAAGGTTCAGGGCAGTGTGGTGTAGTGTTGGATTGAGATGTGGCAGATCTGAGTTCCAGTCCCCATCAGCCATAAAGTTCACTGGGTGACTCTCAGTGTTAAATAATCCCACAGGATTCTTGTGAGGATAAAATGGAAAGGAGGATTATGTAAACTGCTTTTTAGAAGTCCTGCTTATGTTGTTCTACTCAGAAGCAATTTGCCCTGGTTTTAGTGGGCTTCCTTTTAGGAAGTAGGTATATGATTGCAGCATAAGTTTCAAAGTTAGAAGAAATGTTAAACATGAATATATGGGTGGGAAAGGAAATGTACGCTGTGGCTTGAGTTGAAGAAAAAAAGCACCATTGTTTATGTAATTCATTTATGCTTGCTTATTGTTTTTATTTTAAGAACTATTCTTTAAAAACAATCCAAATCTTAAGTCATTGCACACTTTCCTGGGAATAAGTCCCATTGAACTCAATAGAACTTCTGAATAAACACAGGATTACTCTATAAGTTTTGAACTTGAGTCTCATTGGCACTGACATTTAATTGATAGCTGGTTTAACTGTGTTATTAAGACCTTCATGGTACTAGAGTTGTTCTATATGTTGTTGTTGTCAAACCCACTATTGTACTGGGTTTTTATTATGATTTAATTATTTTATTATGATATTTAATTGTTTTAAACGGCTTTTATATGTTGCAATTGTAAACCACCCAGAGAATCCTATGGGCTAAGATGGCAGTATAGAAATGTAATAAATAAGCTGGCATCCCTAAGAGAAATTAGTTGTGACTGAAGTCCCATTGGTTTAGAGAAGGTAGCTAATAAAATTTAGCTGTGTATTGCTATAACAGTGAGCTTACTCACCTGTTCATTTGTGGAGCAGGGAGGAGCTGTGGGAACAGGACTGCTTCCAACCCTTCACATCCACTCCAGTCTTGTAGCTTTCCTTAGAATGAGGGAGAAATCACTTCCTCTGAAACCCACTTTTCTCTCCTCCCAAGTCCTTAGGAATTACTGAGGCCTGGTTTCTTCAAAAAGATTGTACACATGACCTGAATGACAGCTTGTTGAAACATTTGTTATGTAGTGTATGGTGCAATGTGGCCTATATGTCCTTTATCATAAAATCTTCTCTGCACCTTTCCTCTTATTTTATTTCTCTCCCACCCTAAGAGGAACTTCTTTTCTCATCCTTAGCCCATCTCTTTTGCCCACATTGTAGGAATTATTGAGGAGACATCTGATAGAAGCTTGAAGTGCATAGATCAGGTTGTGATATTCACCCTACTGTGAAAATATATATGGATCTGATGCTACTTGGTGTATTGACTTGTCTGCTAGCTTGCTGTGAATCATGGAACTTCCATTTTTCCTGTCCCAGCTCACTCTTGTTCAAGTGTGATGCAGAGAGTGCCTAAGCATCTTACCTGCAACATGATATTTCTGAAGCAGCACAATGATTTTGGAGGGCTGTGTGTTTTAACCAGTAATCATAAAGAAGAGCCTGTTTCTTTTCTATCACTCAGTAGTTCAAATAATGTTTCAGGCTTGTTTCGGGAACATCTTGTTGTGCTGCATCAACTTAGTAATGCTGTTGGGTTACAAATGACTTTTACAGTAACTTAGAGAATGAACCTGATCAGCATATGAGATACTCTTATACAGAATGCATAATTTTCATTCAACTAATGTTTCAGTATAACACAGCTATAATTCACCAAGCACACTTTTAATATGAGACCCTAAAAGGTGATCTTGCATGTCGTTATTAATAGTTTTATAATACGCCATTGTGGTAACAATAAAAGGCATACTCATGCCTTGACAAGGTTCCTTTAAATTTATGCTAGAGAAAAGGAAAACAATGGAGAAGCAAAAGTCACACATTGGAGTGAAGGAGAGATGGGAGACAAGGGTAACAGGGTAATGAAGCAAATGCAGTTACATGTGCCTCTGCTTTCTTTTAGTTGGGGACAAAGCCTAGTGGTTAAACTAATGATTTCTTGAAGCAGTGAGTTCAAGCCATGCATGTCAACTAAGGAGACAAGAAGAAGCCACCGAAAAGAGCAGACCATTGACTGCTATTGGTGTGCCCCGTGGTCATACCGTGACCATCGATAATGTCATGGCAGAAGGGTGATGGCAATCACTGAGTGGGACAGATTGAGGAGCAATCATGATCCTTTTTTCCAATAGATGCATTTGCTTAAATGTGTATTATGCTTTCTGATAACTAAATCTATCTGGGCGTATGTGAGCTTTGTGTAGTAATGTATGTTTGAGAGCTAGTCTCTTCTGTGAAGTAGAACTGTAACCCAATTGATTGTATGAGTAATATTCTGTTAATAACTTAAATCTTTACAAACATGCCTAGGAACATGCATGCTTCCCAATGAAAACATATTTGCCCCTTCTAATAAAGAAAACATTCCTGTGTTAGAACATTGTCTTAGAAGAAGCTGTTTCTTGTATGTAGATTGGAAGAGGGGTGCTTCCCTTAAGATGTCTGCCACGGGGTTGGGGGGATTTTGTAATATATACAAAATACTTTTTAATACTTTTTGTAAAACTTGTTTAATTGTCCATCGAAGCTCAGACACTTCTTTAATAGATGAAAGCCTTTTAATTTACTTATCACTACACACTGCCTATGAAGAAATATGAACATGTCATTTTTGTGGTTCACAGTTTTAGACTCCAGTTAATCATTAAAATAATTACATGTATAGTACCTGCTATTTGTTTATGATTTTCCCTAGGTAGGTGTGCTCATAATAATTCAGATGTTCTGACAGGTGCAGAATAAAAGACAACGTAATCTTTGCTTCACATAGCTCAGTGTTCAGAACTAGCAATGTCAGTATATCCAATATTATCTTCACAACCCTGCTTAATTTGTTTTATATCATATTGAATGCTTTAAAGTTAAAGTTACACTAGACATAACTTAGTTGCTTAATAAGGTGAGAAATCAAGATATATTAAACTCTGAAATAATTACATTTGTGCAATACATCAAATGCTTAAGTAAGTTGAGGACAGCATTCTTACTTGAGAAAAATACCTACTAGAAGGGCCTTCTGGATTTACACTTTCTGAAACAAATCATGCTTAGTGTTTAATTTGTTAGCCATTTAGCAAGGCAAGACTCATTGGCGAAGATTATAATGCTAGGGAAAGCCAAAGGCAGAAGAAGAGACCAAATACAAAGTGGATTAAATCCACTAAGGAAGCCACCACCTTTCCTTTCCAAGAGTTGAGCAGGGCTGTCACGGGCAGGACATTTTTTGATGTCAGAAATAAATGATAGCATGTACCTACTGCTACTACAACTCATCTGTTACTGATTCCAAGAGAACCAAGTATTAAAGGACTTATCTGATAGCCATGAGTGACTGGGAGGAATTCCATGATGAAAATGTCCTTATACTGAAGTGACTATAAGGGATTGAACCCCCATCCCCAGTTATGAAATGGCTTCCCCTGCAAGGTCTGTTTGGTACCCACTTTGATATCTTTCTGGTGCCAGATAGGTAGCTTTTTTTCCTCTTGGGAGTCGCAATACTATTCATTTTTTTATTATTATTTTTATATCTATATCCTTCCTTTTTAACTTTCAAGGAACTTAAGGCGGCTTACAAAATTCTCCTTCTCTCATTCTTTACCCTCAAAATAACAACCTTCCGAGGTAGGTAGGGAAGATCATAATGTGTCAGATGCAAGCTGTGTTGGTCTTATGCTACTGGTTGAGAAACAACTATCTGTGATGCGTTGCTTGAGTTGATGATTCATCTGAAGCAGTAAGGCTTGGAGGTAGGGAGTAGAGTGGAAGTGTGACTTGCCTGGATATCTTAGACAAGGCTTCTGATGTGTATGGTGCAATTTGATATATGGATTCCCAATTTCAATATTAATCTCTTTGGACCATTTTATATAAGCTTTATATGTATATTTAAGAACCATTTAGCCCAGTGGAACTTGTTTACTCCGTCAGGAGGTGATACATAAGGTTAAACTCCCTTGCAGACAGGGTGGGCGCCAAAGAGGTACTTTCAGCATTTGAAATATTTTGCATATGTATTGTGGAATCTTGTCTTTCTTCACTTCTTTGAACAACAAGCATTTGATTCCACATTTTTGTTTTCAAAATCCCTATTTGAATTGGATTTGTCTGAGGGTATGAGTTCATGTTTTTAAAGAAATATTGGTCCAAAGGTTCCTTGGGTATACAGAGTTAGATGCGTTTTTATCCTGACCTTGGATTCTTTCTTGCATTTTTGTTCATGTTGGAATAATTTATGATACAGTGAATGCTAATGGAATAAGTAGTACTTGAAGTAAGCAGTCAAGTAGTTAAGTGGAGTGGGCACAGAATTCACAACAAGCATGTTATCAGTCAAGATGATAGTGAAAGGAATAAAACTATCAAGTTCATTTGCTCAAGGTTGTTTTGCCAGATAACCATTGAAAAAACTCTAATAGGCAGCATCTGGTTTTTGTATGAATATGTACATTGATCAGTTACAGATTTGGTTAGTGGCACATTCAAAGCCTGAATCTATTGGAACAGTAGCACAAGCTTATTTTTACAGGTTACACATTGATCTTCATTACTATGTTTCTAATTTCATTATTAATATAATGCAATACCTTTTGCAGTTTAACATCTCATATGGCAGCAAAAATACACTATAATGGGCAACGAAGCCACCTGAAAAGGGAGTGTTTTATGATCATGGGGTATGCTTCCTGAAGCAGTCTGTTTCCTTTCTATATGGAGTTTTTGTGTGCTGCTTGATGTTGCTGACCTTGCAGGATATATGAAAGTATTTGATTGCAGCCATTAAAGTTTGACTGACTTGCTATGCAAAATACAAGCCCTAGTTTTAAGATATAATTTCCTGCTGTCCTTAGCCTATTTTCTCATCTTTTTAGAGTCATGCACATATCACCCTGGAGTGCCAGTCTTTCATGATGCTCTTAAAGTAAGTATGCAAGCATTGTTTCATTTTTTTTAAGTTTCAGTTCAGTCATGCTCATGGCATTACTTCTAGTCTGTTCATGAGTTTTGTATCAGAAGGGCAGAGAAAAAAATCAGAACATTACCCCAAGCATAGTTCAGACAGCACATGTTAGATCATTCCCATAAGTTTGACTTCTGTAAACAATAGTGATTGCTCAGTAGTAGTATGTTAAACACTTTCCATATCACTACTAAACTCGTTTATTTTCGTATGGTTTCAGGAGATTGAGACTTAAGTACTTCTAGTCATTTTTATAGTTTGTGATCCTCCATTGGGGGAAGTATTTTTAGGTGTGTTTAACACGATAGTAGCTATTACTAAATGCTTTTATTCTTTCAGCCAGCCACAGTTTCCATAAATACATCAGTAGTGGAGAGAGAGAGATGTGAGGGGAAGGTCAGGTGTCTTTCCAAATTACTAACTTGATTAAAATAAAAGGTATTGCCTAGTCTTTTCTTCCTAGTTCTCACTTACTGTCTGTTAATAGTTGCTAGATAAGAATGAAATGTTTTGCATGGCTTGTATTTTCCAGGGCTGGTCATGCTGTAAAAGAAGAACCACAGACTTTTCAGACTTCCTGAGTATTGTGGTATGTGCTTATTTTGTAAGGTTTTTTAACTACAAAATGGACATGGTTGTTGAGCGCCAAATCTTGGTTGAACAAACCACTTCACAACAGGACAATCTGCTCCAGTGTAAGCAAGCGCTCTTGCACTTTCCTCACTTGCATAGAGGAACAGACTTCAGCAGATGCAGCTTTTCTCACCCCAGTTTGACAGCCTGTGCTTGAAGAACCAGCTATTAAAAATACAGGAGCCCTAGCTGTCCTTTCCTCCCAGCACTCCACTCAGCACAGAAATGCTGAACAGAAATGTGTGTTTGTGACCAATGTAGGGCAATTAAGAGCAAATATAAAGCCTTCTCAAATAGGCAAGCATTTCAGTGTTGTGTTTCCTTCATGTCTGTATCTGAATATCATTAGCATTTTAATCATTTAAGATGCTTTCAAATGTGATTAATATAAATATAAACCAAGCAAAAAAGGCCACGTCATAGAGAACTGAATTAGGTAATAACATTAAAAAAAAATCTAAGCAGGAAAATAGCAAGCTCATCTTAAGGGCGTCTCACTTCCATCTTGAATTCTAGGTACCTATGTTTGCCCGTAGGGGTCATTGCAGTTTTCTACTGTAGCTAATTAGATGTTGAATTTTGATTTGGGCAGCATTCAAATGGGAAAAAGCCTCTATGTAAGTGGGTTGGACCTGCAACAAAATGTTGCAATATGGAGTGGTCCTGTACAAGGTGCCAGCCATACACTTTTCCTACATACCCCACTCCATTCTACCTCTTCCACTCACCCACCAGCAATCACTGTTCTGTAGCTACTGGGCATGCACAGCCCCCATTGGGTTGTTTTTGGAGTGGGATGCCCCCTTAGGATCTTTTATCTTAATATTTGTACTTGCAGACCTTGCAGTTTTACTAAGCCTGAAGGCACTTTTCTGGATACTGCCATTTTGGCAACATAAAGAGATATTTGGAAGCTTGAAAATGCTATTAGTATGTGTTATGATTCTAAAAATAGGGTACACCTTTTTAACCAAGCATACAAGTTAAGAATTTAAAGAATGTGCATCTCTGTGTGAGAAAGAAACCAATGTTGAAGGAGTCAGTTTAAATGCTTACCACTAGCCAATAGTTGGTATTTACTGCCAACTATTACAGATGAAGTAATAACATCCCATTAAGAAATTACTTTGGTTGAGCTAAATAAGGCTTGATTGATTATAGTTTACTCGTAGATTAACGTGTGATTTCTACAACAGGGTTGCACCAAGGGCTTCCATAATAGTGAGAAGCCCCCTGAACCTGTCAAACCGGAAGTTAAAACTATCTCCGAGCGGAAGGAGTTAGCTGACCTAAAACCTAAATTTCAAGAACACATAATTCAAGCACCAAAGCCAGTGGATACAATTCAGAGGCCAAGGTATTGTACCATGATTGAACGTTCATCGCAAATTGATTTCCACTCGATAACATTTTACGTTTGTTATTTATTATGTTCAAAACATGCTGTACGTTTTGATTTGGGCACTGGGTAGATTTATAGGGCTGAGTAACTTGTTGCCTTCCTGATGATGTTGCATTGTAACTTGTACCATCCCTGACTCTTGGATATGCTGGTCCAGGACTTTGGAAGGCAAGAGGTTCCTTACCCTGGTTTAGGAAGGAATTCAAGGATGGTTTACTAGGAAAGGAAGGGACTCTTAAACTTTCTGGGAATAACTTCCATCTAGCTGCATCACATGGTTAAAATGTAAAAACCATGTTGTGATGCACTGAGCTAAAACTTATTAGCAGGGTCTCTTCTTCTCCTCTGTCCTTCTCAGGAGCCCAAATTCTCTAGAGTTTTGGGAACCCTCTATTATTCCTTTGCCCTGAAGGGTGTATCTTCCATGTTCTGCCTTAGCTAAATAAGGGTTAACTGATAAGTAAACATGTTAGATGGGTGTACTTTCATACATTCCTAATGCTGGAGAGGTAGTCCTGTTGAACAGAGTGCCTCCCTGCAGGAAGATTCCTTCAACACTCCTCCAAACACATTCCAACTAAAATGTGGCAGAAACAGAGAGGTCTTAATGGGCAAAAACTTGAAATAATGGGCTCAGACATTTAAGGGAAGGGGGAAAGTACACTCACTGCCACTCAGACCTCTGGGAAGATTCCTTTTCTATATTCAGTAACCAGTCAAATTTTTTTTAACAGGTGCAAGTCCCATCTGGCATTCATTAATGGGAAATGAATTGGGTGTGTATCTGCAGCCCAACGTTTTGATACTTGCTTATAGCACATCCTGAGGAAATGGGGCAGAGGGAACAATCCAAAAATCGGACAGCAGGAGTATTTTCCTGTCTTAGTCTCCATAACCCCCTCAGAGTAAAGATTTGCCGGCATAGCTCACTAATAGTAAACCTTGTAACTTCATTTGTGGACCATTCTGCTTGCATTGTGCCAGCTCATCTTACCACCATAGGCCTCTTCAGTTGTCCAAACTCTTGGTCCTTGAGAATATGGTGCTGCTTCACTTAGCTGCAAGCTAAGGGAGGTAGAAAAAGCAGAAGGGCCTTACTGGCAAATTGCATGCTTTGCACAAATGAAGCACCAGTTTTGTCCCTTCCATTTGCAGTTAAAAAGCTCCTGGGATGGTGAGAAAGAATCCTATCCCTAGCATTGGAATAGGTAGTGTTGGCCTTCCTGAACTGCTCATCTGCACTGGTAAAGTGCTCTGGCTTTTCCAAAAAGTATTCAGCCTTCATAGACCCTGGATGCACTTTTAGCACAGACCTGAATAATAGTATTAGATAACTTAGGATGATACTGTCTCTGAAGTAGTCTTCCTTCTTTGGAGCTGTAGCCTAATTGTGAGTCCTAAACCATGAACTGTAAAACTTTACAAGCATACTAAAAGTAATAAATACTTTTGTCGGAAACACTTTTTTTCTATGCTTTCTTTAGCCCAGATGAGCCAATGAGTAGTTTGCAGCTGAAAGTAGCGGCTTCCTTGAAGCAAGCCTTAGAGAAGCTAAAACTGTCATCAGGGAATGAAATAATGAAAGGTATGTAGTTTATTAGGGTTCCAGGTTGTTTTAATAAATGAATCTGTCACACCCCTGTGCTAGATACATTCAGTTGGTCCACCTTGGTTGGTATTGGACCCTTTGAAGAAGTTTTTAGCAGTGTACATTGCATTATCATAACTGATTGTTTAACTTTACAATAGCGGAAAGAAAAGCATCCTGGGAAGCAAATACTCAATACATCTGCTTTCCTCTTCTCTATATCTTGTACATGTGGAGTTCTGTTCTGTAATTTCTTATACAGAGAATGTAATCTAACTGTAATAGAAAGCACAGCTTTCTTATTTTACAGAAGATGATAGTGATGAGATAAAGACTGGGACAACGTGTAAAAATTCAGGCTGTACAAAGGTAAATATCTCAACTTTATATATTTGTAAATATGTCACCTCCTTATTGCATCTACTTCATGTGTCGCCACCATTTAATTCCCTCTACTATAACATAATGCTAATACAGCTAGAATAGTTCTAGCATATAACTCTTAAAGAAGCATAAGGAATGCTTGTGTCTGTATATGCATTTTATTTTTATTATATTTTATCCCACTTTTTTCCTATCAAGGAGCTTCAAAGTGGCTTACATAATTCTATCAGTCTTACCCTCACAACAGCAATGCGAGGTAGATTGGGCTGAGAGTCTGTCACTGACCCAGAATCAACCAGTGAGCTCCATGGCTGAGTAGGGACTAGAACCCAGATCTTCCAAGTCCTGGTCCAGCACTTTTAATGACTATACCGCATTGTCTCTTGGTGTGCTTGTACCGCCAGAGAAGCAAGCACTTACCACTTACTTTTACTTTCTGATTTCCTCTAAAATGTATCATGTAAACCTTTCAGAGAAACTTAAGCAGGAAGTTAGTGACATGTTTAGTCAATGTTAGTACATGTAAACATTTTAAAGAACCATACACTAACTTCTGTCCCTGCTTTACTTCACTCCATGCCAGATGGCTGGAGGAAATAGCTTCTGTTCACTAAGCTGTTATCCTAGGTAATGGTGAAGACTGCAAAGTAACTGCAGTGGTTATGGCAGGACTTTGCTTATAGCAGTCTGGAAAAACTGGAACATCCTCTAGTCTGATTCAGTGACTGCTAAAAGATTGATTTTGTGTTAATGTTTTCCCTAGGTATATGAAGGACCACACAGCTCGGATGAACCATGTACATACCATGCAGGTGTTCCGATATTCCATGAAGGGTGGGTATTGTGCAGTTAGCACATTGCTTCCTTAAATTCTGGGTAGCCATGGACTTTTTCAAAATGTCCTAACTTCATATAATGAATGGAGTTAATGGTATCGTAATCTCATATGGTTTCTGCATGTATAGGATGAAGTACTGGAGCTGCTGTAAGAGGAAAACGTCAGACTTCAATACTTTCTTGTCTCAAGAGGGCTGCACAACAGGAACACATGTATGGATTAAGAAGGATGCTGTAAGTAGTAGAACTCTTATTGGTAACTAGCTGTCTTAATTGGGATGGACATGTTTGGATTAGTTTTCAACCAGTTTGTTGCTTAAACTAGGGACTCTAGTGCAATGTAACCTTACATAGAAGAAAAATGTGGACAGTTTGAGCACACCAGAACTTAACAGTTAAACATCTGACATGACAAAAGTGTAGGTTCTATGGAGTATTCTAGGATTTTTTTCTGGGACTGGACTCAGACCTGTTCCCCATGGCAGCCTGGTTTTTTTGTAAAATGCAATTTCAGCAGCTGCTGAGCCAGTAATATCCTACTAAAGCATCCTAGATCAAACTAGATCAAACTGTGAAAGTATTTATAAATAGATTAACATCATGTTTATGTGTTCTCCCCTTACAGGAGAAAAAACTGGTTCCATGCAGACATGATTGGCATCAAACTGGAGGTGAAGTGACTATTTCAATCTATGCTAAAAATTCAGTTCCTGAACTCAGCTGTGTAGAAGCAAATAGTACATCGGTGAGTTATTTGGTTAGCTGTCCTTTTATTCAAATCCTTTCCATTGCTATGCCTCTTGAAAATGAGAGTCCTGATTTGAGAGAAAGCCCATTCCTAATACCGAAATACTGTGATTAATCTGAACAAATAATGTGATCGGTTGAAACTCTTTCCAGTAGTCATCCCAAGCAAAGCCTTTTTGAGGAACAAAATTTGAGAAACAAATCCATGTCATCCTGTGGATGAATTGAAGATTGGGAGCCTGGGATGGGGATAGGGAAACATGCCACCTTTGGGATAAGGACAGGACTGAGACACTGGATAGCTTGACACTGTTAAGCAAATTGTTCATTATAGGGTTGGATTTATAGATTCATTATAGAATTGGATTTATAGATTCATTATAGAATTGGATTTATAGATCCATTATAGAATTGGATTTATAGATTCATTGGATTGGATTGGATTGGATTGGATTGGATTGGATTGGATTGGATTTATATATTCATTATAGAATTGGATTTAGCCAGAACCCAAGCCAGATTCTGACTGTTTCTGGTACTTCCTGAGGTACTGCCTGAGTCCAAGTAGGCTTCCTTCTTAAGCAACTAAAAGTGAACCATGGTCTAAACAAAGCTTTCTTACTTATTTGAACTTCAGGGATGCACATAATTCAGTTTCTTCTCCAAACAGCATCTTTCATTTTCCTGGACATGGACTACAAATAGGAGGAGGGACAGTTTGGTTGAACAACCAGCCAGTCCACCTTCTAGTCCTAGGCACATTTTACTAGGAACTCCAGTCACTGTGAGGGGAAGAAAGATTAGACCGTGATATGTCCCTTCTTCCATTGCCATAAGGCTTCAGTGTGGAGGGGAAAAAGAGTAATCCAACTTTCAGTATTCATTCTCTTGCACCTATGAAACTGTGCAGGTTTCTTGCTTTTCATACAAATTGCTTCCAAAAGCTGTTAGATGAAGGGGGAAACAAATAGCTCCCCTTCCAGGGGAACCACTGCACTTACCCTTCTGAAATTTTAAAGACTTCTTCCTTTGGGATTTTTCCAAGTTTTTCATTTTTAGAACAATGGTCCAATAAGGAGTTAGGTGTGTTCTATTTTGGGTGCCTGAAAATATCAAGGCTGCTTTTTACCAAATCCCATGCAGCTATCATTCTGAATTTTGGCAGACCAATTTCCATCATATGAAACAATATTGGAAGCTCCCTTAAAACTATTATCAGTCATTTCCTTAAACAAAAGAAAAGAAAAAAGAGAAAAGCCTAAGTATGGAAATAGGAAACACACACAAAAACATCCTGCATCTATTTTTCAATACCATCCGATTCTGACCTGGGGGGCAGGGGGTTTGGACTGTTTTTGTTTTTAACCCAAACCACATTTCTGGTTTGGTACCCAAGTGGAAGTGGGCAACCTCCACATTTGTTCAAGCTGTCTTGGGCTCTTTTCTGAATCAGAGCTGAGTCTAATATTGGAATCTGCACATCACTAGCAACTACCTGCTAAATGAACTACAGCAAAGCTACTTTATATATTTATTTGATGTCCTCTCTCTCTTCAACTTCTTTAATGTGCTTTAAGTTCTGCTTGTTATGCTCCATCCAGGTAGCAATAGATCACTTACAAGTGTTAGAATTTTTACTCATGTTCATTTGCATTCAGCAGTGTTTACTTTCCTAGTAAGTATAGCTTTGCATAATTAAGGGCATATAAAACTTAGAAAATACTATATGTTCAGCTACTATTGCATAAATATATCCTTCTCTTGCAGTTAAATATCCATATTGTATTTGAAGGCGATAAGGAATTTAATCAGAATCTGAATTTATGGGGTGTAAGTATGCACATACTTTCATTCAGAACATTTTTAGACAGTTTTGTAATGAGCTTTTCTGACTCAAGTCCTTTTTCTGGCTGTCTTTATCAGAAAGAAGTGATGGGATTAAGACTGCAAAAATGTATAACTTCAAAGAGTAGCTTGCCGTATGTGACTGATACCAGGATACTGTGTGTGCTTTCTTGTTTCTCATCTACTGATGAGCACTTCTGACTCTGCTTTTCCAGTAATCTCAGACTACTTGAAAAGTATTCAAACATGCATGAAAAATCTGCACTTTTCCAGCTGTATGTTCTCATTCATCACAAGTATGAAGAATTTAAAATACTCCACTAGTTCTGTAAAATATTTTTCTGATTCCAGGAATGTTGACCACTAGCTTTCAAAGTTACTTCTTCCCTGTCTCTCTAAATGTTTACATTTTATTTCTAGAATGTAACTTTTTACCTCCTTGCTTGAGATAGTTAATAAGTAACTTGGCCAGAATAAAAGGTTTTATGTAAATACAGCCACTGAACAATTTCTCCTAGTTTCCCCAACCTGTGTGAAAGATAGGAGATTTTCCATATGGGAGCACCTTATAGCTCAGAGCAGTTTCTCAGTGTAGAAGAGCTTTCTGGATTCCCTGTACTTAGGAAACTTTGTACTTTTACATTAAATCTTTTGAATGTTGTATAACCAGAACAATGTGTAAACTATCTCCATCAATAGAGATTATGGTAGTATGTTGGTTAAATCCATATTTTTGGTGTTCTTCAGACATCCAGTTCACAACTTAAATTGCCATGTTTGTGATCTCCTCCAGGTGATTGATGTGAAAAGAAGTTATGTAAATATGACAGCTACAAAGATTGAGCTCACTATGAGGAAAGCTGAGCCTATGTTATGGGCAGGCTTGGAACTTCCAGCATCCAAAGTACAACAAAAAAAGCAACAAAATCTTGCGGAACAACACTGAAATCTGAAAGAGGCTTGACGTTGACTTTGAAGTGGTGGCTTGCTGTTGTAATATAATTTTATGTGTAATCACTTTTTAAAACTTGGCATTCCAGCTCTAGTATAATGTTGTGCAATTCAACATTGCAATGGTTCACTTGTGTTACTGAACTGGCCCTTACTGGACCATTGAGGGTGGTGTTTATGGAAGCTTTGTGAATGTCCGATGCTGCCTTATCTGGCTATAAGGAGGCTTCTGGCTTCCACTAGCCAGCTAACCACAGCTGTAAGAACCCCTACAAGGTGGCTTTTAGGTAAGTTACCTTGGCTGAATGCTTTGCTTTGAGAATAGTTTGTGTCCTGTGCCTTGGATTCCCCAAATTTTCTTCAGAAACTGGTTCCTGATCATAATGTAAACTTGCATTTGGTGGCAGCCCTTCAGAATGCAGGCAGTGACACACGTGATGGCATGTTCTGCAATATAAACTGCTCCTTAAGCATGGAAAACTTCTGTCTTCCCTCTGACATCTAGTTTTCTATGTAAGGATGTATTTACTTTGTATGGAGCACAGTTCTAGCATGTGACACCTGACCTGACACTCAGGCCTGCTACTTCAGCAGGAACTGAGCCTTTGCTCAGAGTTTGCGTTTCAAAGGCTTTCTCATGCTCAATGCAAAAACGTTTTTACATCACATGCTTTTATTGTTCAGTTTTGGGAATCCATGTTTGCATCTAATCAAAACTTTACCCATATTTCAAAGCAGCAATAGGAATTATAATTGGATAGGAGTACCTGGATCTGTGCAACAGATCCCCAGGTCAGTAGAGCTTGAGCTATGTGAGCAAGCTAGTTATCTGTAGCAACTTGTACACAGGTCCTTCCTGTACTGTATGTTCTCATCCATCTGGAAGCCCAAGGAGTGATAAAATTTCTTCCATGTGACTTCATACTGTAGGCATTCCCATTTGGCTTACACATTACAGAAACAGCGCAAAGGGTTTTTGCTCCCTTAAGTAAATCCAGTTCTCTGTGCACCCTCACCCATGTCACCTTTGTTATGCAGGACAGCATAAAATAGAATAATAGAAGAGCTTTCCTGGTCACCTCTAGATTTCCTTTTCTTGAGCATCATATTTATTTCTGAGTAGCAAATGAAGATTAAATGGTTTTTTCTTCCCATCCATGGAATTCAGGGGAGTATATTGTAGTGAAGGGCCTGCTTAGCTGCCTCCATAGACTTCCTCTTGAAGGGTCAGGAGACTTCCTCCTGAAGGGCTCCCTCCAAGACACTTGCACAGTGCCAGGCAGGCATCCCGGGAATGTCGGCATCTCATTTTCCTTTTCAGAGTTGCCCAGCCCATCACCAGCATGACTAAGCTACAAGTGTTCACCTGTTAACTGCTTATCTTCCATGGGTCAGCACCTGTGAAACTGGTTGCCTAGCACAGAGTTCCAGGGCTGCCTGGACTTCTTGCAGCAGATTTCTAATGCTCCCTGTTGCGCAGCAGCACTCAAGGCCACGTGTGCGATTCCTGGATGGGGGTTCTGTTCTGAGGACCTGGCCTGCGCCCTGGATGTGCTCCCTTGCCTTGCCTGACTAGTGTATTTCTATCTGCCACTGCCACTCTTTGCAAACGGTGCATGTTTTAGGTGGGATGAAAATAAGCCGGAAGGCTGAAGTATGTGGAATAACGAATATTCATGTAAATCTACTAAATAGGTATGTATTTGAACACAAATTGGGTTTTCTGGTGCAGAACCTGATTGCAGAATCACCTGTTCAAAAAGAGCTGCTTGCTAAATTTTTGGAGACAGAATAATATTCAGGAAACACAGCTGCTAAACAGACAGTAGTGCTGGTGGTTATAGAAAAAGCAGAAACTTTTCATTAATTTGCTTACTGAGAGAAAGAGATTGTAATCTAATTGTGTGCAATCATATCCAGAAAAAAGGCTGGATTATTAGCAGAGGTTAGTGGCATGTGGTAGTATCAATTTCTGTTTGAGAGGAGGATGTTCTTCACGAATGTAAATGGTTTAAGCCAACATTTATCCCCCCAAAATAGTTGAAATGCCTCAAACGTAAGGTGGTCTTGATAGAGCATCCTTACGTTGACAATAATTTATGCTCAAGTAGAGACTGGAAATTAAGTTGCCCCTTCCATTTATTTCATAGGAGACTCAAAAGCAACATAAGGACTACTTAACAGAATGAAAAGCAAGCCTTTGTTTAGAATAATACTGTATAGAATGAAATAGCTACTTGTGTACAAATACAACAAAACCAGGTTGCTTGAGATCCAGGTTCTTTTAGTTTACTGTATGGTCTCCGTCCTTTTTAGAGGCCAGTTTATGCGCAATATATTAACAGTTGTCTCTTGAATAATGTGCTGGTTCTAGGGAGTAAAGATACATTTGGCTGTCCTAAAATTTAGATTTAGTTCATACATCACATAAGGAGTCACAGCTTTGTTCTGAGGCCTTTGGATGATCATAGCAACAGTTTTTAAAACTGATAGCTGCAAGCAGAAAAGGGAATCATTTTTCCTCCCTCTTAGCATTGCCTTCAGAATCCCTGGATAGTCCCTGCCTTTTGGCAGCAGAAAGGACCATCAAAGGGCATCTCTGCTTGTGGCAGTAAACCAGAAACTAGGGGCTGACTTTGTGAACCTGTGGTCTCCTGACATTGTCCATAGGATCACCGTCCTAAGGCCCTGTGACTGTGGGGCAGAACATCTGAATGCAGACTCCCCCATAGCTGGCATGGAAAGAACAACACCAGCTGCATCTCTGAGGCTGGCAATGGCCCAGAGGGGCATTCCAGGAAGCGGGGAAGAGAGCCAGCTACGGCCATATCCCAGTGGCACCCCCGGCTCTTTTTCACCCCTTCTGAAGCATTTTCATCACGACATCTGAAAAAGGCCGTCTAGATGAAATGGTGAGGTGATGGAAGTGAGGTGCTTGCACATCAGCCGCTGTGTTCAGAGGCTTGCCCACATCGAGGTTAAATGGTAAAGACAGACGATCACGCCCTTGGTGTGCTTCTAATGGACATGCATAGGCACAGGTTCATACTGGGGTCCAAACTATGTTACACCTTCCTTGTCGTTAAAACTGTTACTCAGCCAAGACACCACTTCAGCAGTCAGTAATAATAGTAGTTTTGCCTTGAGAAGGAAGAAAAAAAGATTTATTCTGTGTAATAATGCAATTGTTTGCTTTAAATTATAGCACGAGAATTTGTTAAAATTAAAAAAAACAGCTAAGTTAAATGAATCCATATTGTTGCCAGTATCTTCATTTGTATATTGAAATTGGAGGGAAAAATAGGTGTCTGGAACACTAGAAGTTTTTAAAGTCCCCACCCCCCACCCCCCGTGTGTATGTATTCCCCTGCATGGGTGTCTGTTAAAATTTTTGTTGATGAAGAATGTTAGAGGTCTCATGCCTTCAGGCCTTTTTATAAATTTATGGAATAAACAGTTAACACAGAGCTGGTTTTGTTCAGTTTCTAATTTCTACAGTGCCAGAAGAATGTTGTGGAATGATTTCCCTGTGTTTGTACAGGAGAAGTGTTCTGCCTATTCCAGGCAAGATTCGTCCTTTGCTCAGCTTTTGGGAAACAAAACAGTATAAGAGAATATACTCCCAGGACCTTTTAAAAAACCTGTTGCCTGTTTGAAGAAAGTATGCACAACTCTAGTCACACCCATGCTGAAATTTTCATAGCAGGTCCGAACACCCTTGCTCTTCACAGACAATAATGTTAGGGAAAGTCTGGAGACAAAAGAAGAGGAGGGAAACCAACTATGGAATGGATCAATTCCTTACACAGACATGAGTTTACAAAGAGCTGAGCAGGGCTGTCAAAGACAGGCCAGGCCCTGTTCATAGGATCGTAAGCTGGAGATGACTTGACAGCAAGTAACAATACCATTAAATTGACTCAGTGAGAGGGGTTGAATATAAGGAGAGGGAAGAAGTGCTGTCTGCTTTGGGCTTCTGATCAGATGCAAGGCAATCTAGGCAAGATTAAATTTTAAATAGTATATCTGTGCTAAAAATGGATTTACTTCTCTGTAGCTTCCTGAACTAATGACATTTCTACATGTTGCTAGAAACAGCCTCAAAGTTCTGAATTAGTACTTTTGGGCTTGCTTGGAGCAGGCTAGCAGTGGGGTGTGAGCAGGGGTTCAAACTGCTGGAAGTAATTTTCGGAAGAAAATTACTGTTTTGAGCTGTCTGCATTGAAGATACAGCGGGAAGATCACAGGCTGCATGAACAGATGCTTTGGAACAAGGATGGGGTGGAGGGTGTTTTATATGCATGCAGCCTCAAGTTCAGTCCCTGATGGTGATGCAGGCATCAGGTACCCTTTGCCTGACACCTGCAAAGCTGCTGCCTGTCAGAAGAAGCCATAGTGGTCTTTTGAAACTGATCAAATAGCCTGATCTAGTGTTCGGTGCCCTGTATTCCTCTGAAGGCGAGAGCCTTAAAGAGTGTTAATGCAGAAGCTGCTTCACATGAAAAGGTCTTTCCAGTATCCACTTAGGGCTTTAGGGATCAAAATCTTCACTATGAACTGAATCAGCAAGTGGAAACCTCAAAGTACATAATTCTTGTATCACATTAGCAGGCCAGCCTTAGTGCAGCAAGTGTAGCATAGCAAATGCTTTTCTTTCCTTTTCCTCCTACCATTTTATTATCAAATGAGTCCGTGTGGCACCTGTAGACATGCACTCATAAGGAACCCCAAGTGTGCCCATGATCGGCACACTTTCCCCTAAAGACAGTGAAGTGAGATTGCTCTACAGAATTTAACAGAAGTAGGGGAAAGGTTGCCCTACCAAACAGTGGCTTGGGAGAGAGATCCCATCACGCTGAGGACTTGGTGCCCCCCTCCCTCAAGCCACTTTCTCCATGGGGCTGTTTCCCCTTTCTCTGTATTAAAATATATGGAGTGATATCTAACTCCATTGACTTTATTAAAGATGGGAGATAATTCTGAGGAGTCCAGAAAAGGGTGAAAATCTAGAGCAGGTGGCATTGCCAACTTTTTACCTGCCATGACAATCACTGATGGGACCAGGGCACATTCAAAATGTCAATTGTGCCAACCGTCAATCCCTGAGTTAGGCTTATGTGCAAAGATGATCTTAATATGCTTCTTCATGCTGAGGATTTGAAGAATTTCCCTTCTACACTTGACCCCTTTGGCTTGTGATAAGATTCTTAACCTCAGGAGCTTCACCGGAAACCCTATTTTTCTAACCCTTAACCCTAAACTGGGCCTCTACCGTAACCCTAATTTCTCATTCAATGCACATGCCTCATGCTGCATTTCCAACATCTCTAGCTTCTGCTCTTTTTCTGCATCATTCACCTAATATTTGTCTCCAGAACACATTCCAGGCTGCAGGAGCTCCACAAGAACCCTCATTTTTCAAACCCAAACCCCACAGATGGCCTTCACCCAAAACCTCAATTCCCATTTAATGCACATGTCTCTTGCTTAACCATCCAAACAGTTACACATTGGAAACCCAGCATGAGACATGTCTATTGAATGGGAAATTCGCGTATATAACTCACCACAATGCAGAATCATCGGGAGCCTTCCCCCGACCTGCAGCCCTGCAGGCAAGCTCTTAGCTGCCTCCCAGTCCCTTCTCTGCTTGCATGTGCCCTCCCCAGCTTCTCCATTCCACTTGCTGTCCAGCTCTGCTGTTGCTGCTGCTCCCTCCTTCTTTTGAGGCCAAATACCAAAAAAGGGCCATAATTAAAAATGTTTAAATAAATAAATAAAATGATCATCTGTCTGTTCAGCTGCTCTACAGAGGTGATGCTTGCACTGGGAGGCAGATGCTAATACAGATGAAGCTTCATTGGCTCACCTGCCATTCGCCTCCTGCTGTGCAGCTCACTTCCAAACAGCCCAAGGACTGGTACCGGTCCATGGCCCAGGGGTTGGAGACCTGAAAACCTGATGTTGTCAATGTTATATAAAAGAGAGAGAGGTGGATGGAAACCTGCATGCAGAAGGGGAAGATTAAACTGACCTAAACAGGATAAAGATGGTGCAAAGTACATTCAGAAGAGAAAGTGGGATTTGAGAGCAAGGAGTGTTTGTGAAGGGAAACATTGGTCTACTCGCTAAGGAAGTAAGTTACTGAACATTTCAAAACAAATACGCTTCTTGTAGTAATAAAATTTTATTTATTTATTGTTAACCGTCATAGAATGTTTAAGTACCAGTGTCTCATCCTCTGAACCACGTCCAATGAAGGAGTCTTATAGCTTGGTCACAATGCTGTGGGAGGAGTTAATTAATGAGACTGGAATTAAATTCCTGGTGGCAGCGGTAACAGTGAGCGTTCCAGAAAGTTGCAGCTAAAGGCTGGAAAAGCAGGAGGAAGGATGAAAGCAGGACTTGGGAGACAGAGAAGGACTGCAACTTTCTACTCAAACACAATGGGCCTTTCTGATTATCTGTTCTGAAAATACAGCCACCTTGGAGCTGCTGTTGAAAGCTTCATCCGTGTGGAGGGGAAACTTCTACACAGGCATGGAATGCGCACGGTTCCAGTCCTACATCACAGCTTGTAGCATCCCTGCAGCAGCCTGCACTGTGAAGGCTGCAATGGAGATCTGTCTCTTCACCTCTGCCCAAGCTTTGGGTGGGTCTGTTCTGCTTTCGATATTGAACAAGGCATCGTAGATCCCAGGGAAGGACACGCCTGCATACTTGTTGCGACTGCTTGGAGCAAAGATGACGTGTCTGTGGAATGAGGGATGCATAGGTTCAGAAGAGAACAAAAGAACCATCTCCCAGCCATTTCTTGGAGAAAAAGTATGTCTTACTTTCTGTGCTGGGTGCTTCATAAGCCTAGGGTAATTTTCAGAGACTTATATAAAAGCAATCAAACATTTTTTTTTTAAAGGAAAGGAAAGAGCTTGTTCAGAGAACGCTAAGAAAGAATAACACAGTCTGAAAAGCCTACAGTGTCTCCCCAGTCAGAGCCAGTCTTACTCAAGTAGAACCTCCAGGTCTGCACCAGTGACGGTCACGAATAGCCAGTGAGATGCAGACATGGCAATCCCCTCAAAGAGTTGCACACCAAACGATGTGGAACTTTTCTGATAAGCACATGTACTTTGGCCTGAAATGCTTTCTAAGTGCCCAGAGTATATGATGCAGGAGGTTAGTGTAAGCCAGAAATGTCCCCAGCAGCTCCTGTCATTCCAAGCCAGCACTGATCAGGGATCCAGGAAGTTCCAGTCCAACTGCACCAGGCTGGGGAAGGCTGCAGTCTACAGTCCATGCATCAGGGGCAGGTATGCTTGAAACCGTCAAAGGAACATATACCTGAAACACCTTATGCAACCATTCCATCTTTCACAGCCCACTGCACTACTTGGGAGGAGCACAAGGTATCCATGATATGCTCCAAGAGAATCAAGTTAATCCACCTCTCCTTATCTTTCTTTCTGGGGGTCATGGAATCACAGAATTACAATAAGTTGGAGGGCGCAATAATGCTATTAGGTCCAACTCTGCTCAGTGCGGGACTCCAAAGCAAAGCATGGCTGTCCAGCGACATAAAATCATAATAGTAGAGTTGGAAGGGGCCAAGAAGGCCATCAGGTCCAACCCCCTGCTGTTGCTGGTCACCATATTACACCATCCCACTCAGATGGCCATCCAGTTTCTCCTTGAATGGCTCTAGTGTGGGAGAGCCCACTACCTCTCCAGGCAGCTGGTTCCACTGTCATATTGCTCTGATAGTGAGAAAACTTTTCCTGATATCTGGCCTGAATCTGGGTTGTCACAACTTGAGTTAACTATTCCATGTCCTACACTCTGGTATCAGCAAGAAGAGGTCTTAACCTTCTTCTTTGTTACATCTTGCACGCCTCCTGTGTGGAAGAACCTACAACCTCCCTAAGTAGTGTGTAGACACCCCCCCCCCCCCCCAGTGTAAACCATAGCATTCCAACCAAAATATTGAACCGATTCAGAACTGGGAGGACATAGCCCTTTACACAAATGGACCAGCCTTCCAAGGGTTGCTAGTGTACAAACATAGGAAGTTGCTTGGTATGATCTAGCCCAGGACTGTCTATACTTGGGCTCCAAGCAAAGAGCCATCCCACTGCTACACAGTCCTTTATGGAAAACCACACAACAGTTCAGAAACTCAAGCCTAAGGTCACAATCCAGCCATACACTCTTTCTCCACTCATTGATCCTTTGGTGATTCCCTGGTGTTTGCACAGTGTTTTTTCTCTTCTAAATGGATGAAAGAAAATAAACTGGCAAAACCAGTGGAGCTTCTACTGCTAGGACTGCCCCAAAGTTCAATATAAAGTAGGATCATAAATTACAATGAATGTGGGGTTGGTGGTTTGTTAACTTTTGCAGCCAAGAGGGTGAAGGGGGACCTTCTGTAAGTAGGAGAAGAAGCCTGGCTTACAGGGATGTTTTGGCTAGCAAGACTGGAGAGGTAGGTGACTGCTGGCCCAGCAGAGGTCCTGGTCATACTGGTGCTGGTGAAGGTAAGCTGGGGAAAGATGACTCCATTGTGGCTAGATGTTCCTAAGGCAACTTCCTCTAACCTCATGTTCTCCATGTCTTTTGAACAACTCCCAGAATTCCTGACCATTGCTTGCCCTGTCTGAAGTCCAAAGCAAAGTACTATTCATGGTAAATGCTTGCAGGTTCTTTCATAACCATGGCATTGCAACCAAATTCAGAGCATAGTTTCACATCATATCTACATCAGTGCAATGCAATGAGAAAATCCCATCATCTAGAAACTGGGCAGTGATCCTAGTGTTGGCCAATGACCCCACCAAACCAATGACTTTTCTCAGGGGTGAAAATTTATGGGGAGGAATCTCTAGACCCTGGCTGCCTGGGCAGCTGGATGTTTTAATCCTTTTGTTTGCAACTTCCCCTGGGACCTTTAAGGGAGTGTTCAAGAACTACCTAGCTATGCTTTGAAAACTAAGCTTCCCTGTGCCATGATGGCTTACCTGTAAAACCGCCTACCGGGCAACCCAAGAGGATCAATGAAAGCTCTTTCTAGTAGCATCAGCTGATCATTCATGATCCGTACAGCAGTGGGACTGCAAAAGTTGGAGACAAAGGGGAAAGCATCAAATACTCCCAGACATGAGAAACCATCTTTACCATGCTGGCTGGGGGATGATGGGAATTGTAGTCCAACACATCTGCAGGACAGAGGTAAGTAAGTCTACTTCTTGATCAACCAACTCTCTTCTCCATTCTTCTGTTTTCTCATGTTTTTGGTTGGTCATATTGCATTACCTTCTACTCACATGTAAGTGCCACTAAAGTTCCCAGATAAGTGAGAATTGCAGCCTTGATGGATTGCTACTTGTTAATCAGGGCCAGGACCTTCCAGAGGTCCTGGCCAAGTCCTCTTGGGTATTCCAGATGACTGTACCTTTACTCACTGATGTACATTTACTCTTTTCCCACAACTGGTATTTGATGGTTTCCCAGTCATTGGGCATTTTGTTCCCCATTCTAAAAGGCAGAAAGTCTTCTTCTGAGGCTTCGTTACTGGCACGAAGAGCTTTAGGCTAAACTACATTAGGATATCATCATCATCATCATCATCATCATCATCATCATCATCATCATCTCTCCTTTCCCTTTGGTCCTCTCCATCATTGGAATGCAGCTTCCAAGGGCTTCTTTGAAAGAGAATTTGGCCCATGCACTGAAATAGGTTTCCACCCATGTTTTCCCTACCTGGCCATGACTCTCCAGGTCTTGGACAGAGGACTGAAAGAAACTCAACACCCCTGTTATAAATAGATATCCCCACTTTCCATTATAAGATATTGTATTGTTCTGTGCCATTGCTATATAAACGAACATTTCTTAAGATGCCTCATTTTAATCCTTAACTATGCATCCACTGTGTAAAACAAATGCTTACTTCTTTTTTAACTTACTCATTCTTATCGAGCTGCAACAGTCTGTGCTGGAAATCAGCTGCTGCATCTGTGAAATTAGCCACAGCTGAAAAGAGCGGATCTGCAAACACGGAGTCACACCATTAGTAAGCTAACAAAAAAAATGGGAAAGCATATTTGAGAAAGGGGTCAGGAAGTATGGCTTGCATGCAGAAGGTCATAGTTAAACTGGCATCTCCAACTAAAAACTGGCATCTCCAACTTGGGGAGTACCAAGCAAAGTGTCTGCCATTTTTATTTGTCTGACTGCTGCTGCCCTTCTCTGATGCTGCTCACAACCTGGGCTGGTACCAGAGTACCTGCTGCTATCTGGTACCTGAGCTGCTGGTAACTGGGCTGGTACCAGGGACCAGAGCAAGCCATGCTGGGGACAAATGGTGGCACATGGAAGAGAAGCCCTGAACCAAGAGGTTGCAGAAGCTGAGCACAAATTAATGCAGGAGTGGGACAGGAGGGGACAGCTTTCCCAGTGCACTCTCAAGCCCAGTGCCAGCCCTGATTCTCCCAGAATACTCCGGGAAGGGTAGTTCTTTAAGAGGAAGGGACCTGAATATGCAACAGAAGATCCTCAGCACTTCCTCAAGGCAGAAACAACTCCTAGGCGCAGGTCAGAAAGCAATTAACTAAAACCACCCAGAAGCATTAGGTGAACAGGGTCACATAAATTAAGCCCTTTTCCTTAGGAGCATGTCTGCGTTACTTGAAGATGCTGTTATGATTTGACAGACCACATGGTCTTTATCTCCCTTTTAACTGGGTAAGAGGCATACCAAAGGGCTGCTAAAATGGCCAGCATGTTTTTAGGCTGCATTAAGAGAACCACCATTTCTAAGCTCTCCGTTACTCTGCCCCAGTCCTACTTCATCTTGATAACTGGGCCAAGCTCTGGACCTGGTGCTGGGCCTGACAAAGGATAAGATGAACCTGGAAGAGTTCTGATGAAGAAAACGAAGTTGGGCAGGGGTACAGAAAGTAAGACGTGTGCTTCGTAGCATGGAGAAAAGTAGACAGCCGGGTGTCAAGGTAGTCCTTCAAATAGCCCTTGGTGAGCTGGGACAGGAAGAAGGCAAAAACTTGTTCTCATTCTCTGTTCTCCCAAAGGACTGGACTAGAGGGTAGATTTTGGTTGGACATTACGAAACCTTCCTTGGAAGAGTAGTTCAACAATGGAACAAAGGATCCACTGTAGAGGGGAGATAGGCTCTCTTTTACCACCAAGAGATCTTCAGGTAGAGGCTGGGTTAAGCAGCCCTCTGGAAGATGCTCCCGTTGTGGCATGCCTACATCAAGAAGGGGGTTAAAATAGACAGCCTGTGATTGGCCACCCCAGCTCTAAAATTCTGTGTCTGCAATTCATATCCAGGAAGGAGGGGTGTGTGAGTTTGCAGAAGCTACTTTAGGGAAGCTGTTTGCTTGCTTGCTTGCTTGCTTGTTTTTACTAGAAGCTTGAGATCCACCAACCAGAGCCTGGTACAAAAGATACAGACTTAGAGTTATGAGGTCAAGAATTCATTCTGTATATCAAACCTGATCTCCTCCGCCCCCCACCCCAGATTTTCCACACCCAAAGACACTCCTGTTTACCCCAAACTTTCTTCATCTCAGCTGCTTTTGGGGTGGGGAAAGGTCATTTTGTTGCTGTGACTGTTCAACAGCTGAGTCCAAAATCCTTCTCCATCTGCTGCAAATCATCCATCCATCTATTAGTAGATTGGGATGGGAGGTACCCCTTGATCATCCCTTGATCCACTCTCTCTCTTGGTACCAGTGGTCACCAGTGAAGGCATCAGAGGAGGGTTCAGTAAGGACTGTTCTATGACATGCTGATTGTCTGCAACTAAATTCTGAGTGCTTGAATTTGCCTCCCCCTTCCACGCATGCACACATCCATCTTCCCCTTGGTCCCATCTTTTAGATGATACATCCGCAAGTAGAGATGTATTTCTTATCTTTGTGTGCTGGGAAATGGTGGACTAAAGAGTGAAATAAAAATGTATTTAAACATGCTATAATGATACCTTCTCCCCCTCTCCGATAAAAACCATCATGATGTGGATTTAAAATAGTTTTTGAGTCTCACTCACCAAAGGACACTCCATACAGCTCAAGTTGCTTTTTGTGTTTCTTGGCCAGATCATGGACTCCATTGGCATAGGTCTCCAAAGCTTCTGCATAATCCTGGCAATGCAGAGGAAGGAGCAGGGCATCGGCCAGCTCATACACGAGGCCTGCCCGCAGCTGAGCAACAACAAGCTGCTTCCTGAAAGCGGGGTCATAAAACCGCTCGACCAGCTCAAAGGTCTCATAGCTGGTGTGGTAAAGAGGGTAGTTACTGAATTTGTCCACTTTCTGTAAAGGGGATGAAACAAACAGGTCAAACAGCACCAGTATTTTCATCAAGCAGGAAAGAGAGAAACTATACTCAGCATTGTATCTTTTTTTGTAGTAAGACCCTTTTTTTAAAAGTCTTCACTTAGGCAAGCCAAATTCTGGAAAAGCCCCAGTCTGAGAGCTTTATCAGCAATACACACTGTTGTTTCCTATGGGGCCATGCCAGCTCCAGAGGGCTTCTGTGTGAGACTCCTGACCCACATGGGCTGGGGGAAGAAATGCCAGGCTGTTCCAGCCATGAGTTGGCCACAGCAGCCCATTATACTCATGACCTGAGAAGTCAGGTGAGGCCAGGGGTTCCATCCGTTGCTATACAAAGTCCTGAAGGCTTTCTTCCAAGACCAGTCTTCCAGGCAGGTTTTTTCTCCCCCACTGCTACCAATATTTCTTTTAATCAATTTATTTTGCCTTGAAAGTGCTTTCCTGCATCATCAGTGGCTTGCAAAAGAGGACCTTTGAGGGTCTGTACAATTATCCAGCCCTCTGTTAAAGAATTGAGGCCTTTGAATTGTGGTGCTGGAGAAGACTCCGGTGAGTCCTTTGGACCGCAAGGCGATCAAACCGGTCAGTCCTAGAGGAGATCAACCCTGACTGCTCGTTAGAAGGCCAGATCCTGAAGATGAAACTCAAATACTTTGGCCACCTAATGAGGAGGAAGGACTCCCTGGAGGAGAGCCTAATGCTGGGAACAATAGAGGGCAAAAGAAGAAGGGGACGGCAGAGGATGAGGTGGCTAGATGGAGTCACTGGGGCAGTTGGTGTGAGCTTGAGTGGACTCTGGGGGCTGGTGGAGGACAGAAAGTCCTGGAGGAATGTTGTCCATGGGGTCGCGATGGGTCGGACATGACTTCACAACTAGCAACAGCTGTTAATGGAGGTTGCTGTTGCTTCCAGTTTTGTTGCTACTAATGCATATACACCAGAACTTTTCTAGAAGCAAAAATGAGAAAAAATGAATTGTCATATTTTGGGCACGTTGTGAGAAGGCAAGACTCCCTGGAGAAAGACAATCATGCTAGTGAAAGTCCAAGGCAGAAGAAGAAAAGGATGACCAAACATGAGATGGATGGACTACATAAAGGAAGCCACAGCTTTGAATTTACAAAGCTGAACAGGATGTCATGGATATGATTTGAAGGACTATCATTTGTAGGGTTGCCCTAAGTCAGAGATGAATTGACAACACATAACAACAACAACAGCAATAATGCATGTACTGGTATTAACTTATTCCCTCTCACATTTTCTAATTTAAGTAGGCCAGATTATCTTATTTAGTCCTCCTACTAATAGGATTCTGGTTTCTGTTGTCATTTTATGTCTTGCAATTTCCATTGTGGTGTGTATTATACCACAAAGCTTCCTCTTCAACCTAGGCTTCTAAAATCCGGTCCACACCAGTGGCAAAATGCAGCTGCTTAGCAGATGCTGTAGACTGCACCACTTCAGATGGCAAAGTGGGATGCCATACAAAAAGCACACCTCCTCACAAGCAAAAAATAACACCATCTAGCACCAGGGAAGAAAGAGACTTCCCCTGAGTCTGCTCCATGCTGTGCTCATTTTCTGCTTATGATGAAGACAAGGCTTTTTGTTGGATTGCATAGTTGTTTTTTAAGGCAGGCTAATATTAAATAATGAGGTTCTCCCACCTGCAGTCTGAGATACTCTGCTTCATTACTCCGTCTCAGTGTGATATTTGAGTTGCAGCCAGAAACCTTCCAAGTTCAGATTCCCATGTAGCAGAACACCCCTCCACCCACCCATAAGCTGACCAGTCAAGGTGGCTGCAGTTGTGATTCCAAGTACGGCCAAAGCAGCATCGAAGGGTTAATGCCCTCCTTTCCCCCTGCCCTGGTGCCAAAGTCCTGATCCAGTCTGTGGCTCAGTGAAAGACACAGGCAAACTACAGGACGAATGTCATGTCTACTTTCTCCTGGAGCAAATGGGCAAAGAACATCTTTCCATTTTATCCACCTTTGCAGAAGCATCGAGTGGTACTTCCCAGGGCTGGTGTCAAGAGTGGGCATGATCAGGCACATGCCAAGGGCCCTCACTCCAGCAGGGGCCACTGGCACAAGCATCCTGGACATTCTCCTCCACTTTGCCGCAGCAACCTGCTCTTCACCTGCTTCTTGCAGGGCCCAGATGACTGAGGCGAGGAGGAAGAGGAGCAAAGAGTGCGGTGGCCTAACTGCTCCTCAGCTCTCTGCCTGTCGAATGAGCAGCAGCAGTGATGAAAAAGAGATGAGAGCAGGAGCATCTGGGGACCATGGCAGGGAGAGGGGAGGCTGCCCACAGAAGGGGACCCTGGACTGCATAGCTGTCTTGCCCAAGCACCCTCCAGAATCTGGGGCCAGTACAGGCACTCCTGCATCTGCAGAGCAATGCCCTTAGGATTCTTTTTCCACTCAGAAAGAACTGGACACCACAAGACAGAAAAGGAGCCCCACTGCAAAGAAGCGGTCGCAGCCCTCCAAAAATACACCCACAAACAGCAGTGTCAGCTTCCAACAGGCTGATCGGCTTACCCTATTCTTAGTGTAACGTGCTCTGCCTGATACAATCCCCAGCCGCTGGAAAAACGCCTCGAAATCGCTACCGGATCCAAGTTTGTTTATCCTGCCCAGAGCGGGAAGAAAAGCAGGTTATCACCAGGTCTCTCACAATGCCACCCCTCAAAAGCTTTGGAACTTGGGCTTCAGAAGGAAAGTCTCATCCTTTGCAAGTGTGGAGAGGGGGCCTGAAAGAATCCTTGTAAAATCTGCCAGAGAAAATGGGGCAGAGGTGGATTCAACCGTGTGGTGCGAGATTTTGCCATGCACACAACACTGTAACAGTGCCTGGAGCTGTGCCCACAGGGGGAACCAGGAAATGCAGGCAGCAGGGATGACAACGACGACGATGACAGTGGTGATGGTGTTTATTTATATCCCACCTATTCCCAGCACCTAGGACCCAACAAGGCAATCCCAAAAAACCAGTTCAAGGAGTTTGCATCCCTGCTAGGAGCAGCTCCTGTGTGAACCGAAGGGGTCTGAATTCTCCATTCTAGACTGGGTCACCCCAAAACACTTCTTTGCATTTCCACAGGGCCACATATATCATTGTAAAAACCCTACCCTGGTTAGCTCTGAGAACCGCAGCTAACTTCAGGGTGGTGTAGCAATTAAATAAACAAATAACCTCAGAGCAGGGGTGGAATTCGGGTGGAAGTGGCAGGGGATGCCAGTGCCCTGCTAATTCAAAAAACATGCTGGTGTTGCATCCAGTGGACCCAGTGGCCACTCAGCCATGAACTGGACAGTCAAAAGATAGCTCTGGAGCATGGCCTGCCTCACGGATAGGGATTTGGCCTCCATTAAGCCATCTTATGGGTAGCTGTAAAGCTGGTACTTCCTTATCACAGCACAGTTAGCCAGCCAAGGAGACGGGCTGGTTGGAACATCCTTAAGCAGTGACTGATGAGCTGATAGGATAAAGCTGGGAGATCTGGCGTAGTGTTAAGGCTGGAGCATGTGTCTTGCGTCTTGGCCCGCATAATGAGGATTGATTGACTGGTGTCAGCCTGGGATTCAGGAGATCAGGGTTCTAGTCCCACTCAGCCATGAACCTCACTGGGTGACTTGGGGCTAGTCATGGACTTTCAGCCTGATCTACTGCACTGGGTTGTTGTGAAGAAAAGACAGAGAGGAGGACGAACAGGTATTCTTAGGTTCTTTGCAGGAAGGGAAAAGATGGGACAAGAATGGGTGTGTCTGTGGTGTGAGAACGCTGATGGCTCATTTATACATATACACAATGAAGTGTGAGAGACCTCCAGTTGCGTGCTAGACAAGATCTTACCTGGGTAGGTTCTTACTTTCTGGGGAGGGGTCTTTTTCAAGCCAGCTGTCATACAGAGATTTGCTTTCATACCCTTCATCAGGGCTTGGGATCTAGAGAGGGAGAAGAGCTGCTTTTACTGTGACCCACTTAGAAATTTGTATATATTAAGCAATGCAAACACAAAACAAACAGATAAAGCCTGCACGAACCATTGTGTCTATTGTTCCTGTTCTAAATATATAAATACTTTTTACTCTCTCCATACGATGACTTGAAGAAGACAAACCCACAGTTGATAAAATGAGAGGAGGCAAAAAGGGTTGAGTGAAAAGGAAGAGTGAATATTCTAGCCATGCTGGAGGCTCCTTCACGCATTACTCGCTTAAAGAGGATGTGCCTGATGCAAGAAGCATCCAAGATCCCCCACTGGCCACACACCTGACCTTATGCCTTCCTCCAGCCACATCCTCCAGCATCCATGCAGTGAGCATGGATCCGCACAGGTCAGCAGCGCAGAATCGGGGTCTCCAGGGATCCTCCCATACCCCTTTCGATCGGTGAGAGTCTGGTAGTTTCCTAACCCTTTCTCAGATTCTAAGCGGCTGAAAGTGCATCTCTGAAGATGCCTTTATGGACAGTATTAGTTAACCTGATTATTATTACATTGCATTGATATCCTGCCTTTTACCTCTTCTAAGGAGCCGAAGGTGATTTAAATGGCTGTTTATCCTCATAACAACAACCCAGTGAGGTGAGGCAGGCTGAGAGGGAGTGACTGGTCCGGTCACCCAGTGGGATTCGTGGCCAAGTGGGGACTAGAGGCAGCATCTCCAGGTCTCCAGTCCAACACTCAGACCACCACATTAGCTCTAAGCTTTCAGATAAAATGTCCTGCTTATGGGGGGTGGGTATTATGGGGTCTCACACCTGGTTGCCTTCAACTCTCCTGCCACTGCAGCACAACCCAAGGATTTCTGAGAAAACTAACCGGCATGGATGAAACCTGCACTTGCACACATGTCCTAGCATGCAGTCCCTATACATGGAGGGTTCCAGATTTCATAGATGTCCATGTTCCAGATGTGAAAGTCAGAGAAGGGTGACCAGAAAGCCGAGTGACTTCCTGAACTCCACAGCCTCTTTAATCATACGGAGCCCCTTCCTGAGATACAGCACCAGAAACGACCCATGAAGAATAGCCATGGCTTGTCATTGGATTGAAAACTGTAAATGTGTTATTTCAGCTGGGTTCAGACAACACGGTAACCCACACTCAGATAGGGTTGAGTGGGTTGAATGTGGGTTGTTGTAGAACCATGTGTTGTTGCTGGAATGTGGTTCACAGATTCCTGAGAAGATTTGATATTAGAAGATGCCCTGAGGAGATTCTACATAACATTTGGCCAAAGCAAGACCAGGGTGCACACCTGCCTTTTGTAATCATAAGATCTAGAAGCTTGAAATTAAAAACTGAGATTTTCAAGAAGCTGTTTTCTGCACTTGACAGAAATCACCACGGGGTGCAAAGAAAGGTGAGTAAGATGAAGAGAAAGAGCAGGAGGAGGAAGGATGCTTAACTCTTTGTACCTCTTTAGTCAGATTGTACACCAGTTGATTGAGGAGTGGCGTGCAGTCTACTCTTAATGTGTAGTTGCCTGAAAATCAAAGCACAGAGCAGAGTCGCTTCCTTTCAGCATTAATGTGCTTCACTTTTTAAAATAAAATTGAAAGCATCCAGTTAAAAGAAAGTCATTATGGGAAGCCTCGTAGCCGTGTGGCTGCTTGTCTTCTCCAGGGCTGCAGAACCTCATGCAGTGGGGCCAAATTTGGGTTCCCCGGGTAGCCACCCCCTTCCCCTTGCCTCCCCCACTTTCCCAGCTGTCAATCACTTGGTAGCTTCCCAGCATGGTGCATGCTTTTATTCCATTCTAAGAAGCTGAAATGCTTCCTTCAAGGCTTAGCTAACTGGCAGTGAGACTCAGGGGTGATGAATTCAACAGCAATTGGAGGAAACCAGACTAGGGGAGGTTGCTCTGGATGGTGGTCAACCCCCATCTCGATGGCTTATGTGCAAAGGGGTTGCCATATTATCCAGAGCCAATTTCTACAGCATCCAGAGTCCAGATTTGGCCCTGTGCCCAAGGCATGTTAGAAACAGACATGCAACAACAAGGCAAAAGCTGCCAGAGCTGCAGTTTCCCACTCAGCCTGCAGACAATATATCTGTAGGAACAGGCAGTGTCTCCTCCCTGGATCCAGTGACTTTGAAGAAGTTAAAAGTTAGATATTGGGTTCACTCCAGTATTTTTTACATAACTGTGGGAAACTGGTTGAATGCTTCAGGATGAGTCAAGGCGTGTCATCATCCACAGCTTTCTTGAACAGCGTTAAGATTTTCTTCCTACAGAACTTTGTAAATGGCTGAGAGCTGGTCTGGTGTCATAGCCAGAGTGCTGGATTGGGGTTCTAGTACTCAGATCTCTGCTTTCTGTCACCTTTGAAATTCACCGTGTGACTTTGAGTCAGCCTAACCTACCTCACAGGGTTGTTGTGAGGATAAATGGAGAGTAGGAGAACCTTGTAAATTGTCTTGGGTTCCTTGCAAGAGGGAAAAAGTGAGGTATAAATGTAATGTAAAGAGGAGGAGGAGGCAGCTTCCCATGAGATAACAAGATATTGTAGACACCAAGGAAGTCAGCTGTAGAATCTGCCTTCAGAGAAAAGAGACCTCTCATGAGAAGAAACACTCATGTCACGTAAGATCTTCCACCTGACCTTGGGGAACCCTCTCTCCCCATTCCACAGCTTACCTCCACCCTTGTGCGTGTGCGCGTGCGCACACACACACACATATTTTCTATTTGTCCACCAGTCTGTGCATGCTAGGGAAAGGGTAGCTCAGATAGAAGACTTCTAGTTCTAGCAGTCAGAAGACATCGCAAAAGCCTTGATACAGAAAAAAGACTGCAAAAGACTGAAGGATTCATACAAAAAGATAAGAGGGTCTCGAGTAGACCTGCCTCACCCTATCCCTCAAACCTCCATGAATGAGGCACAAAAGCACCCAGAGCTTTTCGTATCATGCCAACACACTAGGAAAAAATACAAAGCCATTCACATTCAGTTTGCCAAAGCTTTGCTGCCTTCTCACCTTGGGGAGACTCTGAATCACTCCAGGCGAGTCGGTGAGGGAGGACAAGTCTGCCCAAGTTGGCTGCTAACATGAGCCATCAAGGAGAAGTGGATGGTGCATCGTTTGAATTGGCTGCCAGCAGAAGCCAGCCCCACGCTGCATGTGAACGTCTGGCAGAACTAAGCCCTAAAGTCTAGCTCACAACTGTTTGGATTATGGCAAAAGGTCATTCACCTTCTATGGAAGAATCCGTGTTGATGTAAGCCACGGCCCGGGCCTGCAGAATTTTGGCATTTTCCTGTGGTTGCAAGAAGAAAAAAGCATTACTGGGCTGCCTCCATTAGCTAGCAGATGGAATGGAAGACAAACTACTTTCAAAAATATGAGCTACGAAAGCCAGAGAGATTTGGATCCATTCCCCCCGCCCCCCAGAGATCTTCCCAGACCCCAGGCAGTCTCTTTGTTTCCTTGACTTGCATCTTTCAGTGGGTACGAAGCCCCAGAGTTACTGTCAGAAGACAGTCCAGTAGCTCTGCTTATTTAACGTGAATGATGCAGATGGGAATTTTTATTTATTTATTTATTTATTTTTCAATTTGTATCCTGCCTTTTTCCTACAAAGGGCTCAAGGCAGCTTACGTCATTCTCCTCCTCCATCTTATCCCCCAAAAAACAACCCTGTGAGGTAGGTTGGGCTGAGAGTCTGGCTGGCCCAAAGTCACCCAGTTTGTTCCATGGCCAAGCGGGGACTAGAACCCGGATCGCCTGAGTCCCAGTCCCATGCTCTTAACCACTACACCACACTGGCTGTGTGATGTTCACATACACATGTGTGTGATGTGATGTGATGTGATGTGTGTGATGTGTGTGTTCAGGAACAGTGACCAAAACTTTACACAAGCTTTTAAGTGTGGGAACACCAACGATTTATATAAGGAGAGTTCAATCTTGGCAGTTTTGTTTTCAATTTCAACCTTCAGAATGGGGAAGAAAACAGCAGAAAAGCCACCAATTGATTGATGTTTGGTGAAAAGAGGGTGGGAGCAAACTCCAGAGGGTTGTTTTGAGGTCTTAGAAGGGCTGGATTCGATGCCCAGGCACGAGGTTCTGCACCCCATCATAGACTGTCAGTTGCTTACCTCTGCCCATTCTGTGGAGCCTAATAAACCAAATTCTTCTGCATCCCAGCTGGCAAAAATGATGGTTCTTCTAGGCCTCCAACCTGCACACACACACACACACACACACACACACACACACACACAACTGAAGTTACTCAGGAAAGCATTTATTTATCCACAAATGTACTTATTTACATTTTTTTACTGTGTTGCAACTGTTTGTTCTTATTGTCATTGTTATGATTTGTTTTTATTTGACTGTAATCTGCTTAGAGGGCCCTTGGGCCAATTTAGTGGAATATAAGTTGAACTGATTAATTAATTACTTTCCCCCTGTGACTGACTGACTGTGCAGCTTTTCAGCATCCAGTCACGGGTAAATGGGTACAGGATTCCTGCTTGACTTGGTCTAAAAAAAAAAAAAAAGACACGATCCTCTTTCAGATAATCAGGAGCATTTAAATGCCTGCCCCTGAATAGTCTGCACAGCAAGAAAAAAGGCTGGTCAGTGTTGGAACGTAAGAAAAGCCATGCTGGAACTAGACGAATGCTCAGTGCAGGTCCCGCACTCCATTCTCATGGTTGCAAGCCGGCTGTCCACGGGATTGCTCGAGCAGGATGGGAACAAGAGCGCCACCTGCCCAAGCTCCTCAGCCACTGGTATGCAGGTGTGCCATCTCTGGTGAAAGGGAAGCACATAGCCACCGAGGCTAGTAGCCACCGAGAGCCTCCCCTCGCATGAATCTGTCCAATCCCTTCTTAAAGCCATCCAGATTGGACGCCATGACCACTTCCCAGGGCAGCAAGTTCCATAGTTTGACTGCTCGTCATATGAAGAAGTACTTCCTTTTATCTGTCCTAAAGCTCCTACCAATCAGCTTCATGGGATGACTCCAGGTTTGAGTGTTATGAGAGAGAGAGAGAGAGAGAGAGAGAGAGAGAGAGAGAGAGAGAGAGAGAGAATGTCTCCTCCTTCACACCATGAATACTTTTTAACACCTCTATCCTCTCTCTCCTAACTCACCCTTTTTCTAAGTTAATCAGTCCCAGTAGCTGGGCCGTCCTCATAGGGAAACTGCTCCAGCCCCCGATCATTTTTGTTGCCCTTCTCTGCACTTTTCCCAACTTAGTCGTGTCCTTTTTCAACCAGAATTGTGCACAATATTAGAAGTGCAGATGCACCGTAGATTAGTATAAGAGCTCACTCTTAGCAGTTCTGTTTTCAGTTCTGCTGCTAATTATTAACATAATTAATTATGTTCCTAAGGTGGGGCTAGAAATCACGCCATGTTTAAGAGATCTCTTTTTCCTGTGGGGTGTTTGTAGGGCCCCATCCATCCCCAAAAGCTGACTGGCACAAAACCTTTCAGTGTTAGCTAGCCGGGTGCATTGGCATGCATGCAACCATCACTGCAAAGACAGCTCCCTGCTAGACCGCTGAATTTGGGCTACTGCTCATTATTTGCATTCTTATCAAGCTTGTATGGGGGTCTCGGCTGCTCAGGACCCCCACATGCTCCATATTTTCCGATTTATGTTACCCTTCATCACCATGTTGCCAAAACTCTGAGCAACTGCCTGAAGAACGGCTGCGCCCGTGGTTGGGTCGATGCCCCCAAACACCCAGGAGTCTCTGTGGCCTCCAAAAATGACATACCGATCTAGGGAAGAGATGGAGAACATTTCAGAGAACCAGACTGGACTCAGAACAACCCTGGCAGACTTTTCTTTCTGGGTCCAGACCGTGAAACTGTTTCAATGGTCTAGGAATGGATGGGTGAGCTACAAAATATTTTTCAGGGGAGTGGTGGTGCAGAGGGGGGAGAAAAGATAGAAAATCCATTCCTCCAGAGCTGTCAGTCAGAACTCCCATAAGTACAGCCCACAAAGGATGATTGATTTTGTAGTACAAAATATCTGTAGGGCTTCAGAGTATCTATCCCACCCCACAATGTTGTTGAATTATTTCATTTCCATCCCCATTTTGCTCTTGCGAGAAACCCGAGGAGGCTTACACAGTCTTCCTCCACTCCATTTGTTGTTCTCACAACAACCCTGTGAGGTAGGTTAGGCAGCGAGTGAGTGACTGTCCCAAAGTCACCCACTAAGTTTCATAGTCAAGTGAGGATTAGAACTCAGATCTCCTGGATCCCAAGTCCAACAAGCTGCACGGTACATTATCTAGAGAGCTTCCCCACAGTGCCCAGACTTATTTCATGTTCACATCAGGAGAACCTTAAAATCAGCCGTCACAAAGCCAAAAGCTCACCAGGTTCCACAGATCCTTTGATGGTTCCAATGACATTGTATATTCTTGTGATTTGATTGAGGGTGTGAACGTGCATTCTGATCTTCCTAAAGAAACAGGAAGAAGCCATTCAGGGAAAGAACAGTAAGGCCAGCTAAAGCAGAATTTTAACACTGTTTTGGTATTTAAGAAACAAGAACTGATACAGAAGCACCTGGGTCTGATTGAGGAATGAATGGAAGGAGGAGGCCTTCTCCTGGTGCCAGAAAATGACAAGCTCTGAGCTTGGGAAATGCTACCACAAAGAAATGGGAGCAGGTCTTCAGGTACTCGTTGCACTAACCCCTGATGAAAAGGCTAGGGGATGCTCCTTGGGCCTCCAAAGTCACCTGGGCAAATGATGCATGAATTCCTCTGCCCAAAAGACAGTGCCTCTTGACGTGGATTTTATACATTTCTCTCCCCATGCTCCTCCCCTGTTTCAAAGGCTGCCTGCACACACAGGCCCTTACCCCCGATTCCCGGGGGACAGGTGAGGGACAAAGGTGCTTCGGTAAAGCAAACAGTGTTGGTTCTCAGAGCAAATGCAGCTCTTATCTTGGGGGAAACAACTTCAAAGCAATTACCTTTGGTGCTCCTGACAAGGTAAAGGCCATGAGACCTTGGTATGGCTTAAAATAAAATAAAATAAAATAAAATAAAATAAAATAAAATAAAATAAAATAAAATATCCTAGCTTTTGGACAGTGGGAAAATTTACTGCGCTGAATTCCTTTAATAACTGCCTTGCTATTCTTCCTGTAGAACCTGTCCAAAACAGTCCTGATCTTGCTTAAGTGACTCATCCAGAAAGCAATGGGTGAATGTATGCACAGCAGCAATGAACAGGCCACCGAATCCTTTTCAGTGGGCTGCTTTTTCATTTGAGCAAGGAAAAAGACAGGCATTTTGGGGACCTGCAAACACACACACCTTCCCCTCTAGTTGAAAAAGCAGGTCAACTTTGAGATGGAAACAATGGGAGGGAAAGGGTTAAGCAGACTCTCTCCTTGCATCATTTTCTTACTCACACACAGTGTGTCCAGGGATCCTTTTGGTTCATTTTAAAAACGTGGAAGGAAGGGAGGAGGGAGGGACGGACAGAAGGGTCATGGAACACTGCTTAAGGTATAACCAAAGCTTTAGAAATATTCTTAGCTTTAAAATGAATTGGCAGTACTTCAGCTACAACAGCAAAATGGAAACCTTTAGGACTCAACAAACGATCTCTTCCCCATCAGAAAGATGCAGGGATGAAGAAGCTTCACCAGTTGAAGTCCTGCCCTTCAGGCAACAAATATGCATAGCGTTCATATAGCATTTTGAAGTGTTCAAAACTAGGGCTGAGTGCACACGACACACCTTTGCTCTCCATTACACAGACTTTTGGGGGGAATTTTTCATGGCTGGAGAAATCATAACATCGAAAAGCAGGGCAGCTGCGATTCCACTCCACCCCTTCGGTTTCTCTGTTTGAATTTATTTCTTGAATCCCAGCCTGTGAGTTGGAGGGAGGGAGGGAGGGAGACAGGCAGACAAGCAAGGATGGCAGAAGTGTTCCAACTGACCTCATGGCATGGGGGTCTGAAAACCCGGGCCCCACATTATATGACACGTTCAGCTTTCCCTTCCACGTCTCGTCTGGTGCTGCAGCACCTCCCATGGACCTGCGGCAGGAAAATCAAGGCAAACTGTTTCTGTGAGTCCAGGTTGAAATAACAATCCACGTCTCTTTGATGCAGTAATGCCCAAATGAGAAGCTGGGGGAGACCCAGCGTGCGATTATGGGGGGGTCTGAGGGAGGATCAACAGCCTGTCATTAAATAGGACTGCTGTATTTCCAACGTCTGGGCACCAGTACGTGCTTACGAAGCCAGAATGGCACCAGATAGGCACAAGACGAAGGAACTTCCAGTTTTATGAAAGCAGAATAATGTTTTCAGGACAAAGAATCTGTAAGGGGATGGGAACCTCCAAATATACTCGGTGAGGGTGGAGCATGCTCATCGGCCACAGGATGCTAATCGATTGTTGTGCAGAGTGACAGAAAAGCAATGGAAGAGGGTATGGAATGGAGTATCACCGAGGAGGACGTGGCTGGCTGGCTGAACAAGGAACCGGAGCATTCCAGACGGCAACATTTTGTTGCTGTTCCCCTTTGGATAGCTATGAAACAGCCCTCTGACTTGGGAGGGGGTATGGAATGGAATATCGCCTAGGAGGGCATGGCTGGCTGGGACAAGGCACAGAAGCCCTCCAGACTGCAATGTTTTGTAGTCTGTAGAATGGAGCGGCTTCTATGCCACCCCATTCACCGAAGCCTCGGGGCGGCTCACAATAATAAATAAATAAACACAATATAAAAACAATACATTCCCATTGTAAAGTTATGAAACTGTTTCTGGCTTAACTCAACCCACCCCGCTCCAGCTAGGCCAGTGTTCCCAACTGCCAGGGCCTCAGAAGGAAAAGTTTCAGCACCTGCTACTAGCCTGAGACACATTTCAAAGAACATGGGATGCACTGCTGGAAATGACTTCTCCAAACACAAATCCCATTTGCCACCCGCTTTTCCTCAGCAATGTCCCTTTCAACTTATTTTATTCTATCTTCAAAGACCTTTAAGTGGCATTTACATATGTAGGAGGGCTTCCTCCTCTTTTTATCTCCACAGCAACCCTGTGAGGTTGGCTAGGTAGAGCAAAGTGGCTGGCCTCCAGGGTAATGTTCTTGGCTCAGTGAATAAGCGGTACGTGAGACCCCACCGCAATCCAGGAAGGGCTGGGGTGCCCAGTGCCCATGGAGTATTCACTGACTGTTGTGCGGAGCGCCAGTGTGGTGTGGTGGTTAAGAGCATGGGACTGGGACTCAGACGATCTGGGTTCGAGTCCCCGCTCAGCCACGGAGCCAACTGGGTGACTTTGGGCCAGTCACGGACTCTCAGCCCAGCCTACCTCACAGGGTTGTTGTTGTGGGGATAAGACGGAGGAGGAGAAGGATGTAAGCTGCCTTGAGCCCTTTGTAGGAAAAAGGCAGGATATAAATCAAAAAATTAATTAATTAATTAAATTGAGCAGCCTGGAAAAGGGGTGGCTGAGCACAAGACTCCTGTGGGGTCACACCCCAGAAGTGGCGATGGACCAGAACCCCAGGATCTGCGCCCCTTTTTCACGCATGCTAACTGCTTGTTCAGCAGCTTCTTATTTTTGCTCCGAACATGGTGGCTATCCTCGCACAAGCAAGCAAGCAGGTGGCAAAGGAGAAAGAAGGGAATGGGAATGGCAGCTGTGGGCAAAGGCAGCCACTTGGTGGAATCACTGGAGGGGGGGCCCTTGGGTTTGTCTTGCCCAAAGGCCCCCCAAAACATGGAGGGCCCACTGCTGCACTGCAGCTTTTTGCTGCAGGTACCACTGGTCTTCCTGGGTCACAAAAAGAGGTTGTGTGAAGGCACTTGCTTCGGAGCAAGCTCCAAGCAACTCTACCAGCTGATTCTGGGAGACCCTCTTGTCAGGCAGGGAACAAATTCTCCCCCTCCATCCAATGCATGCATAACATTTATTCATATCCCATCATTTTTTCTGCAAAGAACTCAAGGTGGTTTACATATGCCTCCTCCTCCTCCTCTCCAACTCATCCTCACAACAACCCAGTGAGGTAGGCTAGGCTGAGACTTTCCCAAAGTCACTCAAGTGACTAAGTGTGGACTGAAAACCCAAACCTTTGGAGTCCCAAGCAACAACTCCGAAAGTCAGCACATTAAGAGCTGTAGTGAGCCTTATCTTGAGCCGACGACTCGCTGAAAAAGCAGCTGATGTGCTGATTTTGGGACCTCCAACTCACAAGGGTCATCCTTCGCCCTTTTGTGAAGTTCATTGGACAAACAAACATGATCCGTGCGAGTCAATTTAATCTATGTACCGTAATAACATTTCAGCATCATGATAACCAATTGGATGAACTGGGATTTTGGGAATTCCCACTCCTTCATCAGTGTCGTACCTAAAGGTGTATTCTGAGAAATCAAGAACAATTTGAGAGAAGCAGGAAGTTATTTCTGAGCAGACTGTGGGAGAACAAGAAGCTAGTGAGAGAACAGGGTGGCTTAAGACAGAAAGCTGGTAAAGACGTGCATGCATAAGATAGAGAGCTTTAGAAGATTCTCCATCAGGTATCACTTCTTGCGGCATACTGACAAGAATATGTGACAAGCTTCTATTAGATAACAATATGTAGCTACATCTTTGCTTCCATTGGAATAGAATGAGAGCCATTGAGCAAATAGGCTGGGCATCTCCTGCTCTTTCATCTCATTATCCCCATTTCTGGGCCAGAGTGAGAGGCAGATGAACAAGCAGGTGGCCATGGTAAAGAGGAAAAGCAAATCCTAGGAATTCTTCTCAGTGGGGGCCCGTGGAGCCATGGAACATCAGCAAGGGCCCAACCATGCCTACCCTTGATTCCAGACCTACTTTCTGCATACAGCAAGCTAAAGAGAACCAAGGAGGGACTTGTGGGTCACACAAACAAGGTCTTCACCCAAATCCTCCAAACACAAAGGTATCTGAAACTGAGCAGCAGTGACACAACAAGGCATAATGCCTCTCTCATTATAATAACATCATCATCATCATCATCATCATCATCATCATTATTTTAAAGTTTTTATATGCCGTCCAATACTAAAGTCTCTGGACAGCTTACAAAAAACAAAATAACCACATACAACAAACAACACACAACACACTGCATCTGATCTTTAATGATAAAATCAAAGATAAAACCAATTGAATGTTAAAATATTTGGAAAATAAAAAGGAAAATAAAATAAGGACAGGACAGGACAGGGAAATACATAAATTAAGAGCAACAGCAACAAGAAGAACTTCCCTTTGCAGGTTGCAATCCTAAGAGCCCAGATGTGGAACTATATCCCCCAGAATGCAAGGTACCCACTTCCTCATAAATGTGTGTAACACACCACTGGTTGGAGCCGCTGTTTCTCACCTTTTGCTGGGTACCCCGGTGTCAGGGGGTCTCCTGCCCCATTTAGGTTCAACACATTCCCGCGCTGAACCGCTCCCCCAGGAAGGTTCCACCCATCCGGGTAGGGACTGACTCCAGGTGCACAGTAATCCACAGGGTCTGAGTAAAGGATCATCCCTTTAGCTCCAGCTAAGATGGCATTTTTAACCTACAGAGCAGTCAAACATTGAAAGTGGTGTTCAGAATGTGCTTCCCCACAGCCAGGGATAAGCAGTACCCTCTGGCATTCCTGTTGTGGCAAATTCAGTCAGGCCACATGCTTTCACCTGGGGTGGGGGCAACGCATCTCTCCTCGGCTACTTGCTAACTCCAGCTTTCGTGAGGCCATTGCTTCTTTGACCCCAAATCCCAGCTGTAACTTGACAACTTCTGCACCTGGCAGTGACGAAACGTGCTCGAGAATTGACTTGATCGGGCACCAGATTATACTGCTTGCAGTGATCCCGTTTTCCCACCACTGCTTTAGTCTTTTTCTTACTGCAGAAAAGGAGTGGGAGATGGGATTTGTGCACCATGCCTTGCGAGAGGTAGTGCTAGGAGCCCTCCATCTGGAGGCGTCCTAATGAATTGAAGCTGAACTGTGATGCCCTCTCACCTGCAGACATGAGACATACCTGTGAACAGACTCAGGCGTACCTGAATGCCGTGGGACTTCCCAACAGACATGTATAAGATCACACTGTAATTCTGCAATCTCCATTTTGTGACTTACTCTAAAATGCAGACCCCCTGGTCATAACAGCTGCCTTAATCTTTGTTCCCTTCTCCTTCTTTTTGAACTACTTAACCTGATGGAAAGTTTGTTTATTCATCTGTGCATTTATTTCTTTGTTTTTCTGTGCATTACATTCTTATAGCACCATTCACCAAATCTCTCTGGGCAGTTTGCAAGCCAAAGCTGAAAACCACACACTACAACTGCATAGTAACACATAATACAAAGCCATGGGTTTAAAATGAAAGCAAACCAATGCAGCCACCAAGATAAAAGCCAGAAGCAGCAAAAAGTATCTAACAGCACACAAATGCAGTCTTTAAAACAGAAAGAATAAAATGTTCCAGAGAACTCATAAACATGCAGAGTCTTTCAAGACACTTTGGTTGGTCCTTAAAGGGAACACCCAACCCTGGATTTTGGAGCTAAAGTGCTGCATTCTCAATCTGCTGCTATTGCTGCAGTTTTGGGGGCAGTCTTACAGACAGCCCTCACTGTTCAGGAGCTCCCAAACTCAGGGTCTTCTGAGATTCCTACATCCTGATGGGCAGAGCAGGTGGTAGACAGAAGCACCTGTGTTGCTTCCTTGTTCTCTAGCCTTCTAGACAGGCTGAGGTTTCTTTCTGCCCCCTTTTCCCCTTCTCAAGGTCAATTTCCAGTCTCAGAGAGGCAGCCCATGCAGTTCTTTCTGCAGGTATGAATGCACCCCCTCTCCAGGTTACAAAACTCTATAGCATCAAGGATAAATATTCTGACTTAATCCGATCCTAGAAATCTCCTGTCTATTTCCATCCTCCTCACTGAAACTTGAAATAGAGTGCTGTGTTGTGGGGAGACAAGAGAGAGAGAGAGAGAACAACTTACTTTATTTCCTCTGAATATTTTTCCGTATCGGGCAATGACAATTTTTCCTGTACAGTTGATTCCCATTTCCCGCTCTAGTTTGAAAAAGTCTTCGGCGCGACCGTAATTTATGTACACCAGATCTGCCTTTTCAGGGTGGAAAGAGAAAGTGCATTTGGTGTTATGGCCAGCACTAATGATCCTTTGACACGGCTTCACAGTGAAAGCCTGCGTGGTTCTAGTCCCCACTCAGCCATGGAGCTAAATCAGTGGCTGTTCAGAATGGGGCTGCAGGGGACTTTCACCAGCAAACTGGTTGTCAGGGGAGAGGGAGCCAGGACAGGAAAAGGGCATGCGGCTTATTTGGGAGCACCCCCAAAGGCTGCACTGGGTCCCTCGGTGAGTTGGCTTTGGTCCCCAGAACGAAGGTTTTGCACTTCTGCTGGACAGACTCCTGCTGTGTCTACCTGGTGTGCACGGTACCTTGACCAAAAGCGTAATTCTGCTGGATTGGTTATGGGGTGGACAAAAAAATCCTTTGCCACACACCATTAACCTGTGAAATTCATGGCTGCAGGTTATGATGGGCACTAGCTTAAATGGTTTCAAGAATAAACTCATTTATTCCTTATTTCTTCCCCTATGACATTAGTATTCCACCTCATAACATCAAGCTCTCTGAGCAGCTTAAAATAAACCAGAAAGTAAATATGAAATAAAACATGACAAAAAAGCAAGAAAGACCTGCTGGAAAGATCTTTATCTGAGAAGGCTGAATCATAAGTAGGTGCCACTACCAAAAAGGCCCTCTCTTTGGTAACTGCCAATGGACTCCACTCCATTCGAAGGGCCACTCAGAGGAGAGCCTCCAACAATAATCTTAAGGTTTGGGAAGGAACAATGTGGGAAAAGGTGGCCTTTGCCTAGGTGGAAACTTCCTGTTTGAAAGCAGAACTCTGAGACTGGGTGGACGGTCCCATCTCGCCTCGCTGATGAACTCTCCATAGAAATCAGCTTTCCAGTGTGGGAGACTGAGTGTTGGGGTGCACAGATCTTTGGCTTGAACCAAAACAGCAGTTCCTGCACTCCTTCACACACATTGCCCTTCAACAGTAGGATTCATGCAAACACGCTTCTGCAATCCTTACCGTTGGCACGCCTTGTGCCGAAAAAGCATTGTACGGTGGCAGTACCTCTGAGACATTTTCATAGCCTGGAGGAGGGACCTCAAAGAGTGATGTGTTAAAAATCTGTTCAGAAGAAAAGAAAATTGAAGCATCACCTGAGAGATGAGGGAGCATTTCACATACATTTGGAAACTTGGCATGCTTTTAACTTAGAAATACTTGTTTTTCGTGTGTGTTTTTAAGAATTTCCCACAATCCAAGACCTTAAATTCTCAGTCAGAATTACAGTGCAATTCCATATTGCTACTACTACAAAAAAACTCCAATAAGTTCAATGTGATTTAATCCCAAGACTGCGAATAAGTTTAACAGGATGTCATAGGATTTACTTGTGAGAAAACCTCTATGGAATTGTCGTGTTGGAGGCCTGGCATGCTTAATTCTGGCTAGATCATACTCTGGAGTATCTCACGGCTACGGGCCAAACTTCACATCATACTAACTGTATCTAGTAGTAGATAATGAGTCCTACACACCAAGGGATGGCGTTTTCTACCATCAGTTTTCCCAGTCACTTCCATTTCCAAAAGCATGGTGAGAGATGCAGACTGAGAGACAGGCATGCTTTTTCCTACCACTGGTTCTCCATATAAATCCCTTGCTGTCCTGATCACCTGTATTTACAAAACTGAGGCTATCATATTTCAGGCACATTTTGAGAAGACAATACTCCCTGCAGAAGACAATCAAGCTGGGAAAGTTGAAGGCAGAAGACGAAGGGGAAGATCAAATACAAGATGGATAAAGACCATCAAGGAAGACACAGCCCTGAACTTATAAATGCTGAACAGTGCTGTAATGGATGGGACATTGTGGAGGGCTTCATCAGTGATTTTTTGTGAGCCGCCCCAAGGCTTTGTTGCGATGGGGGTGGTGTAGAAATGTTTTAAATCAATCAATCAATAAATAATGGGGGAGCCATAAGTTGGAGGAGATTTGATGGCATACAACAACAACATTCACCCAGGTGTACCTGTGAAGCAAGCACCAATTGGGTGTGATCCAGTGACCCCACCTGAGAGGCAGGTATGCCTTCAAGCTCAGAGGCTCACATACAATTCTTGCCATGCCTCTCCTTGTGCATTTTAGCTGGATGGCTGTTTTCAGCCACCTAGATGGAGCACTGGGGAGAGGGAGGTGAAGAGGTCGGGATGCTGATAGGAAACATCAAAGGTCCATTGTCCCAGCCTCCTCCTCTCCCCCCCCCCCTTCCCCACTTTCCAGGACACATTTCCACTCTCAGAGAGTCAGTCCACAGCAGCTGCAAAAGGAATGGATGGGATTCAGCCACTCGAGTCCAAGCACCGTGACTGGAGGATCTCGGTGATGGGACTCCAAAGTATGCTATTCCTGCCTCCCATCAAACAATTTGGGAGGCCATAGGAAGGAGGCCTCAGCTGAGGCCTCAGCCAGCAAATCAGAGCCTGATGGCTTTTCAGATGTGATTGCAACTTCTAGTGCAGCTTGGTTTCAATGATATTCTGAACAGCATTCCTCCGTGTGTGCACCCTCCCTGTTTCTTTGGCCCACTGTGCACTTTACTTCATTTCCATGTTCATCCGTAATTGCAACATAGTTGGGAGCACTTTGGTTTGGGTAGGAAAGCAGGACGTCGTAAGAAACCAGCTCGGCCGTATCCAAGCCAAATTCCTTCCACTGCGTTTGTATTCGTCGCGCCAGATGAAGATTCTGCTCTGTTCCCGCCACGTGTGGGAGCCTGGTGAAGGAGCTGGGACAAGCACAGAAAAAGCCTGAATAAGCCACGAGAAAGCAAGTTCACACATGAGCACAGCACCTAGACTGTTTTCAAAGTGGTTTCAGAGCCAAACCTCTCCTGCAGTAGGATAGCTACATATCTTTCTTTACATGTCTTTCTTTCTATGACTCCTAGGCTATGGAATGGGCTTCCAAGGGAGGTGGCTGAAACTCCATCACAGAGGGCGTTCAAGGAAAGATTGGACAACCTTATGTTGAGGATTGCATGAGTGGAGCTGGCTGGGGCCAGGGGTCAGCCCGGATGGCCTGGAAGACCCCTTCTGACTCACCTTTTTCTATGGTTCTATGTTTCTACAGAGGGCATTCCTATGTCCTCTGTTTGAAGCACCATCCTTGAAAGTTTGGTTTAAAGATAAAGAACCACTGGATGGATCAGCAGGGCACCAGAAGTGTCCTTCTACAGGTCATGCCTGGACAATGGGCAGGTCACCAGGTGACAGTCTTTCCCACGATGCAATTGCATTTCTATTGAAATTATAATAACTCTCTCTAGGAGCCCAATCCTATGCATGGGCAAATACCCTGTAAGTTTCAGTCTTTGCATTACCAGCACCAATGAAGCATCCAGAGCAGTTCCTTCTGCACTGCTTGTGTGGGCAAGGGGGCTCAGAGTTCCGATTCCCAGCTTTGAGTGCTGTCCCCAACCTCAAAACTGAGAATCTGGATCTCCTGTGGCCCCTCAAACCTGCTAGGGGCTATAGGATTGCTGCCACTGTCTCCGCAACCTGAAATGACAAGATTCACTAACTGCTCCCTGAGTAAATCAAGTGGACCAGCCAGGCCTATGGAAAGTTCTAACACATCAAATACTCCCTGCAAAGCCCCCTTTTCAAGACTGGATTGTCATATGGGTTAAACTTTAAAGGAGATCAGCAGAGGTTCTGTTATGAACTGATAAGTTTGGGGGTTGTTAAGGGGGTGGTGAGAACAGAAAGGTGGCTCAGAATAACTTGAAGCAGGCGCTATCCAACTGAGTGAAGTCTCAATTCCAAGATCAGTGACAATCCCAGTAACACGGACTGTTAATCTGCTTCATGCATGTGGCCTTCAGCTGCTCTTCATGTGGTGATTTCAATCTGCAAAGTCCTATCATCTCTGCCTTACTTATCTCCCCAAGTTCTCATCTATATCTTGAGGGGAAGGGGTGTACATACACCCCCTTCTAGCATTCACCCAATGACTAGGTTCAAAGAACACAAGTATCCAAACTCCAGGACTGAATTTGGGCTGAACTGTGGGTAACAGTTGAAACATGGGTTGTTGTGTTGTCTGAACCCAGCTATAACAAACCCTGATAAACCATGAACAGCCTATGATGAGAATGTGGTTGTGATTGTGAACTGTGGGTTGTTCATGGTTAGCACACTTTGGCATGTTAGCATGGCTGGGTTCAAACAACACAACAACCCACATTTCAGCAAGAACCCACAGTTCAGCAATAACTCACATTACACCCACCCTCAGTCCTTGAATGTGGGTTTTTATATTGTCTGAACCCAGCCATGGTGTGCAAAGGCCACACTAGCCAACTCTTCCTCCTCTACCAGTGCTCTTCTTGAGCATGCATCTGGCTGTTGTGCTGATGGATCATGCGACATCTCTGTAGGGCCCATTTTCATGATATCCAAAATGTAGCCAGCGCAGTCTGATAAGGACAACGGAGTCAGAGGTTGGGATGAGATACTGCAACCTCTTCACACATGCAGTGACTGCATGGGGGATCTTGTGAATACCCCTTCTGTTTCTTAATGCACCTTCGGAAAAGCTAGGCAGGAGGCAGATCTCCAGGTGTTGTGAATTCAACTTCCAGAAGCCTCTGCCATGGTGGCTGATGATCAGGAATGGAAGAACTGAGGTTTGCCTGAGGCCAGCTGATGAGGGTCAAATTACACATTACATTCATTGTGTAACACCTTTCCTCCTGCAGTTACCTCTTTTCCCAGAATGCTCCTCCCTCATACAAGTATTCAGAAAAGAGATACAGTGGTACCTCAGCTCACAAACTTAATCCATTCCAGAACTCTGCTAGTGACCCAAATTAGTCATGAGCCAAGTCAAATTTCCCCATAAGGTTCAATGTAAATAAGGTTAATCCATTCTGTAACTACCTTGTTTTTTTTTTTTAAATCACAAAAATCTGAAGCGGGTGTGCTGGGGGGGGGGGGGGGGACGCGATCGCAATCATCACCCTATGCAGAGTTTGCGACCTGAGGAAAAAAATTTCAGAAATTTCTGTTTGCGACCAGATTTGTTCTGCGGTGTTCGTGAGCCGAGGTACCACTGTAATGTCTCTGTTGGAGTTTTACCTTCCTGGTATATTTTCTTCCTACTCCAGGAGCTCACATGCTCTCAAGTTAAGCCTAGTCTGAAAACACCTTAAGTTTAGATCTTAAACTTGCTGGCTGGCTTGTAACCCTTCATAACAGGCTTAATTCTGTCCAGGTTGTCTCTTTCTCACCTTCCTCTTGTAATACTGTTCCTCTAGTAATATTGCTTTCCAGAACTCCCAAGTTTGGTTTCAGGGTTTAGTTAAAGCAAGCAAGCAAACAAACAAACAGGTACTTACTGCAGGAATTCCTTGATCCTTTCTGCTTTGATCTCTGAGAGAAGTTTCCTTCTTGCATTTTGAAAGATATATGCTTGGCCAGTCAATCTATCAATTGATTTCCCACACCAGCCTGCACACAGCGACAGCAACACTCAGTCCTGATCTTTGCATCTCTTTGCACAGTGCTTATTACAGGACCTTCCAAGATCAGCCAAACTATCAGGACTCATTCCCTCGCCTGTTGCCTAACATTGCATATGGCCTCATCTGCCGACTATGCCAGTTTCCAGTCTGCATAGGATGCATTCAAAAGGATAAATACTATACATTTATCCTTTTAAATAAATGATGTCCAATGGTGCAAAAGCAGCATTCCTTCTAATGCCCGTGTAGGTTTTGCTGTGCTCACATGGACAGGGGGAGGGATCAGCAGTCCTTCGATTACCCCTGAAGTTTGCTGAGGTGTGAAGAATTCTGAAGGGAGGGATGCTGAGAAACTGCTCATAACTCCATGTGAAGCCCAGTGTGAGTGATAAGGAACCATGAAAACTGAATGGGAGGGGTAATGGCATGACTGGACAAAGAGAGAGGGGAAAGAGGCATGTAGAGCTAAAAAATATAGAAAGAATTGCCTCATTGCCTGGATTAATAACTTCTGGGCTCACTGATAATCTATTTTAAAATATCCCCATGGATGGAACTAAGAGTTTTGCCTGCAGAAATCAATGGAGAACACCAACATGTTCTGGTGGCTGGAAGTGAGCACAAGTAGGAAAACTCCAGGTGGAGGATAATTGCCTCTCACCCTAAAAGCAGTAGGCACTGAACACGGACAACCAAAGGAAAGCGTGCATGGGGAAAGAAGAAATGGAGAGAGAGGAGGACTGAACAAAAGCACATTGTAAAATCTAAGCTGAAGGACCTCCCAGCAAGTGGCAGAATCTTTTAATCCCTGAAATAGTTCTGCTGTTGGCCTTGACGTCACGGTTCTCCACAGCTAGAGTTTCAGCACAGCATTTGTGAATGGCAGCAGGGAATGGGCAGAAAGCAGATTGCCAGACTCTGGCTCCCAGAAGCCCCTGGCCACCATGGTGAGGAATGCTGGGAGTTAAAAGTTGAGAACTTCTAGAGATGGACTTTCTTCCCACCCTGGTGCCTTCCCAGTGCCTTGGACTACAAACCACATCTGCCTCAGCCAGAATGATCAATGCTTGTAGTCCCCAAAATATGGAAAGCATCATCCTGCTTGCCCGTGCTCTAACCCCTACACATCCTGACCCTCAAGCCCATGTGTTCTGCCAAGTGCTTGACACCGCCCCCCACCCATGCTCTGAGAAGGGGGCGGAGGGTTCACACTGGCCTGTCTTTGAAAGAAAGCCCTTTGCAGCATGCAGCCAAATAAGGAATTTGCACTGTGCCTGAAAAGGGAACTTTTGGAGGGTGGGGGAGAATTGGCATAACATGATGTCTCTGATCTGCTGCTTGGGAATACAAAGTTACCACCTTCCGTTATATCACCTCTTTTGTTTTGCAGGAGCAACAAATCCAAATGGCTCCCTTTGTGTATTTGTGAACAGGAAAGGGGGGAAAACAACCACTCAACCAGCATGTAGCCACCGTTCCTTTCTTGAATTGGAAAGAAGGCTTATGTAACCTTCACTCTCAGCAATCGTCCGGCTGTTTGTAGATGCACAGCCTAAAAACGGTTCACCTCTACCATTCCCTCTTCTCCCGCAGTAAAAATGTGTTACACACATGAAGTGGATCCATCTCCTACGGCATTTTGCCAAAGGACGCTGCTTCATCTCAGATCAGCGAACATCTAATCTGCACAGCTTGCCCAGATCACTGGCTGCCCTCAATGGCTTCTGGCAAGTGTCTTTCCCACCACACCCTACTAAGAACCAATTTGTTGTGTCTGCTGGTAGGACTGGAGCCAAAGTTTGCAGAAGTGTAAAACACTTTTTTAACAAACTAAAGGAGACTTCTGTTCCCCAGATCTCCAAAAACTCCTAATCGTATCAACCTATGGGGTGCTAAGAGTAGCAACCTTACAGAAACATAAAAACAGAGAGAGTCAGAAAGGGCCTCCCGGGCCATCTAATATGACCCCCAGCTCCAGCCGGCTCCGCTCACGACATGCCCACCATGTGCATGTCCAGCCTATCCTTGAACACCCTCACCGATGGGGCCTCAATCAGCTCCCGTGGAAGCCCATTCCATCCCCTGGCGTCCTAACCATCAGGAAGTATTTCTGTGAGCCGTTCCAAGGCTATGTAGCAAGGGGACAGCATATAAAAACTTAAATAAATAAATAAATAAATAAATAAATAAATAAATAAAGTACTTCCTGGCATCCGCCTTGAATCTTGGTTCCCTGAGCTTTGCTCCATTGGAACTCGTCCACCAGAGGGAGAAAAAGGGTCGTGACCCACCTCCGCGTGGCACCCCCTCACATACTTGTATGTCACTAACAGGCCCCTCCGAGTCTCCTCCTCTCGAGGCTGAAAAGACCCAGTTCCCTCAGTGGCTTGGAAATACTTTCCAAGGCGAGAGGCATAAAATAAGTGGCATCTGAGAATCCTAGTGGTGCCGTGGTTTGGGATGGATGAGAGGACAGCGGGGTCGTGTTGCAGTCATGAAATAGCGGGGCGTACTGGTGTTTCCCTGATATCACCATCCCCAATTCTCCCAATGGCCCTGTGTCTCTGGGAAAGGGTCCTGGGTCTACTGGATGCCTGCAGGCTTCTTTTGGAATAGTTCCCACATTTCCTGGGACTTATACTGAGTCCCTGCATCTGTTTAGCATACTCGGCCTCAACCTTTGAACAGGCAACGAGAGTGCTTCTGAGCATGTGCAAACCAACCTTTCCATTCTGGGTGTATGAGCACCGGAAGCAGTCTAGGTCAGATGCTTCCTCCATTTAGCCCAGCAGGGGAATCTCAGGCATTTTTCTCCCCATTACTTTCCCCCGATTCTTGCAGCTGCCAGTCCCAAAGATAGCAACAGCCTGCAGTCTTCAGCATGCAAAGCAAATGCTCCACCATTGAGGGACCATGGTGATCCCACCCTTCCTCCACGGAGTTTCAGGCAGCATCCCCTCTTGGCTGCTGATCTTCACAAGAACCCTGTGAGGTAGGTCAGACTGAGAGACTGTGACTGGTCCAAGATCATCCAGAGCTGGCTTTATTGCTGAATGACTACCTGATCCTGGCCCCTGCTTGCTCTGCAAGGGGGGGGGGGGAGGTGTCACATGAAGGTGGGCCAAGACCTGTTTTCCCCTGTGGAGGAGGGCAGGACGCATTGCAGTGGAGCAAAGCTCAGGGAGCCAAGGTTCAATTTGGATGCCAGGAAGCACTTCCTGACTGTTAGGACCCCGAGGGTGTGGAATGGGCTTCCATGGGAGGTGGCTGAGGCCCCATCAGTGAGGCTGTTCAAGGATAGGCTGGACATGCACATGGTGCGCATGTCACGAGCGGAGCCAGCTGGAGTCAGAGGTCAGACCAGATGGCCCAGGAGACCCGTTCTGACTCACTCTGTTTCTATGTTTCTGTTTCTCTGACCACTCTCTAATGCCAAAAGGGGGAACAAACCTTGATCCACCCCATCTCCAGCTAGGAGAACGGGTCTCAAGAGGAAAAGGATTTGGGGCTGGAACAGGCACCAAAGACACCCCCCCCCCTCTTCATTTAAAGTAATCACCCAAGTCCTGCTACTGAAGCCAGTAGGAAAACTTGGACTACTGAATGGATCTGGGGGGACAGCACTCAATTCATGTTCTGTAGGGCGTGTAGGACATTGCAGTGTTGAGCAGTCCTGTTCAGGAATCCAGCCAGCCATGCCCTCTTCCAAGGTACTCCATTCCATCCCCACCTCCAACAGGGGGAATTCTGGAGCTACTGAGCATGTAGCACTTGCTTCTTTCTGTTCCTAGACAGTGAAGGGTGGCATCATGTTTATACCCCACCTTTCTTCCTCTTGCATAGAGTCCAGTGCTGTTTACAAGGTTCGCCTGCTTTCCATTTCACTCTCACAACAACCCTATGAGGTAGGTTGGGCTCCACGGCCTGTGGGGATTACAGCCCGGATCTCCCAAGTTCCAGTCCAGCGCTGTTCCCACTTTTCCAAACTGATCCGTAGGTAGATCAAACCTTGCTTGCAGCCCAGCTTTACCTAGAGGGGTTGCAGCACCAGGACTTCGGTGGAGAAAGGGAGCACACGAGCATGTGCAGGGTGTTTTCCCCCGACTACAAGTCCGCTCCTCTCGCGCGGGAGGGCTGGGCTTCTGTGGAGCAAACTCTGAACGCCAGGCTATCCGGAGGCGCACGCTCGCCAGCCCCGATCTTCAGCAAGTCAAGGCAGATTCCTTCTCCCCCGCCGCAAGCCGAGGCCCTCAGAAGCTCTGAACTGCAACTCCCATCCCATGGCTGGTGGCTGATAGGGGTTGCAGTCCAGCACATCTGGCGGGTCCCCGGTGATGGGGGCAGGAAGGCTGATTTCAAGCCGTGCTTGTGATTTTCCAGCTGAACCCCTTCTTGGTCCCCCAGGTCCCGCCGCGCCCCCCGCCGCGCGCCCCCTTTTCCCGAGGAAGCAGCCGAGGGCCTCTGGCGCTACTCACCCACCAGGACCCCCAGGAGGAAAAGCGCCAGGAGAGCCGCCAAGCCCAGCCAGCTGCAGAGGGTCACCTTCCGCCCCACCATGGCGAGCTTCTCCCGAGCAAAGGCAGGCTTGCTCCGCAGCAGGACGGGCTGCAGCCCTCCTCCCGCGCCCAGGGGTCCCACCCACGTCTCCTCCCACCGGGAGCCTGCCTCGCCCCGTTCGCCTCCGCTACCCACCGAGTCGGGTCTCGGGAAGAAAGGGCCGGGGAAGAGTTGAGCTGAGGTGGCTGGCGGGGCGCTCCAGGCCATGCGCCGGGCCATGCGCGGGCACTGGGCGCCCCGGCGCGCTTCCTTCCCCCGCGGGACGGAGCTGATCGCGAGCGAGCGGGCGCTCCAAAGGGGGGCGAAGCACCAGCGGGTGGTGGGCTTCCTAGCGAGCTGAGTTCCTCTGGGCTTACAGCTGGGACTTTGCACCAGCCAAGCAGCGCTTGGTTTGCATCAGAATAGCGACTGGTGATTAGTATATGAACCGTCCTTATCATCAAGGCAAGGCATGGAACCTCTACAGTGAGTGGTAAGGAAGAGAAACGCCAGGGCAGCCTTCTCTAACCTGGCGGGGTGCGTCAGATAGGTCGGACTACAGCTCCCATCGTTCCCAACCAGCTTGGCCATTGCCCATTTTTGTTAACCGCCCTGAGTCTTGGCTACTGAGTGGCATAAAAATGAACTAGCTAACTAACTAACTAACTGGTCTAGCACATCTAGAAGAAACCACATTGGGCAAAGCTGACCTTGAACAATTTTCCACTCCACCCCTTGCTTTTCTTGTCTTGCCCACATCACTTGGCAAATTCACCCCTTCTCCAGCATTAGCTGATGGACTTTAGAAATGCAAAAAGAAGAAGACTTTTTTGTATGGTCCCAGAAGCAGTCTCCAGGCAGGGCTGGGAAAAAGGCCCATCCAAACCATGCAGAGTCATTGCTGGTTAGTCCAAAAGGGGGTCAGCAATCGGATCTTTAGGACCTCAGCTGTCATCAGACCTAACCAGCATAGCCAGTAGTTAAAGCATATGGGAAGTGAAGCCCAAACTGTCTGAAGAGCACCAGACAGTTTCCTGTGCTAAAGTACTCACAGAAACACCAAAACTTCTGCTGCATTGCATTCTAAGATGTTCCGCTTGTGCCTATTAAAGGTTGCCACCAGCTACCTGCAGGATTAGGGTGGCAACACGCACATCTCTTCATCTATACCCCCAGGTCCACTTTTGGGCACAACATTTTAAGATGGGGATTGACAAGTTGGAGCACATCCACAGAAAAGCAGCCGAGGAGGTCATGAGTCTAGGAAGCAAGTCCTCTAAGGAACAGTTGAAAGAGCTGGGTGTCCTTAACCTGGGAAAGGGAAGATTAAGGGGAGGTGAGCCAGTGATCAGCACAAGAGCATAAGAAGAGCCCTGCTAGGTCAGAGCCAGGATCCATTCAGTCCAGCATTCTGTGAGCAACCAGCAGGATAGGAGTGCAAGACACTCTTCCACCCATGTTCTCCAGCAACTGGTGTGCAAAGGCTCCTTGCACACCAAAGGGGCGGCTAGCACAACATCTTATGGAAGTGAATGTCATAAGCATCCAAGCACTGCTCTGTGTCTGAAGAAGTATTGCCTTTTATCTGTCTCCTGGATGCAAGTGCTTAGCGAGAGGAAGAAAAATCTCTCTCCCTCTCTCTCTCTCTGCACAATTATGCTGCACCGGTGAGAGCCAGGGTGGTGCAGTGGTTAAGACAGTGGATCTGGGACTTGGAGGATCTGGGTTCGAGTCCCCGCTCAGCCATGAAGCTCACTGGTGACCTTGGGCCAGTCACAGACCCTCAGCCCAACATACAAGGTTGTCTCTGTGAGGGTAACATTGAGAGGCAAAAAAGCATTATGTAAGCCACCTAGAGTTTCTTGAAAGGAGAAAAGGTGGGATGCAAATGTAATAAGCAAATAAATATCTCCATATGCTCCAACAGAGCAAAGCTCAGGGAGCCAAGGTTCCATTTGGATGCCAGGAAGCACTTTCTGACAGTCAGGACCCCGAGGTGTGGACCCCCAGGAGGTCACTGAGGCCCCATCAGTGCGGGTGTTCAAGGATAGGCTGGACGTGCACATGGTGGGCATGTCGTGAGCAGATCCAGCTAGTGCCGGAGGTCAGACTAGATGGCCTGGGAGGTCCCTTCTGACTCGCTCTGTTTCTGTTTCTATACTGTGCATAATTTTGTAATTGTGCTTTCCCTAACTTACCTCTTTTCTAAGCTAAGCATGTAAGCTTTCCTCATAGTTCATATGCCTTCGAATATCTGAAGGGTTCGTACAGAGCAGATGGAGTGGACTTGTTGTTGGCTGCTGTAGAGGGCAGAACCAGAAACAATGAATGCAACTGTCAGGGAATTAGATTTTCTCAAAGCATTAGGAAAATCTTCCTAAAGGTAAGAAGTAAAACTTGTTTGACAATGGAAGAACTGGGGGCGTTATCCTCACTGGAAGCATCCATGACTATTTAAAAAAGCTTAGAAGGCACCTGGGATGGGGACCACCATATCAATACAAGAGCACTTGTGTCACCCAGGTATTTCTATTCTCTGTGACTAATCAGTCAGGATCGGGGAGGAGGAGTGATTTCTATATGGAGGTGGGAGGAAAAGAAGGTGTTAAGCTGCATTTAAGACTTTTTTAAAAGCCCACAGTCATAACCTCTGAACTATATGTAGCTCATCCTTCAGATTAACACGAATCTGTGTATAATGATCACTCCATCTCATAAAATGGCACCTGTTTCTTCTTATTTTCTTGACACCCATATGGCAAAAAATACAGTCAAGATAATCACAGTTTTCATGAACATACCTTCTTCTTCCCTGCAGGACAATTGTGTAGGTGTCCCATCTGCTGTTCTTCTTTGAAAACTATATTCTGCGTATCTTCTGTTGCTTCATTTTGTCACCTTTTTGCACTAGCTGAAAGGGTAATTTTGGCTTCAAGAATGGAGATCTAGATTACGTTGTGAATGTTGTATAACTGCCTGTGTGTCTGTGTGGGTGTGTGAGAGCATGGCTTTCTTCTTGCTGGAGAGTGAAACCTTTGGCTGCATTATTAGGCCGTGCTGAGACATCCTATCTTAAAGTGGCATCCTACTGTTTATGTGAGCTATGAAGCTAGGCTCTGCAATATTCACATGCTGTCCAGATTCATTTTGTGACATTGTGCACAAATAGTCATATCACTTGATAGCTAAATATGTTTGCATGTTGGCTGTTGACATACCTCAAGCCTGGGAATGCTGCTAAAGGATTGTGATTATTATTCCATTGTATTTCTATCCCAGCCCTTTTTCTCTGATGACGAACCCAAGGCGGCTTAATAAGTCCTACTTCACTTCTCGTTATCCTCAAAACAGTCCTGTGAGGTAGGTTAGGCTGAGACTGAGTGACTGGGCCAAAATCACCCAGTGAGCTCCATGACCAGTGGCCAAGTGGGGGCTCGAACCCAGATCTTCCAGGTCTCCAATCCAACCCTCTCAGCATGATGCCAACTGACTCTCAAGCAGCTGCTGAAACCCATGTTTTGTGGAGTCATTCTTTTGTTACTCTTTGCATGAGTCTCTTCTTAATTGTCTGTTTTTAGCTGTTTTAAGCATGTTAATTTTTTCTGCTTTTATATTTTATTGTATTTTATCATCTTTTGAATTGATTGTTGTAAACTCCCCAGAGAACTTTGCCTGTGGGATAGTACAGAATAATAATAATGAAGTTGTTGTTTTTGATGATGATTGATGATGACAGCAATAATAATAATATTAGTAGTAGTAATTTACCTATAGCTAGTTTTATGAATGTGTCAAAAGGAAAGAGTGTATGTTGTAGGTCAGATGTGGTTTGGATCTGCTCTGCTCTGCGCTTTTGGAGGTGGATGGCCGAAAATACCAGGGAGGAGCTGCAAGGACATGCTGCCATTTTGGAGTGCAGTGATACAAACTGAAGAATGAATACTGGTTATTTAAGTAATCATTCTTCCCATTACTGCCCCACTCCTTGCATGCTGTATAGTTTCCATATTTGTAAATCTGCTAACTTTGCAAAAACTAATAAAGCTTCAGCTATTTGGCTCTTTAGAAATGAAGTCACTCATGAAATAGAGTCCAGCACTGTCTCATCTCCAAGAAAGTGATTTGGAGTTACCGAACCTTTTCTTCCCAGGAATAACTTTCCCATTTGGGAAGGGTCACTGGGCTTCAGTTCAGGACTGGGTAAGGCTAGCAGCATGGGATGAGCCAAGAATGAAGAAAGCAAACTGGGCAAGGTGGATGTGATAACTACCAATTTGGGCTTTTCCTGACCAGCTCAGTTCTAAGGACGTTTGCTCAGAAGGAGGCGGAAGTGGACCAGCTCTCATGTCTGCAGAATGTGGAGCCGTGCCATTGTGCTTAGAGTGTTCAGCTGGGATCAGGGCAACCTGGGTTCAAACCCTCATCCAGCCATGAAGCTCACTGGGTGACTTTGAGCCGCTTGCTGCCTCTCCACATCACCCACCTCACAGGGTTGTTGTGAAGATACAATGGCTAGGCGGAGGAGCAGGCATGCTGCCTTAGACTCCCTGGCAGAAAGGCGAGATAGAAGCATTACAAGGAAATATGCACCTTATACAGCCCAGCTATTTGTATCACCTCTCAGGCCTGCAGAGCACAGCTCCTTGTTTGCAGAATATATTAAGGTTAGGTGTCTTTAACCACATAATTCTGAACACTGGAGAAAACAGCAAAAGAAGCTTAGGGAAAGGAGAAGCCTAGGGCTGCATCCAGCCTGCCAGCTGGAAATTCTATATAGAATCACAGAATAGTAGAGCTGGAAGGGGCCAAGAAGGCTATTGGGACAAACCCCCTGCTGTTGCAGGACATCAATTTACACCATCCCTGCTGTAAAGAAAATTCCACCCATCAAAGCATCCTTGAAATAATTCTAGATAAATCCATAACATTGATGCTATTTCATGCATGAATAAAAGTGGAATACAAATAAAAATTAGAGAAAAATAATCTAAAATACAACATTACAATATAAACAGAGTCAATGCAATTAGTCCAAATGGTTTGAAAATCCACTTTGTTGCCTCATCATTGAAAAAGAATCAATTCAAATGTCAACAAAGAGAACCGATCACCTTTTTTGAGTTTTTATTTTGAGTATGTTTTTTTTAAGGCAGGATCCACGTGCTTTTTCATCCAAAGGAAATGAAACCCCACTGTATTGCTGCCTCTGGATCTGCTCCTTGCTCAGAGAAGGTCGATTCTTCACCCATTCTCTTCTTCCTGTTCTTCTCCTCATTCCAGGAGACAGTGATTTCAGCCCAGCTCAGACTTGGATTAAAATGTCTAAGCAGCATCCATTATTTCAAACACCCTCCTGATCTCTTAATGCCTCATCAAAGATTAGCTGTTATAATCTGTTTGTTATTAGGTGTTGTTGTGGCTGAGAAGTGACACCTGAAATGTTCCTGAAACTTCCATCCAAACCAGCTTCAGCAAATCTCACCCAAGGCATTGACCAAGATGGAATTCTGCCAACATGAGCTGAAAGTAACCCATTTTAATAAGAATATAAATGTGATGTAAGTGTTCAGGTAGCTGACTCCAGCCCTCATAAAGCTCTCTTTTAGATAGTTAGGCACTGTTGATTTAAAAAGAAAAAGCTGATTTTCAAGCAGCCTCCATGATAAAACATGGCTGGTAGGACCAATTCTCCAAGGTTGCTCCAATTCTTGTCACATCTTCAAAATCAGCAGGAGGTCCATAGCCAGGAAGGAGAAGGGCAAACTGAAGCAGAGAGAGTTAATGAGTTATTTTTGTACTGCCAGGGAGCTTCCAATGCTGTCACTCTTTGTGGATGGTTTGGATGGCTGACGTGGTGCTCGTAACACAGAAGAGAAGTTCAGTGATGTGGTAACTTCAGTTGCAAAGACTCCACGTGTCTGTCCCAGTGAAAGGGCAAAGCTGGGACTTTGATGCTCTGTCCCTCTGGGGCTGAAGGCAAAAAGGAGAACCAAACTGCCAAACATCACAGCATCTTTTCACCTAAGGCCCTCACTGCTGGTAACTATGTCTTAGGCGAGGCTTTTCAACTTTTTACAATGGGGAAAAACTGCACAAAAGGAAGGAGACCCCCAAGGCATTGGGCCAAGGGGACAGGATGTGGATATCTGAAGAGCTTTGGAAAGCTGGGTTGAGATCCCAGGAAGGCTGGATTTGATCCCCCAGCCTAAGGTTCTGCATCCCTGAGAAACAAGTAGATACATCATGCACCTGTCTCTCATTTTCATCCAGTCAAAGGGAAGTGGTGGAACTCTTGAACTGGTTTGTTAATTCTGATGGACTGAATGGGACGAGACAACTTAATCCAAGCAAGGCAGAACTATGGGACAAAAGTATGAGGGGTGCCACTTACTCAGCCCATGGGGCTCGATTCCCGATGAGGGACCCACAAATGCTGGGCACACTTGTTGGTGGCTGGACCATCTGGCCTGGGTAGGGTGATCAGCTTGTCTTGGGAGGGGTTGCATTCACCTTCCTTGCAGGAGTGAATTGTTCCTCAGTGTGGCAGGTAGGCTGTGCCCAGAGGGAAGGCCCATGCAACAACAGGGGCTGCATGTTCTACGTACAACAGAAATACACTGCACACCTCCATCTACAGAAGCCAGAAGAAACTGTCAGTAAGGTGTGAGGTGCATTTTGCCCTGCAGGGGAGGCCACTAAAAGGATGCACTTGGAGACGTGGCTGAGATGTGAACTAAATTTGCTTCCATTCCTAATGACCCCAGTGGGTTATTTATTTGTTTGTTTAGTCAGGTAGGGATGGGTGGGAAGATGAGGTTTTGTTCCTTTTCAACTGTTAAAGCCAGACTTTTAATATTAAGCATGGCCAGTCATTAGTTAATAAATCTGTGTAGTCCTTTTCTCAATCAGTAAGAGGTTGGTTTAACTTTTAACATTCACGGTGTAAACATCTGCCAGGAAGAATAATACAGGTCAGCAGGATGCCTGAGCTTACAGGGGGAAAATTAGTGCTGGTCCAGAGATTCCCAATGTTATTATTACTGTCATGTTTGAGGAGCCTGAGGAATTTGGGGAGAAAGTGACCATCAACTTTCTCTTTTTCCCTTTTGCACTGTTCAGCTTTCTCCTGTCAGAGGTGTGTTGTCTTCAGACAAAGGAGCTTAACTGAAGTATTGAATTTCCAGGAAGGAACTTAATTTATGGCCATTTTAGGGGCATGAAGAGGCAGACTAAGTAGGGCTTCACCAAGCCCAGCCAATATCTTGGAGTCATGCTGTTGGTTTCAAAGTCCCAGCTGCAGCTGCCACTGTGAAGGTTGCAATGGAGATCTGTCTCTTGACTTCCTCCCAGGCCTTGTGTTGGTCTACTGCACTGGCAATGTCAAACAAAGCATCGTAGATCCCAGGAAAGGACACTCCGGCATATTTGTTGTGGTTGTTTGGTGCAAAGATGATGTGCCTGGGAAAGACAGCAGCAGCACCGTCAGAGTAATAATACTTATGGAGAAGACTTTGCAGCTAAGGAATACCTGGTCCTATTAAATAAGGTTTTTCCAGATGGGTGAGAATTTCATTTTCAATAACAATCAACCAAAAGTTGAAAACTTCTTCATATTTGCAAGAGAAATAACTTGAGATGGAAATGACTCGAATGAGGAGAAAGCAAAATTGCTAGATTTCCCCATCTCTAGTCTTAAAGAGAGAAGTATTTAGACAAATGAAGATGAGGTTGAATGTGGCCTGGCTTGAGAGTAAGCCAAGTCATTTCCTAACTTTGCAGGCAAAATGTTTGGCTTATTTCTAAACTGATTGACCACAGCTAATCAAGGAATATCAAGGGATGGAAAGAAACTATAGAGAGATTTCTCCATTACCTATAGAAGGACCGGCCAGGTAATCCAAGAGGATCAATGAATGCCCTTTCCAAAAACATCAGCTGATCATTCCAGGATCTCACTTCAATTGGGCTGGAAAGAAGACCATGGGGACAAAAACATTAAAAGGCCATCCCTTTGTCATGTATTACCTTCTGGCAAACACCAGGAGGAAGCCACCCTCAGAAACTCAGGTTCTTCAGCAACCCCTGAGAAGATGAAGGAAGGGCTGTCTTTGTTAGGCTCCCTCAGGCCCTTAATGGTATCATGCTCCTTAGAATGCCTTTATTGTTGGACCTCAGCATGAGAGCCGGTGTGGTGTAGTGGTTAAGAGCATGGGACTGGGACTCAGACGATCTGGGTTCTAGTCCCCGCTCGGCCATGGAGCCAACTGGGTGACTTTGGGCCAGTCACAGACTCTCAGCCCAACTTCACAGGGTTGTTGTTGCGGGGATAAGACGGAGGAGGAGATGTAAGCTGCCTTGAGCCCTTTATAGGAAAAAGGCAGGATATAAATCAATCAATCAATAAAATGAGGAAGGGCGTCATCCCTGGGCTGCAGTGTCTGGAATGTCGAAGACCCAGAAGACTTACTTATTGGTGTCCAGCTGTTGCAGTCTCTTGTGAAAGTCATTGGCAGCTTCCGAAAAATTCTTCACTGCATCAAGAAGGGGATCTAGAACAAGGAAGAAGGGGAAATTCTGTGAAATCTGCCATAAATGTTTCGTGAATTCACAAGGATAGTGTCAATACTCCCTGTGATTGTGATGTGCATTTCATTCTCCTGGTGAAGTTTCAATATGAAAGAATCCCATGGAAAAAAAGGAAGGAAAGAATCAACAATTGGTGGCTCTTGAACCCCAAAAACCCAGATGAGACTGGAGGGCAGCACAGCAGCTCCCCAGTAAATAAAAAATTCAATAAAAATCAGAAGGAACAGGAAGCAGAGTTCCTAGATCAGGGGATCTGTGGCCCTCCAGATGTTTTGGCCCACAACTCTGAGTGGCTCTTAGCATCATCAGTGGTAAGACATGATGGAACCTGTAGGCCAAACCATCAGGAACCACACATTCTCTCTCCCACTTCTTGTTCAGTCGCAAAGTTGTGTCCAACACTCCTCCAGGTTCTCCTATCCTCCACCATCCGCTGGAGTCCACCCAGGCCCACACCCACCGCCCCAGTGGCCCCATCCAGCCACCTCAGTCTCTGTCATCTCCTTCTCCCTTTGCCTTCAATCATTCCCAGCATCAGGCTCTTCTCCAGGGAGTCCTTCCTTCTCGTTAGTTGGCCAAAGTATTTGAGCTTCAACTTTAGTACCTGACCTTCTAAAGAGCAGTCAGGTTTCCTTTGGGATTGACTGCTTGGATCTCTGCTTTGCAGTCCCTCCCCCTAGATCCACATAATTTGGCCCAATCAGGATATGTGTAACAGCGTGGTTGAAAAAGTCAGCGTCCCCTCTGTCTTTAGGACTCCCACCTTGCACTTTGAGACCTGCCCCTTGACTGGTGGTACATACCAAGTGATACGCTGTATGCGATCAGGGCTGCCTGGTGTTTCAGGGTCATGTTGTAAATGACTTGAGCGTACAGGTTCAGCGCCTTTGCGTAATCCCGGCAGTCAAATGGAAGGATGGTCGAGTCGGCCAGTTCAAACACCAGCCCTCCCCGCACTCGGGCCACAGCGAGGTGGTTCTTAAATGTGGGGTCGTAGAACCGCTCCACAATCTCATAGGTATCATAGGCACTGTGATAAACAGGGTAGCTGCTGTATTTGTCAACTCTCTAGGAAGGAAGGAAGGAAGGAAGGAAGGAAGGAAGGAAGGAAGGAAGGAAGGATTGTTGTAACTCAGCTGTTTTTCCAATTAGAAGACCACGATGATGACAGGGTGCAGTTAACTCACACAACTCTTGAGCGTGGGTTGTTGTTGCTGAAACATGGGTTGGCATGTTGTCTGAACACAGCCAAGATGACAAATCATAGTGAACAAGCTAATGTGCACAGTCAACAACGAGCCAGCCTCGACTTTTGGGCGGTATGAAAATGAAATTATAAATGCACGCACGCATGCGTGAATGACTTGTTAGTGCAGCTGGGTCAGACTCGGGCTGGGAGGCAGCTCCTGGGAAGCCCTCGCTCTGGCACTCATGGACCTCTTCTCTTGCTCAGCCCAGGATCGCAGAGCAGGCCGAGCTGGGAGGAAGGCAGTGAGCATCTGGAGAATGGTGCTTAGCCAGCCGGCAACCTTCTACCATGTCAGGCGCAACGGCAGCAAGGCTGCTGCAGGTGGTGCGGGAGGGGGATGCGCTTGCGCAGGTGCCAGGCAGGTCTCCAGGACACTCTCTCCCCACCCCCGAAGCAGTGCCCCTCCTCTGCGTCAGGCTCGGCACCGAAAGGCTGCTGCATGCGGTGCAGAGGAGGGATGCTGCTTGCACGGAGCATGAAGCACGATTCCTGGAGAGTGCCTTGTGAATGCCGGGCTCAGGCTCAGGGCTGTGGCAAAGCAGACCAGGGCCCAGGGAGCTGATCCCAGGGAACCTGCTGGATTTGCAGCCCCCGCTCAGAGCCTTCCATGTCCCCTAGTTCAGACAACACGGAAGTGCCTCTTTCAACAACTCACAGTTCAACAGTGATCCACTGTCAGGGATCTTAGTCCCCAGTCAGCCAGGTTTGCTGGTCTAGCTGCAAGGCACATGCACACACGAACACGCACACTCACAATTCCAGCAAGGTCCACCGGAAAAGGTCCTCTGCGGTGCAGGGCTGGCCCTGCTTTCAGCCAAAGGGAAGTGTTTGCCTCAGACAGCAAATTCTGGGAGGCCACAGCAAGGTGCTAGAGTAGGGAACTGCGTGGTGTAGTGGTTACAGAGTTGGACTCCAGAGACCTGGGTGCTAGGGCCTACTCAGCCATGAAGCTCTCATGGAGAGAATTTGGGCCAGTCCCTGATTCTCAGTCTAACCTACTTCACAGGTCTTTTCTGCAGGGTGGAAAAATGGAAGGAGGAGGAGCATAAAGCTGCCTTTAATTCCATGTAAGAGGGGAGAAAAGAACCCAAACTGAGATAGATAGACAGACAGAAAAGCACATGGCCAGCCAGCACCCCCTAAGCCAGCACCCAAGCCCATTGGGAGGCTGCGGCTGCATTGCCATTGCTTAGGATTCAGCGCTCCAGTGAACGAGAGAGAGAAACCATCTTGCGCTTTGCCTCCAGCAGCAAAACAGCTTGGGCCAGGCCTGTCTGGGTGCAGCCCTGATGGCCCTGAACCGCAGAAGGAGGCTCCTTTCTGTTTCAGCCTTCTTGGCATGTGGAAGTAAGTGCTGAGCAAAGAGAGGGCAGTCCCCAGACAGCGTGTCTTAAGGGATCACAATAATGATCACAGCCTCACCCAATTTTTTGTGTAACGGGCTCTGCCTGAAGCGATGCCCAACCTCTGGAAAAAGACTTCGAAGTCATTGCCGGAACCCAGCTTGCTGATCCTTTTGAAAAGAGACAGAATGAATGAATGAATGAATGAATGAATGAATGAAAAGAGAGCAGAGATCGAGTGGTCTGACAATTACCATACAAATATCGTTTCCAAACAATGAACACAGGAACATAGGAACAGCTGCACTGGGTCAGACTCAGGGCCCAGAGTTAAAAAGTCCTTCCCCCATCATCCCCACCCACTCAAATGTGCAGCCACCACACAGTTCACAAGCATGCAACAGGGCTGCTTCGGCTGGGGAAACCTAAGACAGGACATGGGGCAGGTCTGGCCCTCGTCTTGTCAACCCATCGAGTGGTCCAGCGTCCAAGGGCTCCTGACACACGGCCATGCACGAGCTGCAACAAAGGTGGGGGCAACTGCCGGCAGCCCTGCCAACGCAATGGACTCGCACATCAGGAGGCCCTGCGGAGCTGAGCAGCGCCGGCCATTCTGCTGTCCCTTCAGCCTAGTGTCCAGGTGCTGTGACAGCTACTGCAAAGGTGCTGAAACACTTTCTGCACCTGAGGGCCACCCCAATTGCAAATACGCTCCCCGGGGGCCCCGCTCCAGTGGGGCCAACCTCCAAAGGGGAAGGGCCCAAATTTCCCAGTGTATTTTAGCTTAGCGCATTTAATGGCAGGACCTAAGCAATGGGGCTGTGGGATTTCCTGTCGACCTTTTAGAAGGGGGTGGGGACTTACAAAAGCCAAGCAAGCAAACAATTGGCAGGTGTGGGGAGACGGTGGGGCCAAGGCAAGGGGGTGTGCCCCCTACGGAACTTTGGAAGGCTGGGTGGAGACCCCACAATGGTTGGGTTTCGTCACTAAGGTTTGACCTTAAGCTTAAGGTTCCTCATCCTGTCTCTCATTTTTACCTGGTTGGGGCAGGTAAAGTAGAACCTGGAAAAGTACAGGGGAGAGAAAGTAGAAGGGCCATCCTGGGAGCCTTGAAGGGCTGGATAGGAGCCCAAGGTAGGCTGGCATCCGAGCCTGAGTGTTGCACCCCCCAAGCTGTGGGAGGAAACGCCCTTGTCGATTTCCCCCAATCCTTTCCCACAAGGGACTTACCAGGGGACGCCTTTATGGTCTGTGGAGGGGTTTTTTGCAAACCAGCTGTCATAAAGAGATTTGCCTTCAAACCCTTCATCAGGGCTTGGTATCTGTTAAAACATAAGGCATTTTGCATTCAGGGAAATGAAGGAAGACAGAGATCTCAACCTGACCTGCCTCACAGGGTTGTTGTTGTGAAAATGGAGCAAGGGGAGAGCCGACACTGTCTTTTTCTCCCTCTGCAATAGTAGTTGTGCTGGCTGGTCTTCACTTGTACAGAAGCAAGCAAAACCGACAGTCCTTCTGCCGATGTTTTCTCTAGTAATGCTCTGACAGAAGGCTGAATTGTGGGAGCAAAACTGGGACACAAAAAGGGAACACATGGACCACTTTGTGTGCCCTTCATTTGTAAAGTTCCAGTTTATTGCTGGAACAGGGAAGCACGTAATTTAGAAGTGTAACTAGAATGCAATGCAATGCCAAATTAGATTGGCTGACTGAGCTGGGTGATTCAGTCACAGCACACTGTCATTAATCAAGTCATATTACCCATGTGGTTTAAGGTACTATGTTATTTGTGCATCTACAAGGGAGGTGCTTGGCTTTAATTACTGTTCTCCAGAAGGTTATTTCTCAGATGAAATTTGGACAGAGTAAAATGCCCAGTCAGCTTTTGGTTCAGCCATGTGAGCCCCTGCTCATTAATTTTCCCTCTCTTTGTATAAATCATCTTAGCAAAAACAGAGTGCCTTTTGTTTGGTTGCAGAGCACATGCCTTGCAATCATACAATCACAGAGTTTGGGGCCTGTTAGGATTCGTAGAGGCCATCTAGTCTGACCCCTTTGCAGAACATTGGTAGAGCATCCCCGCAAACAACTAACCAGCATCTGCTTAAATACCTCCAGTGAAGGAGAGTTCACTACCTTTGGAGCCACAGAAAAGGACAACCAAATTGACCAAGGAACTGGAGTAATTCAGTACAAAAAAGGGTTACAATGTCTGGCATCATTTAATGCAGTAAGAGAGATAGAGACAGGGAGACAGAGAAATAAGGAAAGACTCATTAAAGCTCTACAAAATTATGCATGGAATACAGAAAGTGGATAGTGAGCTGTGGGGAATACCCTTTCCATTGGCATTAATGGGCACTTAAGCTCTGTTGTATAGATCTGGGGGTCCTAGGAAATATAATCAGGGATCATTTCCCATGGACCCAGGGCTAACAATGCCCACCAGTGGTAGTGCTGCATCCAATACCATGCCATAGTGCTGTTTAGAAGGAAACAGCAGATTCTGTGAAGGGAAGCCAAGCGCAAGCTTGCTGAAAGAATGCAGTCCCCCTGACCAGGCCACCTGCTTCCTCTGTTCAATACCAACATGGATGGATACATGACCGGTCTCATGACTGGTGAGATAACCACCCATTGCCTATTGTGGTGGGTGAGAAATTTAACAACCCAGATAGCGGCTCCTAAAGGAAATAAAACACATTTTCCTTTAGGGAAGGATGCAGAGCATTGTTGGAATGCTCCTTGGCCCTCTGAGGGCCAGAAGACACCTCAGGGCATGACACTAAAAGCCAGGGGTGGACACCGAGGCCTTGCAGATGTTGCTGGACTACAGCTCTTATACTCCCCCATCAGTGGTCATCTTGGCCAGCACTGATGGGGGCTGGAATCCAGACAGAACTGAAGACCCACAAGATCCCCTCCTTCACTATAACCTGGTGTGGAAGTTCAAGATAAGCCAGTGACATCTTGATCAGTGCTTGGATGAGACGCCCCTGTGAGTTGCCCTGCTGAAGTTCCCTGGAAAAGCAAGGGGGACAGTAGCCTAACAGATGAATACATCCATATCTATTTTTCCATAGGATGCTCTCTCTTCTCTCTCACTCTCTCCTTTTACCTCTTTAGTCAGATTGTATACCAAGCTGAACATCAATGGAGTGCAGTCCACTCGAAGTGTATAGTTGCCTGAAAAAGAATCAGAATCACAGAATAGTAATGGGGCAATGAGGCCTCTGGGTCCAATGCTCTGCTCAGTGTCGGACTCTAAATCAAAGTATCTCTAACAGTCCAGCTCTAACAGTCCAGCTGCATCTGGAATGCTTCCAGTGTGGGAAAAAAGTGATGTCTTTTAGATGGAAGTTGAAATTATGAATAGGGTTCCGATGATCATTTTTTCAGAGAACACTGAATAGGACATCCTGCTCTTTTCTGTATTCCTTCTATTTCTGCATTCCTTATCAGTTATTTTCTGTATTTTACATTAGCTAAACTATACTGTTGTAGAACTGGGGGCCAAGCTAGATGATCTCTTGGGGAGATCCCAACTCTGTTGTTTGTAATTAAAGGAAGCAAATAGTATTACGCATTCAGGGGATTTTGGGAGTAATTCTATGGCTCCAGTCAGCATCTGAAGAGCTAAATAACCTTTGGGATTCACAGCTCCAAGACTAGCATAATAAAAACAAAATTTATTAAAAATTTCTAACAAAGCAGGAAGAGGAGAATATAAAAAGCATCTCAGGATGTGAAATAACTTCAAACCCAGTTAAATATTTAGGAATAACCATCACAGTACATAATGATGCAATACAATTATCAAATAAATTGGATGAAGATTCAAAAAGACTTACAAAAATGGACTAAACTTTTTTATTTAAGCAAGGTTTTGGTTGATTTAATTTTATTTAATACTTTTATATTTTATTATGGATTTTTATCTTAATTTAATTTGGGTTCATTAATTCATTGGTTGTATTTACTGGTATGTGTGAGTATATTTTATTTGAGGTACTTTATTTTATGGTTTTAACTTTTATATGATCAATCATTGTTTTATTGTATTGATGTATATTTTTATGTTCTAGTATTGTAAGCTGTCCAGAGAACCTTGATGAGTTATGGGGCAGCATAGAAATGGAAATAAATAAATCAATAAATAAAATAGAGACAGATGTGTGACCCCCGAGGGTGGAATCCATTATCTTCTCCCCACCACACACACAGCCAGCATGAAAACCTGCCTGGCTGCTTTCCTGAAGTCAGGAATGCAACCTTGGAGGAGCATCCGGATGGATGGGGAGGCCAGGTTGCAAGATATCCTGAAGCCTCTCCAAACTGCTTCCCTGTCTCAATGAAACACTCCAGTAAAGGTGGGCAGATATGGGATGCTCATAAGTTTCTGGAAGCCTGCAGTCACTGAGAGCACAACCCCTCCGGTTCTGCCCTTAAGAGCTTAGTGTGCTTGTTTACCAAATAGACTGTCATGATGGCAATTCGTCTACTTCACTTTTTCTTTCTCAATCAAATCTTATGTACTTTTTTTTACCTTCTACAGAGGAATCAGCGTTGATATAGGCAACCCCACGCTCCTGTAGTATTTTGACATTTTCCTACAAAAGAAGGGAGGGAAAAATGGATTCTTCACAATCACCTTCCTCCTCCTCCTCCTCCTCCTCCTCCTAATTTCATTTATATACTGCCCTGGAGCTATCTGGGTGGTTCGCAACAAGGTGTAAAACAGAACAATAAAATGCAATGTGAATAATATAACACAGCAATGTTAAAAGAGTTTGATTTAATTTAAAATAGCTTAAATATAGTAAAAATGCGATAAAAGAGCCAGTAAGGAGAAGAATCGCCAAGGTATCTCCTCAGGCCCCTGGAGAATCAAGGAGACCTTTAAGGGCCTCTGCATAGAGGCCAGTCTTGAGCTAGTGCTGAAAAAATGGCAAATTTGGCACCAGGTGGGCCAGAGCAGAAAAGATGGGGACCACCACAGAAAAGGCCCTCCCCCAGTTGCCACCCTCCAAGCCTCTTGAGGGGTTGGCATTCAGAGGAAGGCTCCAGGAGTTGAACATAGTGTCCAGGTAGATTGGAGCTGGGAAAGATGGTCTGACAGGTATTGCAGTCCCGAGTTGTGCAGGGCTGTATAGGTTAAGACCAGCACCTTTGTTCATGTGCACGCTCAAAGAATTTCTTTCTGGACAAGCTCGTGCATGAGCTTGGAAAATTGCAGAGTGCAGCCTCACAGATGAAACCTTCATATCATCCGGCTTCAGCTCACACACAGAACGAGCCTTTCTCCACCAATCGTTCTGCACATTAAAATTTCCATTCTTTTCTCGGCTTTTGAAACGCAACACACAAAAGGCAATTCATAGAGAATCTGTCTGAGACTCGTCAAGATTATGCTGTAAAACATGATGAGAGCTCAAGTAATGCAGATGCATCAGCCGGTCGAAGCCAGAGAGGCATACGCATGGATGACAAATGCAAATCCGATAGAAAAGAATTCATTAATTTTCTCAGCAGAGTACTTCCCTGATTGTCATATGCCCAGCCCCTGACTTGCTTTGTAGTCCTGCTGTCAAATTCTTTTTCTGGTTAATTACCTTTCTTAGGCAAACTACAAGCAAGCAAGCTTTATCTCAGGCAACTTACAGGATCCTCTTGCAGAGCAAAGAAACCAAAGATCTCAGTAGGGCTGGCACAACACAGGACCTCATAAGCGTCAGTTCATTTCTTGGGCCATGGCAGCATGAGGGAGAGAGGCCAACAGACTGACAGTAGCTACTGTGGATCATCCTTCGCAAACTGAGTGGGCTCCCAGGGCCCTCCTTCCATGTTTTCACCTCTGGAGCTGCAGGTCTCTCTGAGTACTGCATGGCCCTGCTAGCTTAACTCTTGGATCTCATGTTCCGGCCCTCCTGCTATTCATTTGGAGCCTACATTCAGAGGGACCAGCAGGCTGTCCCCCGGTTCTGGGGGTTCAGTCTGGCTGTCCTCCCAGTGACGGTGGGGTGCCTTGACTTGTGTCTCTGCCATTCTCTCTCCTGCTGCCACCCCACTGACACTTCCCCTTCTCCTTCCCTATTCCTTCCTGGGGTGTGGCAGAGGGTCCAACCCCGATAATGTGAACGCAAATTATCCAGATTCATGGCTCAACTGAACAGGATGGAAAATGCATGCTTCACAGATGGGAAAGGCTAATGCAGAGGTGGGGCGAATGAGAGATTCAGGAATGATATTCAGGATCACTGGGACTCTCTAAACATCATCTTGCCATTCATCTCATGCTGGATTCTTCCTCATGACTGCGATCACTGCTCACTCTGTGCAAATGAAGAAACCTCACAAATCAAGCCGTATCAAATTTGCATAAATGTTTTAATTTCCATAAACTAAAGTTGGGCTGATGCAGTCTACAGGGAAATTTGCAAATTAGGGAATATGCAGAAAATCAGACTTGGAAAGCTGCACATGTCCATCAATTTGCAATCATTTTCAGCAATCGCATTCAGGGCTTCAAACAGGGCATGCTCGCGTGTTTTGCAAGCAAAAATGAAATGCTCGGATCGCCCTAATCAAGAGCGTAGCGGAGAGTTGCACGCTGCAATTGCAATGGGGGCAAAACAGCTTTTCCTCAGTGCTGCTTTAGCTTTAGGAGGAAAGACTCTTTTGGTGCTGCTCAAGGCTGCCCTCCCTGAGCTCATAATGGGGGGACAGGGTGGGGGTGGGGGCACAGTGTATATACTGCAAATCCATTTATTATGAAAAATAGCATTAAAATGCATCATATGATGGAAAAACGATTGCAAAAGTGTATATATGAGGCCAAAATGCATGGGAAAATGCCCATGAATCGCCCTAAAATCTTTTGAAAACATGCTGTGAGGTTGGAACCAATTGTCAGCATCTCAGACGAACTGAATTTAAGACTGAGGGAATAAGAATCTGAGAGACAGACCGATTGCCTGTCCCTGCCCACAGATGTCCATATGCCTCAGAATGGCCATCACTGGGGAATGCAAGCAGCACTGGTGGCTCCAGGATTCTGAGAGTCCTTGGGAAAGACCCCTCCATGGCCCCCTCCCTCAGTGGGTCCACCTTGTCCCCACCACTGTTGGCAGCTGCGTTTGCTCCTCATCCTTTTCTCAGCAGGGAGAAAGTCAGCAAGCCAGTAGACGGTGGCATGTACAGCTGCGTCCCATTCCACCACCAAGGCAAAGCAACAGGCAGGTGAGCCAGCCAGTTGCTATGGTGAAGAGGGGAACAGGTGCAGGGGCCTCTTGCCAGGGAGCATGCTGGGACCTGGGCCCTCAGGAGGGCCTAATCTTGCCTACACTTCATGCTGGGCCTGGCAAGGGGGAGGGTGCTCTGGCGTTGCTGGTGTGCTCCAGCAGGACACTCTGCCTTTGTACTTAAGCAAGGCACCTTCCTCTTGTGTTCATAAGAGCATAAGAAAAGCCTTGCTGGATCAGACCAAAGGTGCATCCAATCCAGCGCCCTGTACAAACCAGCTGCCCACAGGATCCCCCCTCAAACAGGATGGGTGCAAGACCTCTGCCCACCCAAGCTCCTCAGCAAGGGGTGTATGCAAGCGTTCCCCTTCTGGTAAAGACAGGAGCACATAGCCAGCAAGGCTAGTAACCACGGAGAGCTTCCTCCTCCATGAATCTGCCCAGTGCCCTTTTAAAGCCATCCAGATTGGTGGCCATCACTATTTTTCGTGGTAGCAGATTCCATAATTTGACAGCATGGTAAGTGTTTTGCAGTCTGGTAAGCCACTGCAGGGCACTTCATTCCATATCAGCAAGAAGGGAAGATGTTGTTGTAATGTGCCATCAAGTTGTCTCTGACGTATGGTGACTCTAAGCCCTCCAGAACGACAGCCCTGCTCCTCTCTTGTAAATTCAAGGCTGTGGCTTCCTTTATGGAATCCATCCACCTCATATTTGGCCTTCCTCTTCTTCTGCCTTCAACTTTCCCTAGCATGATTGTCCTCTCCTGGAAGTTTCACCTTGGGAGCGAAGGGTAGCCAGCCAGTGAAGAATGAGCGTATACTGGTGTTAGGTTCACTAGGCTGCTACAGCTGTATATTAACAAATGAGAAAAAAAATATGTCTTTTGCATTGTGAAGATGCTGCAAACCCTCTTTTTATCACTGATCATAGAATCATAGAGTTGGAAGGGGCCTAGAAGGCCACCAGGTCCAACCCTCTGCTCAACAGAGTACTCAAGTCTCCCATCCAAATGTTAACCAGGCCTGACCGGCTTAGCTTCCAACATTGTATTGCATCTCTGCACAGAAGCGCACTATGCATCTTACTTGAGAAGTGCTAGTCTGGAATGTCTACACCAGAGCAGAGATAGGAAAAAGGAAGATGTGTCTAGTTTGGCTCTCTCAACAGCCTCAAGTTCACTAGGCAGCCTTGGGCAAAACTCTGCCTCAGAATTCTGGCTTGCCCCACCGGTAGGATGGGGATAATTATATTCACTTACCTTGTTAGGCTTACAACTTACTAGATGCTGCACCTGGATGCTTGGAACCCTCAAGAACTGGTACATAGATGCCAAGCATAACTTACTATGGATTTACCTCAGCCCATTCTGTAGAGCCTATTAAGCCAAACTCTTCAGCATCCCAGCTGGCAAATATGACTGTTCTTCTTGGTCGCCATCCTACAAGGGCAAGATTTGGAGCCTTGTTGTTATTGCATTACAACCCAGAAAAGTAATGGAGCTAGCAAGGAAAATAGCACCTGGCCTTCCGAGTGTGAATAAGATTAGGATTTAATAAATGGATCCTGTAACAAAATGCGTTGGTGTACAGTCCACATTCTAGACATGCTGGGATTCGATGGGAGGGGGGTTCCCCTTTAGGGTCCCCCCACTAAAAGTGACTTGCAGTTGTATTTCAACTTTTGCTGGTCCTTCATTAGTTGCAATCCTGCCTGGGCTCACAGGGCCCTGAGTTTACTATTTGAGGGATGGATTTGCTTGCAATGGGATTTCCGTGCCTTTTGTAATTGGCAGCGCTAAGGATGCTGCTTTTTCTCCTGCAAGAACACCCTTCACACCAGATGGATTCAGTCCATAGCGATGCCACCCTTTGCTCTCCTTTGGCCGTCTAACAAGACTTAGGGAGAGAGAGCCAATCATTATCTGGGGTGCAGGAGGCATATGTTAATTCAGATTCCCAAAGCCGAGCTTGGAAACAGAGATCCAGCCTCTAAGTTGAGGATCTGTGCTTGGATCATCCTCCACACTTAGATTAGAAGAATCTGCAATGAATTTTAATCAAGTGCAAAAAAGTGATTGTGTAGAAAGGATAGTAATTGTTGATTTACAGTGATTTTTTAACTACTCAACATCCTAGGAAACATTTATTTAAGAATCATTGTTGTTTCTTTGTAGTTTTACTTGTATTCTTTTTTCTTCCCCTGCCCTTCTTTTTAAACTTTATGCTGTTAAAATGGAAAAGGACAGAAACATCCTCAACACTATGCTGGCTGCTTCTCCAGGGTTGGAAAACTACCTTGGAGGTGAGATAATGGGGGAACAGCATGGGGGGGAGGGGGCAAGAAGGTATGAAGATCAGGGGTAGGATAGAAAGTATCTTGAGGAGGCTTCAGTCCCCATCCCAAAGCTCCTGCTAGACAGGAGCAGGAGGTGCAGGGAGGTGGAGAGTGCTTCTATCTCTCCTTCACTCTGTACTGGACACTCATAAACATAGAAACAGAGAAACAGAGTGAGTCAGAAGGGGTCTTCTGGGCCATCTAGTCTGACCCCCGGCTCCAGCCAGCTCCACTCATGACATGCCTACCATGTGCATGTCCAGCCTTTCCTTGAACACCCTCATTGTTGGGGCTTCAATCACCTCTCGTGGAAGCCCATTCCATACCCTAGGGAAGTACTTCCTGGCATCCACCCTAAATCTTGGTTCCCTGAGCTTTGCTCCATTGAAATGCGCCCTACCCTCCACTGCAGGGGTAAAAAGGTCACGACCCACCTCTGCGTGGCACCCCCTCACGTACCTGTATGTCGCTAACAGGTACCCTCTGAGTCTCTGCCTCTCAAGGCTGAAAAGACCCAGCTCCCTCAGTCTCTGCTCATAATTCTCTGGAGCTTACGAACACTGAGGGCAAGATTTATAGGGCTGTATCCTTAAACATTCTTCTCAACAAACAATTCAAAATCAGATGTATGCCTTTCCCTTCCCCTCTCACCCTCGCCCTTTTTAGCCCCAATGACTTTTGCTGATACCCTGTACCTGGTCTGCTTAAATCTGAATTTGAAGAGGAAGTGAGCTAACCCAGTAAGGACAGGGTTGCAGCCAGTTGGGATATTTGGAACCCTCACCACTGAAGGCTTTGCCTTATTTATTTAATTATTTGGATTTTGCAACAGTTACAGAATTAATTTGTTTCAATGTATATTAAAAAGTTAGCCTGACAATTCACAGCCACCATAAATTACAAAAGATGTACAGAATATCACATTCCGCACATGATTGCACTCAGAATTACATATTCCTAAACAGTAGGTGATAATATGAAGTTGACAGTAATACTAATATAGAAAACATCATGAGAAATAAATCATGAAAAATTTAGTGCAGTCCTATGAATATCTACTCAGAAAATAAGTCCTATTGAGTTCCATGGGACTTACTCCTATGTAAACACAAACAGGATTGCCACCTCGGTTGACCTGTTTTATGTAGGTAGCAGAATGGTGATTTCATTGGTGCAGAATTTTTATATTTTTTAGGATTATGTACAAGCAAGAGCTGCTGATGTAGTTATAGGCTTGTCCATGGGCTCATTTAGACTTAAAAGTCAATCACAGGTCCTCACACACTCTCCCAACATTTCATTTGACATACCCAAAGCCAAGCATTTGGAAGCATTTGCTTCCATTTTCAAGTAAACATGGTTTGATCCCATGTCGAAAAGAGCAACTGTGCATGGTTTTAATTTTTTTTTTCTGGACTAGCCAGGATCAATCATGGTTTAAAGTTGGCTTTTTGAAAAAACAAAAAACAAAAAAAACAAAACATGATCAAAAGTAACCACAGTTCCTGATTTGGACATAATTCCCACTGCAGTTAGTTGAAAAGTGTCAGATCTCACGCTGTGCAAACTGCAGAGAGGGAGAGGGAGGGAGAGCACATGGGTCATTGGATGCAGTACTGTGCTTTAGTGCTATGTACAAATGAGTTACCTGTAGCCACATCCATGCATAATCCTCCTGTGCCCAGGGTATGCCACTTGATGGCCTCCAGATGCTTAGGTGTTACAACTGCCATAAACTTCAACCAGCATGGCCAAAGGTCAGTGCTGTATTCCATGGAAACCTTGCACCTTTTCAGCTTTTTATGACATTTGCTTGGATTTTAGGACATCTAATCTAGCCTTTTAATCAGTTTATTGCTTTCATTCGTTGCTGGATCAAAACTGCTTCTTCTTCTTATCTGCCTTTTTTAATTATTGCATTATCTTATTGCTTAATTTTAATGTCAGCTACCATGAAAAATTAAAAGGATGAGAGGATGCAGATCCTGACAATCACACAAACAAAACAGGTCTTCAGATCATGCTTTCTGCAGGCTCACCTTGTTTTTTCAGCTTTCCAAAGTTCCTGACAATCTCATGAACGACAGCGGCTCCACTCTTGGGATCAATCCCACCAAAGACCCAAGAATCACGATGGCCACCTAGGATGACGTACCTGTCTGGGGCAACAGAGTTGGGAATTTATTTTACACAGGTGTGCAATGCATGAGAATGGATGGCTAAAGCTCATCCAAGGATGCTTTGGGCTCAGGGAAAGAGAATAAGAACTGGACGGTGTCCGAAGCACCCAGGGCAGCAAAGGAAGCGAAATGGTTGCAGATCAAGCTTCCACCAAGGAAGCAAGAAAAGAATCTGCTGTGTACCATGTCAGACCATCTAGTTTGGGGGGATTACAGCTGTGGCTCTCCCAGTTTTCAGGTGGGAGCCTTAGCAAAAGATGCTGGAGTACACCGAGGACCTTCTGCACCTGCAACCATGTGTCCCACTGCTGGCTTGATCTCAGGGAGAAACTAAGCAGCAGAACAGCTTTACCTGGCTCGGTTGCGCCTCGGATCGTGCCAATCACATTGTAAATTCTTGTCACTTTCTTCAGGCTGTGGATGTGCATTTTGACTTTTCTAATGCAATGATAGAAGCAGATTCAGTTAGTAAGCAACACTGGCTTAAGAAATCAAGTTTTCACTCCTTAAAAAACTGCTCAAGGTGGGAAAATTCTGTGTTTATTCTTATGTAAATGATGAAACAGCTTAATGAAGTCACCTTCTTCATCCTTTTCAGAACCAGGACTCCAACATGCTGGCTGGGGATAATGGGAGCTGTAGTCAAATAAATCCTGTCAAACTCCTTTCAGTCTGTGGATCAGATTTGGTTTCTGAGTACTCTTGGGGCCATGTTAGGTGGTGGAGGTGGCCAAAGGGAGCTACTTTGGCTTTTACTAGAAATTTGAGCCTACCAGATGCAGGTGCAAAAGAATGGGTTGGACAGACATATACAGAGGACTGAAAAAAGGGCTCCTCTGAGCATATGCTCAGCTCAGGGATTTGTGGCATCAGACCCAAGATCTCAGATTCTTTCACACTAAAATCCACTCTCGGTTGGCCATCACTACCATTCTGTCTAAACAATCTAATTTAGCAGAGCAAAAGGTCCTTCGTGGCTGCTATTGTTGGGCAGTTGGAAGTCAGAAACTCTTGCAACCCACCTGGAGAGCTACTAAGATCTTAATCGACCTTCTGCCCACCTCTGCTTTAAAATCTAGATCGCATCCCCCTTCACACACCACACCTTTTGGAAGAATCTCCTCTAAAGCCTGGCCCAATGTTGTAATCCACAGAGAGATTTCCCTTCCAGCTGCCATCTGGTGGGGGACGCCCTCCCATGTCCCTGTTGAAAAATGAAAGTGTTGCATTCTTAATTCAAGGATTATTTTTATTTTAAACACATGCAGACACAACTTGTCTGCAATCATAAGGAAAGAACTTTATTCCCCTCCCTCCCTCCCTCCCTCCCTCCTTCCTTCCTTCCTTCCTTCCTTCCTTCTTTGCCTAAATCCAGTTCTAATCTAAAGGAATGTTCCTCCCATATGGAGATACCTGAACCTTTAGGTCATCTTCAAGGGCCTTCTTCTCGGTGTTCCTACAGAAGGGCCTCTGTTGTTGTTTAGAGAAGTCTTTGTCTGACCCATCGCGCCCCCATGGACAACCTTCCTCCAGGCCCTCCTGTCCTCCACCATCCCCAGAGTCCACCTAAGCTCACGCCAACTGCTTCAGTGACCTCCTCTAGCCACCCCATCCTCTGAAGATAGCCTAAAGGAATAATCCTATGTGTGTTCAAACCGGAAAAAAAAGTCCTAGCCCTTCCAGCATTCCTGAAGCTGAGGCATGCTGGAAATTGTAAACTTTTCTCATTCTAACCATGCAACGGATCACACACTAAATTAGCTTAGGCTGGTGACTACTAGCAAGAGGACTCTGTTTTTAATGTGGTGGCATCCTGCTTATGTAAGGCCCTCCTGAAAAGGGCCACCTTCTGTCCATTGCTTTTTCAATGCCAGGTAAGCATGCTTCCCTTTTCCTGCATTTTAGATGTTAGAAATCTATATATGATATTGCATTTTTATTTCCTTTGCCAAATATACTTGCTGTGTACTTTGTTTGTTTTCTTTTTAAGAATCATGTCATATGCCCAGAGAGCTTCCTTTACAGGGTAGGCTAAAATACAGTATAATATGTTGCTATAACAGAACGCAAAATAACCCATAGGTGTGTTTAGAACTGCACACTATAAAAAACATGTCTGTGTATTGGATCCCCAAAAACCAGGGAGGGGAAAGAAATTAAGTCATATCCCACATGCTTGCAGAATATGTCACACTGATCATAAAACTGATGATCCAGCCGAAAGGAGAGAAAAATCCTTGAAAATATATTTCAGAATATGATCTTTGACGTCTTTGTTCTTAACATAGAGGGCTGACACCCAGTCCCTTACCCTCTTCTGGCTCAAATGAAAGGTTTTTGCAAGGCATTAGGGAGAGAAAACAAAGGGGAAAAGACTAAAGAACATGCTGAAGCACAGGATGTTCTCTTAATCTTTGTTTTCTGCCGTGGTCACTCTTAAAAGTGGTTGTTCTAAGAAAAGAGTGCTTCAAGTACGTAGAGACAGCTTCCTTGTAAACCTTTGCATGCATCAGTCACAAGCAATGCATATTCCTGTACATCTTGCTACAGTTTAATGCAGCTTTCCCCAGTCTGCTGAACCCCATGTGTTTTGAACTCTAACTCCATCATTCTCGATCCTCGGCCAAGCTGACTCAGGCTAATGGGAATTGCAGTCCAAAACACTTGGAAGACATGAAGTTAGGGAAGGCTGAGTAATGCAACATTTTTATAGGCTTCTCCTAGAAAAGGACCACATGGTCCCTCCAGTGCCCAATAAAAATTGGAAATCCATGATATGATGCAGTTCTCAAAAAGCATCAGAGGACATGCAGAGTCTTTGACATAGTGGAACAGATGTGATGGCCAGCAATCTGGGCAGCTTTAAAAAAAAAGGATTGGGCACATTCATGGAGGAAAGGGCTTTCCGTGGCTACTAGTCCTGATGGCTACATGCCATTCCCAGTGTCCAAGGCAATATGCCTACGTGCACCAGTGGCTGGGGAACATGGGCAGGAAGGCCCTGTCCTGCTTGAGGCAAGCACTTTCATTGCCTGCCGCAACCCATGGCTAACTGCTCTGGGTCAATCCAGCCAGTCTCCATCACGACAAACAGGTTTGCCTTACGGCATGGATGCAGCATTTGGGAAAGCTGTTCCCCCTTCACTTGAACTGACCTCAACAGTTTCTCAGCATCGTGGTAACCAATGGGGTGGACAGGAATGCTTAAGCGGGCTGTAGTCTGTGCTTCATCATAGCGGTAGGTGTACTCTGGAGCAAGAAAAACACAACCATTATTTCCAGCAATCGCCCTAATAGTTCCTATTTGTTGAGGTATTAACAAGCTCAAGAGAAGGGAAGTCAAAGGTGACAAACTTTGCTGGCTCATGATTGAAAGTAAAAAAGAAAAGACTGCTTGTTTGTGATACTTTATACTGTTTAGTATAGTAAAATCCCTTAACAATTCAAATGCAAAATACAAGATAGAAATATTAAAACAATAAATAATTGAATAATCAAAATTATTGTTGTTGTTGTTGTTGCATTAAATTAATATCTTGTTCTGGTAAGGAACCCAAGGTGGCTTAAAGGGTTCTACAGTTTCTCTCCATTTATCCTCACAACAACAACCCTGTGAGGGAGGTCAGGCTGAGGGTGAGCAACTGGCCCAAAGTCACCCAGTTGGCTCCATGGCTGAGTGGGGACTAGAACCCAGATCTCCCAAAGCTGAAGTCCGAAACATGCAGAGGGCACCAGGTTGGGAAAGGTTGTTTCAGATGGTACCCATGGGATGATTTTATTTTATTTTATTTTTGCAGAGGGAGGAATAAAAGCTGTCCGATGCTCTTTTTCAGTACCGCTCACCTTTAGCTGGATACCCAGGGGTCAGAGGATCCCCAGCACCATCCAGGATTAGTACGTTTCCACGCTGGGCTCCTCCTTCAGGGAGATTCCAGCCAGCCGGGTAAGGTTCTACCCCTGGGGCGCAGGAGTCAGCAGGGTCAGAGTATAAAATAACACCCTTGGCTCCGGCCCGCTCCGCATTCTTCACCTGTGGGGCAAGGACAATGATGGGGAAGCGTGTTCAGATGTTGGAACCCAGCTGCATTTTCATCTACAGCTCAGCTTCAATGGTTTTGACCCATGAATTTTTGTTGCAGTCACCCTAACACCTTGTTCCAAAGGTTTTATAGTTCCAGAAAGACTGCACAGGAAGGGATCCATGGCAGCTAGATGTAAACAGATCCTGATGGTCATGTGCAAGCTAATGTATTTAAGGAAATCTTATGCAAATTTTAAAGTTGGGCGGGGAGTCCTACAAGTTCCATGTGGGAGTTTTAGGACTTTTTCTGTTTAAACACACATGCGATTATACCCTTTAAGTCCATGATCTCTGTGTGTTCTATTACAGAGGTACAGAACAGCTTGCCCAGCTGTTCCAGCCTGCTGAGTTCCCCAGTTTGGTCTGTGGAGCATCTTTGAGTGCCTTTGGAAGGTAAGATTTCACTTCCAACCCTTTTCCCCTGGGCTTGAGAAATCCCCACTAGAGGAATCCAAGTTTGGAGAGAACAACGGAGATTCACCTGTCCATCCAGTCTCCCACTGGAGAAAAGAGTGGGGTGAGGGAGGCCATTGGTATGACAAACGGCACGTGAGCTCGGGGACTCGGCTGGCGTCATTCCTGTCCAGCTCCCTTTCTCCAAGCTGGCAAAGGACACACGAGTTCTGCGGAGGGTGTGAGAACGGGCAGCAGCCCTGGCCATTGTAAGCTGTGGGTGGGAGCCAATTAGTCTTCCTGGTGATGGAATGGCTTTGATCAGCAGAATGGGGAGGGGGAAAATTCTCCCTCCTCCCTAGTGTAGCCCCAGAACTTGCTTCAGAGGCTTGGCAGGGGCTACCTAGCCCAGACAGGAAGGAGCGGGTTGGGGACCTGCAGCAGGGACAGGAGGAGAAAGTCCTGGCATGCAAGCAGAATTCTACTTATGCAGTTCAGATTTCCCTCTAGAGCTGCCCCTTCATCGCAATTGTCTTAACTCAAAAGTATCAGAGCAGAGCTCACATTTCTACACATTTTATCTGTGTGTCTGAAGGATATAGGTCAGACCCCCGGGGACACACTATTTTAATTACCTTATTTCCTCGGAAGATTTTCCCATATCTGGCAATGACAATTTTCCCTGAGCAATTGATTCCCATCTCACGCTCTAATCTGTGGAAGTCTTGGATGCTGCCATAGTTCACATACACCAGCTCTCCCTGGAGGATAAATGACACAGGTTTATATGTGGAAGAAGCTGAGTGGGGAGGAGGGAAATGCAGAAGGTCCTTGGCTTCAGGATGGGGCCATCATAGGACTGTGGGGGAAGCAAACACCTCCCCAAGCAGAGGCTGCAGAAGAATCGCAGCTGAGAGGAAGAAGGAGAGAAAAGGCAAGGCGCTTTCCATTCCAATGTCTTTTTCTTTCATCCCTCTTTTTTCCTCACAAAAGGCAAGACAAAAATCCAAAAGAAGAAATCAAATAAAATGCATTTCTTTAATTCAAGATCTCTGCTCTCCCATTCCAACCAGCTTAAGTAGTTTAACACACGAGCAAGTTGGGAAAACATGCCAAAGGCAATAGCTTCAAGACCAAGCTTCAATGAAATGAAAACATAGAAACAGAGTGAGTCAGAAGGGGTCTCCCTGGCCATCTAGTCTGACCCCCAACTCCAGCAGGCTCCGCTCCTGACATGCCCACCATGTCTATGGAACTCAACCTTTGGGCAGTTCAATACCCCGGCTGCCCATCACTGCGACTCTTTCCCATCCTTTCCTCACTGCCCTATTCTACCCCCACTTACATCTTTTTCAGGAATCTTCAGTAACTCTTTCAGCAGTTGTCCACCATTCTGTGCCTGCTGAGTCCATCTAGCCCCAGCCTCTGTCTCTCTTTGTAGTCAAGCCATCAAGTCCTGTTTCTAGTCATTTATCTTTATTATGCGAACAACAAGCAAGAAGCATTGCCTCAGGATACAGGATGTGCCCTCTTACACGCAAGAAGCAAAAGTTCCAGGCAGGCTCTGCATAACGCTGAACCTCATAAGCTTCAGTTCGTTCCCTGGGTTAGAGCACCTGAGAGAGCAATGTCACTGCACTGGCAGCCTCTGCCACAGGTCACCTTTCCCAAGCTGAGCGAGGTACCGAGTCCCTCCACCAAGCTGGGTCTTTCTACAGTGCTTCCTTCCTGGCTAAAGTCTCCTTGAAGACTGTGTGGCCCTGTGAGGTCCCTCCTTTCCAGCTGATGCCCAACTCTTGGACCTTATATTCCCACCACTTCTTCATTAGAGCTTAGAGGACCCAGCTTTTAGGGAAGTGGGAAACTGAACTGCCATGAAAATATAGGAAAGGTGATAAGCTGAAGGGGCAGGGATCCATCAGCTGTGTGGCATGGGCTTGGGCATTGGAAAGGGCTACAGATCAGTACAACTTAGTAGCCAGAAAGGGCTACAAATCAATAGCCACATTGCTCTGAAAATGCAGGCCTCAGGTGCAAAATACTTAATACAGAGCATAGCATGAATTAAAGCTTAAGCTGTTAAATCAAAGAAGACAACCTCACACGCATTGCCGGTATATTTCCTCATCCAGCATTTCCTCATCCAGCTAGGCACATGAACACAAAGCCGGTGTGGAGATCTCTGAACTGGATTCGGGTTATGTTTGGTTTTTCTTTTTGTCTGCAACCCAACCGGCAACTGAGCCTATCAACAGGGGTGGCAAGCCTTTCCATTAACACCATTCACCCCCTCCCTGCAAAAACAGCACTGCATATCTTTGCATACCTTCTGGCCAGCCGGCTCCCACCCCTCCCTTCAGGCATTTCATCTCTCTCTGACAAGGCTGGCCCAGCCGCTTGCTGGAGTTAAGCAGCTGCTGCAGGCAGCTCATTTCGGATTTCATAAAAGGGCTGCAAGTTTTTAGTTGCTTCATTTATTATCACTGCAGTTTTACTGCCACGAACAGAGAGAGACACGTCTGGTATGTTCTGCTTCAGGTGCCAGAATAGCTTAACTGATCCTGGGAAACATGAATCTCAGCTGGAAAAAAGGCCTCACTTGCTACTTTGCTTCAAGCAGACACATGTCTTGGGCCAGGCCGCTTTTCTGGCCACATTCCAAAACCTTAAAAAAAACCCTATTTTCTTTTATCTCCTAGCTAAGCAGAAGGGGTGTGACACAAACCCAGTACCTTGAAGATGTCACTGAAGGTGCTGTTAAAGGTCACAACCCCACTGTCACCCCAGGCTATGTCAATGCTTAAGAGAAGGTTCATTCTTGTTATGTGCCATCAAGTCATCTCCAACTTAAGGTGACCCTAGGAAAGAAAGCCCTTCAAGATGTTCTGCCCTTTACACCCATCTCAGTTCATACTGAGTCAAGGCTATGGTTTTCCCAGTTGCAGTGTATGGCTGTGAAAGATGGACCATAAGGAAGGCTGAGTGCTGAAGAATTGAGGCCTTTGAATTGTGGTGCTGGAGGAGACTCCTGCGAGTCCCTTGGACCACCAGGCGATCAAACCGGTCAGTCCTAGAGGAGATCAACCCTGACTGCTCTTTAGAAGGGCCAGATACTGAAGATGAAACTCAAATACTTTGGCCACCTCATGAGAAGGAAGGACTCCCTGGAGAACCTAATGCTGGGAACAATTGATGGCAAAAGAAGAACGGGACGACAGAGGATGAGGTGGCTGGATGGAGTCACTGAAGCAGTCAGCATGAGCTTAGATGGACTCCGGGGGATGGTGGAGGACAGGAAGGCCTGGAGGAAGGGGGTCGCGATGGGTTGGACATGACTTCGCGACTAACAACAACAGTTCATACAAACTCAAGGCTGCGGCTTCCTTTATGGAGTCCGTCCAACTCATACCTGGAACCAAAGGGTATGCTTGCATTGTCAATAAAGGGTTGTATATGGAACAGTATGTTGGACACCAATCTGATTCTCCCATCACCACCTACCTCTGGTGTGCCCTGGGCTGAAAAAGCACTGTAGGGTGGTACAACATTTCCGACATCTTCATACCCTGGAGCAGGAGGCTCGGACAATGAGGTGTTGAAGACCTAAGCAGTGAAGAACAGGCACAAGAGGAGGCAATGCATTAAGAATGCAATCCAATTGAAGACACAATCCTATATCTGAGTAGACAGGGAAAGGTTCTACAACTCTCAGCATGCCCTGGCCATCTGGGCTGCATCCCTGCATTGCATTGGTTAGAGTCTGGGTTGCAGACCACGCCTGAGAATTAGCTGAGCTTCAGCCAAGGAACCAAGAGCAGCATGCTGGGCTAGAGAGGTCTTTGGTCTGGTCAACCACAGTTTGTTTTCAGTTCTTAACTTTCTGAACTTATTTTTTTTAACAGGCACCAGAAAATTGATAAAGTAGGCACTGGGCAAAAGTGTCTAGGGAGGAAGTTCCACTTTCATGATTCTGTGGTAGAGATCTTTTCCCAGGTGCTCCTCATACCTGAAGATGGGAGCAAGCTGGAATGAGTGTGAGTCACAAGCCACAACTTGGCCTTAAGTGAAAATTAAGCAAAATAATTGGCCACAAGGTGGAGTAAAAAGCCAGCATAGCTTTAGAGCACAATGTACCCCGATTGGTTTGCTGCTGTCAGACGTGACATTCAGGAGTAGACCCAGGTGGAGGATCCCAGGAACCTAAGAAGAGTCCTGCTGGGTCAGATGGAAGTCCATCCAGCTGCTGCACACAGTGGCCCATCAGCTGCCTACAGGATTCCACATGCAGGACAGGAATGAAACAGCACCTTCCCACCCATGTTCCTCAGCAATTGGTGTCCATAGGCATACTGTCTCTGATACTGGAGGGGACATATGGCCAGCAGGTCGAGTAGCTATGAATAGCCTTCTCTTCTATGAAACCACCTAACCCCCTTTTGTAGCTCTCCAAGTGGGTGGCCACCATGACAGCTTGTAGACATGAAGTCCATCGTTCAACTAAGCACTGCTTGAAGAAGTCCTTCCTTTAGCGCGTCCTGAATTTCCTTCTAGCAAGCTTCATGGGATGGCCCCTTGGAATTCTGGCATTATGGAAGAAAAGTATCTCCATATTCACTCCGTTCATACCATGTACACTTTGTGCATTCCATCAGGGCTCCTCTCCCTTGAAGCTAAACTACCTCAGGTGTTGCAACCTTTCCTATTTGGGAAGCTGCTCCACTTCATCAATCATTGTGGTCACCCTTTTCTGCACTTTTCCCAACAGTATAATGTCCCTTTTTGGCCCTTGTAGCCCCTGAAGTTGCCTCCTCCTACCATACTCGATGTTCACAATTTACAGCCAAGTTTGTGCAGGAGAAAGTGGACTTTCTTATCTTCTAGTCTCAGGCCATTTATTTTAGCTGTTATTCCTTCATTATTTAAAAGCACTAATTGTCCTTCTGTACTTTAAAGAAATTGCTTCCTGTTGTTGCAAGCTTGGTCTACAAACGGCCATTTTAATTTTCCCCAATGTAGCGTCATTTCTCTGTTGAATGCTCCAGAAGAGAAAGGAAAGGTTTACCTCTTGCCCATTTTCATCAACAATTGAGATGTAGTTGGGATTTGTTTCATTTGGGTAGGACAGCAGAACGTCGTAGGGAGCCAACTGAACTGAATCCAAGCCAAATTCCTCCCACTGGGCTTGTATTTGTTCAGCGAGGTGCAAGTTCGCCTGCGTGCCTGCCAAATGAGGCTCCCGAGTGAAATTGCTAGGAAGAAAAATGGAGTGGGGAATTATCTGTGTGCGAAAGGAAACGTATTTGCTATTTTACTGATATGTCGAAAGTCGGGATGAGAAACAGAAGAGGGCTTCACAACGATGGGCATGACCAGGGACACTGGAGAGTTCCTCTACAGATTTTAACGAGTTCATACTTTGGTGAATCCAACCCATGCACTCTGCAACGAAGCAACTTTTTCTGAGTCATATGGTCTTGAAGACCCATTGTTTACTTTTTCGAATTGTACTCCAATATGAAAAATACAGGAAGAAACCAACTGACCCAAAATGTGTTTATACCCCCAAAGGCCACAGGAAGAAAATATAGATGTGGGAGGGGGTTTGTGCATTCATGCCAATGCACAGCTTTGGAAATACACATTTGTGCAGGTGCGCACTTTCCAAAGTGCATGCAAATTTGGGTATTGAGAAAAATGATTCTGTCAATGAAAAATATGACCAAAGTGCAGATGATCTGCAAAGCATAGATGGAATGGATTTAACAACATCTGCACTTCCCGTCTTACAACCCACAGCTGGGTGACACCCTGAGCTAAGGTGGCTCCCATGAGTTGGAATCGCCATCCTTTGATCTGATGGAAGGAGGAGAATGAGCGGGAGAGAGAGAGAGAGAAGTTAGTACTCATGAAAGTCTCTTTAGAGTCTTCTCCATCTCCATCTCTGGAGCCTGAAAGAAAATTGATTTTTTTAAATCTCTAAGTACTAGGGCAAAATGTCAGGATAAATTCTCACATACTTCTACTAAACTGGAACCCATCTCCTTTCACTTGTCTCTCAGGTTACAATGGTACCTGCCTTTGCCAAGTCAAAGTGTCTCTGTATTGACCATGTGCCTTTCTCAGCCTCACCTGAAGATGCTCAGACTGATCCTGGCACCTTCTGCATGGGAAACATGGCTCTAGCCTTTCCTCTTGCCTGACTCAGGATAAGTTACCCCATAAATTCTATTTCTGGACCTGGCTCTGCCATTATTCCAGTGCAATCGACCTCCTGCAATGAGAAGGAACATACCCCTCGGGGTCTTTGTGGCTTGCAGCAGCGGTCAGAGATGATATCTGCTTAAGAGCATCCAGTGGTTTCTAAGATGGTGTGGAGGATGAGTGGCCATAGGAATGGTCCTTAAGTCTACATTTCCTTTTTGTCTAGCACAGGTGAGGGGGCAGAGTGCTTGGCAATACACTAGATCACAGGCAATCAACTGAAGCACAGTCCAGACAACGCAAAGTTACTCTAAGCGGGTACGGAGGTGTAGACATGTGTGTTCAGGCCTGCCCATGTTTCACAGATTTTCAAGCACCTTTCCTTCTATTGTCTGCTTTTGACAGAATCAGATATTGCACAAATGTGCTTATATACTTCTGTACAAATCCACAGTTACAAGCATTCACACTCCCCAAAATGCACAAATGCCTACCCCTCTAATATGCAGATCTCTAAAAGGGAAACACTTGTTTGGTCATATTTTTCCACAATTAAAGTTGCATAAAATTTATGCAAATACAGTGAGCATGAGGGTGGAGCTTGCAAGAGGAGGGAGGAGCTGGATGCAAAAGTGGGCAGGGTCACCCCCGTTCCTCTCTCTCCATCTGCCACTCCTTTTCCTGTAGCTCTCATTTTCCGCTAGCCCGTTTTCTCTCTCTCGCTTCCCATCTCTCTCTCTCGTTCTTCCTCCCCATCGAGCAGGCTGCCAGAAGACAGATAACTCTTATCAGACATTTCAGGTAATCCCTTGCGGAGGGATTATGAAATTAGGCTGAGGAAGCTTGCTTGCTTGCTTGCTCACTCCTGACATAAGTCACAATGCACCTGAAGCATCATATTAAAGGCAATTGTCCCAAAATGGCAGACAGTGAACCAAGGGCCTTGCATTTGGGAGATGCTAGGATAGAATGGCTGTGAAATGGTCCAGTCAGTCACATGCAGTTCCACAAGTTCCACAAGCATGCATGTCATGAGTGGAGCTGGCTGGAGCCGGGGGTCGGACTAGATGGCCCAGAAGACCCCTTCTGACTCACTCTTTTTCTGTGTTTCTAAGTTCAGGACTGCATGCCCATCACAACTTTTTTTAGGGTTTGACCAGACAAAAGAAATCAGTGTGCATACCATGGACAATACAGCCTCTATCTTACAATTTTCAGCTCTCTCTCTCCCTCTCTCCCTCTCTCTCAAAAAAAGCTATTTCTATCTCCAGTTTGCAGAGGAGGGGGGAGAGTTTATACATTCACTGAAGAGAGACAGCTTTAGATAATGTTCTTTTTTCAGTTCTTAAAGGAGCGAATCCCTGCAATTCTTCCAGGTTAATTATTGTTTAAGGGACAATAAACACAGATATAGAATGAACAATTCCTGAAGCTCCAGCCCAGGAATTTTGCAATACAATTCATCCTTTAAGGATAGCCCACTTCGCATAGGTTTTTTTAAATTGTCAAGCTTCTTCACACCCTTATTTCATTGTATTTCTTGTAACAACCCTGTGGGATAGGCCAGTATTATTAACTTCCATACTGAAGAAGGGATGGGGTTAAAGATGAGAGATGGTGGCTTGCCTAATAGAAATGCATGTCTATTCAGAAGTAGTTCCCACTGGGTTTAATGGGACTTCCAGCCTATTGGATTATACCCCCATCTAGTATAGCTGGCTAGGCATGGCTGACTGGGACATGAGGAAAGTTGTAGGCCCCTTTATGGGTCAAGGATTGCAGTGTGAATGCTACACCATCATTACACTCCGTGCTTAACCCATGTTTAAGAACATACGCTGGTGCTTATGCTCTTCTCATCACTAGGCAGCAAAATATTTCTCAGATTCTCAGAGGAGAGAAAACATCTTCTTCTCTCTTAAGATCTTCAGAGAACGCTCTTTGTCACATCCCCTTACCAGGGGAAGGTCACTGTGTGTGGGAAATTGGCACAGGGCCTTCTCTGTGGTGGCAACTACCCTGAAGGGTTCCTGGGAGCAAGACATGGGCAAATGTAGCCACTGCCCATTGACGGTATCAACAGTGCTATCTTTGGTTGGCTTAGTTCCTTATGCTGCTTCTTGTGCTTTGGAGTTATTGTTAATGCTGATATTTGTCTATGGCTTCGTTGTGTTTTATTTTGCTATCTCATACACCTGGCAGATGCTGCCCTGATACCCCCAAAACACCTGAATGAATGAATAAATAACTAAATCTCTTGCAACATAATTCTGTAGCCCCTCAACAGCATCTAGAAGGATGTAGGAACATAGAGAGACATAGGATTTTTGCAGGCCTAGCTCCGATGCCAGAAAACTGCTCCAATGTCATAGGTGGGGCACTGTCCCTGGAGAAGCCTCTCCACCACTGCTCACAGCCCATGCAGAAAGAAGCAGGGTGGAAGCTTGGTTTAGGGGCATTCCCGGTGGTGGAAAGGGAGGGGATCAGCCCCCTGAGGGGCACGGTGTCCTGGCAGTCCTTCAGCTTCCCTCCCTCTTCCTACAGGATGCCTGCAATCCTCTGAGTTCAATGGGTTACATACAGGCATCCCCACTGGCCTGCACCCTTAAACAATCAAACCAAAACCCCTTTCAAAGAGGTGTGCTTTGCTTACTGTAAAAATCGTTTGATGTTCTCGGCTTTCATTTCCGTCATAAAGGCCTTCCTCATCTTCTCGTGAACGCCTGCCATTGGCAAGTGCTCTGCAGGTTTATTGCTCACCCATCCTGCAAGGTAGACCAAGCGAATTAATTCTACATGAACAATTACGCAGTATACCATAAGAAATACTGAATGCACCACGCGAAGAGTTCATACACCAACACCAGGAATTTGCTACAAAGCCATCTCCTCCTCTTCTTCCCACACACATGCACACAAACACACAGGCTAATCCCAGAATTTCACAGGCTACTAATATGCTGCAAGAAATCAACAAAAAGACTGAATCTATTAGTGTAGTTATTCACAAATCAAAAAGCAAGAAGTTGAAAAAAGAGGACAGCAGTTTGCTTAAAATTTGTATAGGCTGATTTACACATATAGATGCATATTTAGAAAGAAGTATTACAGTGCATGTAGAAATACAGCATTATATTGATACAAGGTGAAAGACTGAGCAGGTGAACCTGCATGCCCACCTGCTCAGCCAGCTACCTAGGGACTAACTCTTGATGGGCAACTGGGCATAGAGCTCTTTCAACTGGAATTGGACAGCCTTTTAAGCAGAGGACTGTCCTCTGTAAAAAAAAAAATAGGCCACCTGGCTACTCTTCCTTCAAGATGTGGGAAACCGTCCAATGCCTGGCAGTCGCAAGGAAGGGCTGTGGTCAGGAACACCAGGAGACGCTCAAGAGGCAACTGGTGATCTAGCGCCCTTTGAGCTTTATACCATCACTGGACAGGACACTGCTCTCAGTGGAGGTGGGGCACCGATGCCTCAGGCTCCCACCTGGCCTGCTTGGGCCCCAATCCAGCCCTCTGGGGCTTCCCGGATGGCCACACCCCTTTCTCTGCCCAACTTCCCTCCTCCAGACCTCTGATCCCTTGGAGGTTTCTTGCCTTGTGTGGTCCCCTCCAACTCCGAAGACCTCTTCCAAGGCTTAGTGACTGGCTTGAAACTACAATGGTGGGGTGGGAATACGTTAGGTTTTCAAGCCTATACCTTTGCCCTCCCTGGATGAAGCCCCCATCAACACAGGCATCTCCTGAACAGACTCCAGCCTTTGGGTTGGCATAGGTTTTCCAACTCTGAAAGGGAACCCTGTCTTTTGTGGAAGTGAAGGCTGCCCATGTTGTCTGTGTGTGATTTGCCCTCTTGGCCTTGCCTCCTCACCCATGGGGGCAGAAGGGATAAATCACTGATAAAACTGAGAATGCAAGCTCAAAATATAGGTGGCTTAAGGGTAAGTCATGTGCCAATTTGCTGCAGGATGGAGAGTGCGCTCCCTCACCTTTGATCCTCACAGTTTCACATGGCCTTAACTATTTCCCCTCCCACAAGTATTAGATGCCGGTTCCGTCTCAACTCTTCCCCATGGTTTGAGGCATTAGGAGGGATGTGGGGAGAAGCATGGGGCCTTGCCTCTCTCTCCTGCCCTTTCTGTTGTGCTCCCGGCATGCATCCAAAGCTCCTCGGTGTGACAAACCGCACTTCTTGGCGCATTTGCCTAGCACACTCTATGCAAAGGGCCCAATGAAAATAACAACGAGAAGCTGGCTTTGCAACTGAGAGCTGCAGTGCGAGGTCCCCCCTGCCAACAATCCCAGCCATGGGTCCCAGGTGGCCCATGCTTTCTCCTTTCCAGCCCAACACAGCCACTCCGTGGCTGCATTTGACCCTTGCTGTACTCAAAGATGTTTTGTGCACATGGGGGGGGGGGGGCTGCCCCTTAGGAAAAACACTTTTTTCCCATAAAGAATGTTAAACATCGGCATTATTCTGAGTTTGCAAAACGCCCTCTTTTGCATGCAGAAGGGCTCTCTAATCACACACACAGTTGTGTTGTTATATGCCATCAAGTCATCTCTGTCTTAATGGTGACCCTATGAATGGAATCCCTCCGACATGTCCTATCCATGACAGCTCAGCCCTGCTCTCATGGTATGTTTATACCCTGCCTTCTGGTTCTCCTTTTGGCAGGAAATCCCAGACAGCTTTTATAATCCTTCTCTATTTGAGACTCACAACAACCCTGCTAGGTAGGTGTGAGGCAGTGACTGGCCTGAAGTCACTCAGTGTGCTTCGTGGCTGAGTGTGGACCAGAAGCCCCATCCCCACACCATGCTCTCACCACTAGCCACCACTGCTTACTCAAACCACAGTACTCAATCCTGCAGTGGCATCATTTCCATTTCAGACCTGGACTTAATGGGCTTATCACACACACCCCTGTTAGGTGACTTGTGGGCAATGACTCTGGGTGTGAAGCACACCTGTTGTTACTTTCTCCCCCTTCCTGCCACTGTTCCGTACTTGGCAACTGCTTCTGTAATCCTGGTGTTGACACAGAAAAGAAGGAAAATGCAGTTTGCTGATCCTGGTTTTTAAAATAACAGAGAAGGAAATATTCTGCTCAGATGCAGGTTCACAGTTTAGTCTCCCTTAAATCATGGCCTGGTTGCGACTAAAGGATTCAATTGTGCTTGCTTCTGCTGTCCAGATGCTAAAGATGTTTACTTGGGAATAAGCAACATTATCCTGTAGAAAAGAATCCATCTATCAGTCAGATAATAAAATGAACACTGTAACCATATACACACCTATCTGGCCACTCAGAGTTTCAAATGCTTTGAACAATAAGAATGAAAAGGGATGCTGTGATTAGCTGTGTTCCAACACTGCCTCCCTCATCTGCATCCCTCTAGGGGGTCCTTAGTCACACATGCGTGCACACATGCGTGTGGATACACACATGCACACACCCTCTGGGACTGTGGAATCCCGGAATTTGACCCCAGGGTCCAGCCCAGGCAGTCCAGAGCTCTGGATGGCAGAACTGGAGGCAGCAGGGGATGGAAGAAGAGGACAAAGAAGAAACCAGAAGAAGCAAGAACAGTTCTTTTGATTTGAAGAAGCAGGGAAGTTTTATTTGCTGCCTCCCGGCTGCCCTTTCATTTAACAGAACTTAGATGCTTTTAACACATAGAGACAGACATTCAGCCTAACACAAGCATTGCTCTGCGGAATCAAACCCAGGATCTGCCTTCAGGAATCCTATGCATGCCTACATGGAGGAAAGTCCCATTGTGAGATAGAACAGCCACTGAATTCTATGGGGCTTACTAGCGGGGGTGGGGGGGTGGGGGGGAAGACAAATTGCAGCTTTCACCCAATGCTCTTTTCCCAGCAGCAGCTGGCCAGATGTTTCCTGTGGGAAGCCCCCAAGCCGTGCAAAGAAGCAACTGTTTTTGCTCAGAATCTGACTGCTTCTATACATGGAGGTTCCGTTTCGACAGGGCTGTTCATGGACATCTCCTCCATGAATCTTCCCGCCTTCTTTGAGAAATGCTGTCCACGCCTCCTGATCTTAGTCTCTTCCACCAATACTTCTGTCGATCCAGCAACATTTTGCGCAGCTCACTGCTGCCAGAGCTCAAAACCAGCACCGTCCCCTGCCCCAAACGCGAAGAAAAGGTCTGTCTTATCTCACTCCAAAACAGAAGGAACTTTCACTTTCTCCAGGCCTGAGCCCGCACCGCCGGAATCCTGTCCCGCCCCTCCCGCAGGCTTCCGGGGAAGAACTTTCTCCCTAGACGGGGCATGCCATGCCCTCTTCACGCGCCACATGCCACACGCCACATCACTCGTTTTCTACCAGCACTTTCTTGCAGAGACAAGAAGCTCGCTCAGCCTGGACTGTACCGATGAGGAAGCCCAGAAGGAAGATGCCAAGGGCTGCCCCCACCCTCAGCACCCAGCGGCGGATCCGGCTGCCGCGGCTCGAGAAGGTGGGCTCCGGGGCAGCTCGCAGGACGGTCCACATCCCTCTGCGGTCCGCCAGCTTCCCCGACTTCTGGGTTCAGCCCGCTCCTCTCCAGGCGCAGCCCCGCGCACGCATTCTGCGCCCGGGGCGAAGTCCTTCCTCCCGGAGTCGCGCTCTGGCGCTCGACTCCTCCTGCTGGCTGTGCGGAGAGGGAAGGCAGGGAGCGCAGAATGATCTCTTGCAGGCCTGGCTCCAAGTCCTGTCCTTCTGCCAAGGCTCACGGCCTGGCACTGCCTCCCTTTGTTTGGAGGAGCTGGCAGACACGAGCCTGCCTTGCCGGCTGATGCCACCCCTGCCTCCTTGGAGGCTTTGTTCATCGCTTTATTTGGTGACAACATTTTACCCCACCGTTCCCTAAAGTACCTGAGGAAGATGACTATTGAGATAGTCCCTGCATCAGACTGACAGTCTAAAAGAAGAAAAAGGGAAAAACACGCACAGATCTCGGACTGATGCATTGGGCCCCCGTTTCCCATGAAGCTCTTCCTGGGAAGAAGTCAGGTGCACTTTTCTTCAATGGCTGATGCTTCAACTGCCTCCTTGGCCACTTTCTAGAGGGCTTTGCTCTGTGATGCCACGGCAGCCCAGAATGACAAAAGGCTGGAAAGGCTAGTATGTTACGATCCTAAGTGGAATATCTGTGGCTTCCAGCTACAAACAGTAATCGGATGCGGGCCCCATGGCTTGAACATCAAGCACTTTTTATTTCTGTCTTCCCTGTTTCATTGAACATCTTGCCTGATGAAAAATTCTGGGACCACAAAAGCTTTAAAGGTGGAATGGACCTAAGCCACCTGGAAGAGGCAGTGGGGAGGCCTCCCTGGACCCAGAAGATTGCAGGACTTTGAGCCTGGTGGCAAAGGTTCCCTTCACAGGCATGGTCCTTGAGTGAGTTGTGTTCTTGCATGAGACTGTCTGGACCCATTTCATCTCGGGATCAAGCTGGATTTTGGCATGGAAACAGCTTTGGTTGCCCTGTAGGATGAGCTCTGTTGGGAGGAGACAGTGAGAGTGTGACCCTATTGGTACTCCTGGGTTTCTTGGTGGTTTTGAATACCACTGGGAATGGTATCCTTCTGGGACAGCTGACTGAGTTGTGGGTGGGGGGAACCACGTTGCAGTGGTTCCTCTCCTACTTGGATGGCCAGCTCCAGAAGGCAGTGCTTGCGGGATATTGCTTGGCCCCTTGAACGCTCCAGTGTGGGGTTCCTCAAGCTTCTGTCTTGTTCCCAATTCTATTTAACATCTTCATGAAACCACTGAGTGGGCTCATCCAGAGTTTTGGAGCTCACTGCTGTTGGGATGCTGATGCGGTGTGAAGCTCCATTTCTCCTTTCCATCTTCAACAAGTGTGACAAAAGGTGTGCTAAACCAGTTCATGGTTGCCACTGTGGACTGGATGAGGGCTAACAAGCTGAGGCTCAGTCCAGACCAGGCTGAAATGCTTTCAGTGGGTGGTTCCTCTGACAAGGAGCAAGAACAGGGGGCTCTTTCATTGGGCCCCTGCTGGATGTGGGCCCTTGGCAGGTGCCCAGCCAAGCCTACCTTTGATGCAGCCCTTGAATGTAGCAGTCAAGGAAGTTGTAAGCCAGGAACTCCTCCAAACTGGGGGGCAACTGTGCAGTAGTGCTTAGCAGAGCTCCTGGCCTCAGTGCTTTAGCTTGCTAGGGCCACCCTGTTAATTATGCCACCTGCTGCACTGATGTCCATACATGAGGGGGCATCATAATTACACTGGCATTGCTGATGAGCTATGCTTACATGCCCTGAATGCTGCAAGAAACCAACCTGAGGAACCCTGGTCCAGGTCTGTGGACAGACCCTTACCCATGTGAGCCAGGCCATATCGAAGCTCACCTGGACCAACCAAAGTGGCTGCGGTAAGGGGTTTATGGGGACTCACCTGTCACACCTTTCCTGCTGTGCACTAGGGTTGGGATGGACCTTTCAAAATCCACCTCTCCAGGATCCATGGACTTCTTCTCATGCTTAGCCTAGTCCTGCAAGGAGATCCAAACTGAGACAAAGTCTACAAATGCTGGTGGACCCTCAGCCGTGCAACCGGCATTCTTCCCTGCTTGCTACTGCTATGCAGCAAGCAGAAAAGAAGGCCACTGTGTGCACACATGCCAGGTGCCATTTGTGGGGACGACCTCTTCACCTCCTGTTACTGGCAGTGGTGCAGCAGCAGGGCTGGTGTGCGCCAGGTGCCCTTTGCAGCAGCCAACTTCTTCCCTGCCTACTGCTGCCAGGAGCAATGCCACTGCACTCGATTCCTGGTGGGTGCCCAGAAAAGACGGGGATGCTTGCCAGGAGCTTGGACTCCAGGCCACTGCAAAGCAGACCAGCGGGAGCTGAGCCCAGGGAATCTGACAGGCTCCCACTCCCAGGCAGGTTCCTTGCATAAGGCTGAGGTCTGAAAGTACCAATCTGGGGTGATGTGAAAGGGAGGAAGATGAGTAGGACACAACCCCAAGGTCCAAACGAATTTGGCTAATGAGTGTTTGCTGAACTATATATATATATATATATATAGAGGGAGATGCTGATAAATGTTAAAGAGCATCTTTTAAAACTCCTCCCCGCTTTTCTCTTTTGAAGGGAGTATTATGGGCTGCATCCTGATATCCATATTGGGTTTCCCATTAACTGAATTATCCTTTCCTTTTGAAGGGGACGCCATTTGCTTTGTCTGAGGCAATGGCTGGGATCATGTCACAACAAGCAACCCCACATGGCTTCCACACATCAGCTTTTTCTACCTCGATCATGGTCATGATGATAACAGAGCTCCCTCCCACCATCTGCCCCTCTCTCAGTCCTCCATGTGCTATCCCAGGAGGCACTGAAGGGAGGAACGAGGCTCCTCTCTCTGAGTGCAATCACAAGGCGAGTTCAACTGGTGCTCAAACAGGGCTCATGGCAAGGGAGCTGATAAGGCACCCCCATCTCCTGCTCCAGGGGAGAACACGAGAGCCGAATGGGGGTGGGGATCCATGCTCAGGTTAAAAAGGGGGAATCAGCTGGGCAGGCCATGGAAAGGAACCCTCCCTCCTCTCACACACAAGCATGAGGGGTGGGATGGCATTTGGGGGCACCGCCCAGCTGAGGGCTGCCCAGGTCAGGGGATTTCACAGCTGGCCCCCTGCCACAGAGGTGTCCCCAACCCAATGGCCACCCAAAAGCCTCTGGCAAGTGGCGGCAGCAAGGAACAAGGGGGCAATTGCCCTTCCTTCTCTCGAGCAACCCCTCTGGCAAGTGGGAGTGAGACTGGGGTGTGTGGGAGGAGGAGTGGGGCAGCCCACACCTGGCACCACTGCCCAGCTGATGCTCAGCCTTCCAGCTTCCCTCTGAGGCACATGAGCAGGAAGAGTGGAGGGGAATCAGCTGCATGGTGTTCTTTAGGGTGGGGAACGCTTGCCAATGGTTCCCTGGTGCTGGCCCTCTACCACGGCGAGTTTTGTTTTTTCGGTCCGGATGGCACAGTGGGGCATTGTGGTATGGAGAAGCCATAGAACAGATCATTGGTGCTGTCTGTGGTTTCTAACCTACCGCACTGGAATACCATGATAGCGTTCAGACACCGAGAAAGACCAACAATGGCAAGAGCAAAAACCAAAACCCAACATTGTCTCCTGTGTTGTGTGAACGTGCCCAACAGTTATGTTTCTTTTTGAGCAAAGTGTGTACCAAGTTTAATCCAGGAACCAAACAGTCAAAACCATCAAAAGTCTAATACTTGCAAGCAGAACTTTCTCTGATGTTTGTTTTTGGAAAATGCTGCAGAGCCATTACGAGTTTCCTCTAATTGCCACTAGATGGCAGAAGTAGACCACAAAGAAGGCGATCAGGGCTGCTACTTTTCAGCTTTCTGTCTTTGCTCACCTGCTCATGACTCTAGAATTTGGGATGCAGATATGGAACCATGGTTCATATACAACCCAAAGGTGTGTAGGCCTGTGTACATGCACCCATGTGCATGTGGGTACCTGTGTCATGAGAGAGAATAAACTTGTCCTTGAAAGTCTTGCATTTGACTGGGAATGCTTTAGGGCACCCCAGTACAGAGGATGCATGTGTGAATCAGGAAAACTTGAGTTTGCCAAAGTTAACCCAATTCCATCTGAAAATTCTGAGCCCGAATCAGTTTGAGTGCTTTGTTTTTCTTCTCTTTTTGCTCAAGGATCCATGTACACTTTGGGCATCTTTTTTGTCAAATGTGCACATTCTCAAAAACTATACATTTTGTGCACATTCTCAAAAACTATACATTTTGCTATGCATATTTGTGCACCTAAAGTACAAATGGTTTTGTGCATTTTCAAATCCTGCCTTTTCCGGTTAAAGAACTTAAACCAGCTTACATCATTCTCCCCCGACTGCTCTCAATCTTATCCTCACAACTAAACCCTGTGGGGTAGTTTGGGCTGAGAGTCTGTGACTGGCCCAAAAACACCCAGTTGGCTCCCTGGCTGTGTGGGGACTAGAACCCAGATTGCCTGAGTCCCAGACCTGTGCTCTTGCCTGCTACACCACACATTCTCCCAGTAGTAAGCCGTCCTGGGATGATTTTCATACAGGACGGGAGAGAAATATTTTAAATAAATAATAAATAGTGAATTGTTTGTGAATTGTTTTATCATAGGGTATGAAAAGAGGACAGTGAAGGAAGCTGACAGGAAGAAAACTGATGTGTTTGCAACTGGAAGAGAGCTTTGGGAATACCCTGGACCAACAGAAAGGCAAAAAAATGTGCTGTAGATCAATCAAGCCAGAGCTTGCCCTGAAAGCAAAAAAGATGAAACTGAGGCTGTCATACTTCAGGCACCTCACAGGGAGGCCAGATTCCCTGGAGCATTGCTAGGGAAAGCCAGGAATAAACCCAAATATGAGATGGACCAATGCCATCGAAGCAGCCACAGTCCTGAGTCTGAGCAGACCACCAAGGACAGGGCC